CTGGTTCTTTTTCAAGATCGGATTAATTGAGATCTCAGATTTACTCTAAGTATGGAGTCAATGGGTCGCGTTGTTGGGTTGGGAATGGAGATTCTAAACCAATCCAATTACCGGTTATGGAAGTCATGCATGGAGTCATACTTGGTGAGTGAGGACTTATGGGATGTCGTCGGCGGCAGTAGCACAACACCACCAAGGGGAGCTGCTGCGACAGCGGAAGCGACAAAGGAGTGGACACGGAAGAATGCCAAGGCGGAGTTTGCATTGAAGAGGTCAATATCCTCGGGAGTCTTTGAGCATGTCTCAAGTTGCACATCCGCTAGTTCCATTTGGCAGGCGTTAGATCAGTTGTTCAACAAGAAGAATGAAGCTCGGCTACAACTGTTAGAGAACGAGTTGGCGAATGCAAAGCAGGGGGAGTCTTCAATTCAGAGTTTTTCATCAAGGTAAAGAATCTTCGCTCAGAGATTAATACTCTAAATCCGGAGGAGTCAATTTCCGAAGCACGTTTAAAACGGTATATTATTCGAGGTCTACGACCTGAGTATACACCGTTTGTGACTTCGGTTCAAGGATGGGCTACACAACCTTCCTTGGAGGAGTTCGAGAACCTGCTAGCTTCGCAAGAGTCAATAGCTACGCAAATGGCAGGAGTCAAAATCCATGATGACTCGGGGAGCGCCTTTGTAGCTCGGAAGCAACACAACTTCAAAGCCAAATCCAAATACGATGGTGCAAAGAACATCGATGGACCGGAAGGATCTTCTACTGGAGATAAGAAGCGATTCAAGTGCTACCGGTGTGGAAAGCTTGGGCACTTCAAAAAGGATTGTCGAGTCAAGCTGAAGGAGACAAATATGGCAGAATCAAAAGGTCATATTGAAGACGAAGAATGGGGGAAATGCTTCACGGTGGAGGCTGCATCTTCAGGTATATCCACAACTAAAAATCTTGAAAATGATTGGATTGTGGATTCGGGTTGTAGCCACCATATTACCGGAGACGAGAAGCTATTTTCTAGTCTTCAGCGCCATGATGGAAAAGAAGCCATAATTACCGCGGATAATTCAGTTCACCGGGTCGAGAAGGAAGGGACTGTTGTCATTGAAGGAGAAGATGGAAGCCCTATCACCCTCAAGAATGTATACCATGTCCCTGGAGTAAGGAAGAATCTTCTCTCTGTGGTGAATGCAGTAGACTCAGGTAACTACGTTTTATTTGGCCCAAGAGACGTCAAATTCTTGAAGAATATTAAAGAGTTAAAGGCGGATGTGGTTCACACCGGATCGCGGGTTAAGGATCTATATGTCTTATCTGCGTCCAACTCATACGTGGAGAAGATGAGTACAAACGACAATGCCTTTATATGGCATGCTCGGCTTGGTCATATAAACATGACTAAGCTAAAGGTTATGGTGAATAAGGAGTTGGTAAATGGGCTTCCGAAGCTGAAGATCCAAGATGAAGGAAAGCTTTGTGAAGGTTGTCAATATGGAAAATCACATAGACTTCCATTTGACAATTCTACTTCACGGTGCAGTGCTCTGTTGGAGAGGATCCATAGTGATTTGATGGGTCCTACAAGAACACCCTCATATTCCGGGTTTCGGTACATGTTGCTGTTCATTGATGACTTCTCACGGCACACTTGGGTATACTTTGTGAAGGAAAAATCAGAAGTATTCTCCAAATTTCAAGAATTCAAGGTTACCGTGGAAGGGGAGCTGGGTCGGAGAATCAAGACCTTAAGGACAGATAATGGAGGGGAGTTCATGTCCAAGGAGTTTCTCTCTTTTTGTCAAAAGCATGGAATAAAGAGAGAGTTTACTTGTCCGTATACACCTCAACAAAATGGAGTAGCGGAAAGGAAGATTCGACATCTAACTGAGACGTGCAGAAGCTGGCTATATGGGAAGGATCTGCCTAAAGCCTTGTGGGCGAAAGGCATGAGATGCGCAGTGTACGTCATAAATCGGATGCCACTCAGCCCAAATAACATGAAGTCTCCGTATGAGATGATTCATGGGAAGAAGCCGTCAGTGAAACATCTCAGGATATTTGGATCAGTCTGCTACGTCCATGTGTTTGATTCTCAAAGAACCAAGTTGGAGGCAAAGGCGAAGAAGTGCATCTTCGTTGGCTATGACGAACAAAGAAAAGGGTGGAGGTGTATGGATCCAGAGACACACAGGTACGTAGTGTCTCGAGATGTTGTTTTTGATGAAGTTTCCTCATTCTATGGGCCACCTCAAGTTTTAGTTGAGCAAGAAGGTGGGAGTTCCTCCAAGAGTGATAAACCAGCTCTGAGTAAGGAAAAAGGTCCTGAAGAAGAGATGCAAGGTGAAAGGGGGAGCACTGATCAAGAGGAGGATGAGGAGGAACATCATGGTTCCACGGCTAGTCAAAGGCCTAAAAGGGACATCATTAAACCTGCTCGGTTCAGAGATCCAAAGTTTGTTACTACCTTCTCGTGCTACTTTGCAGCTCCATTAGATGAAGATGAGCCAACATCTTATGATGAAGCAAAAGGTGTTGACGAGTGGGAAAACGCAATGAAGGAGGAGATGAATGCTCTCATGAAGAACGAAACTTGGGATTTGGTTCCAAAACCCAAGAATGCCCAACCTGTTTCTTGTAAATGGGTGTACCGGATCAAGCGCAAAACAGATGGAAGCGTTGATAGATTCAAAGCAAGGTTGGTTGCTCGGGGATTCTCTCAAAAGTATGGAGAAGACTATGATGAGACCTTCAGCCCTGTAGCCAAGATGACTACGGTACGTTCTCTCTTATCTTTGGCTGCAAGTTTTGGTTGGAAGTTATGGCAATTAGACGTGAAGAATGCTTTTCTATATGGAGAGCTTGACAAGGAAATCCTGATGGAGCAGCCACTTGGTTTTATATCACGAGAGCATCCTGATTATGTGTGTAAGCTGAAGAAGGCCTTGTATGGGTTAAAACAAGCTCCACGAGCCTGGTATGGAAAGCTTGCTCAGTTTCTTCAGTTCTGCGGTTATGTGGCATCAAACTCTGATCCGAGTCTATTCTTCAAGAAGAATGGAGGAGTCCACGTGGTAGTTCTCCTTTACGTGGATGATATGATAATTACCGGGAATGATGATGCAGAAATTACTCGTTTACAAGAGGATATGTCGATAAGGTTTGAGATGAAGAAGTTGGGAGAGCTCAACAACTTTCTCGGTTTGGAGGTGGAAAGGGTAAAAGGTGGAATATTCATCGGCCAACAAAGCTATGCAAGAAGAATCGTTGAGAAGTTTGGAGTACACGAAGGAAAGACACGCTCTACTCCAATGGATGTCAACATAAAGCTTAAACGCGATGAAGGGTCCTTACTACCTGATCCTCGGCCTTATCGCTCTCTTGTAGGAAGTCTTTTATACTTAACCATTACAAGACCTGACATTGCCTTCGCGGTAGGTCTTGTAAGTCGGTTTATGCAGGCACCAAGGAAGCCACATCTAGAAGCGGCAAAGAAGATATTGAAGTATGTGAAGACAACTCTTGGCATGGGTCTGGTGTACAAGTATAATGCCAAGGTCTCTCTTTATGGCTTCACGGATGCTGACTTTGGTGGAGATCTTGATGATCGGAAATCAACTTCAGGCTATGTTTTCCTATGTGGGAACACAAGTGTCTCATGGTGCAGTAAGAAGCAAGCAACGGTGTCGTTATCTACAACTGAAGCAGAGTATAAAGCGTCAACTCTAGCAGCTCAAGAGTGTATTTGGCTTCAGAGACTCCTTGAAGATCTGTTCGAGCCAATCAATAAGCCAATTGCAATTTATGGAGATAATCAAAGTGCGATCAAGCTGGCCAATAATCCGGTGTTCCATGGGAGGACTAAACACATTGAGTTAGAGCATCACTTCATAAAAGAGAAGGTGCTTGATGGGACAATTGAAGCTTTGGAAGTTCGAAGCGAGGACAACGTTGCGGATATCTTCACCAAGTCATTACCAAAAGGTCAGTTCGAGTTACTTCGCTCGAAGCTCGGGATGACTGACAAAATCAAGTTTAAAGGGGAGTATTGAAGTTAAACTTGATTTTGGGTTAAGCTTAATTTTGGGTTTATAAAATAATTATTAGTTATTAGATTAGGCCCAAAATTAAGCTCAAGTTCTAGAATCTCTAGAAACATCACTAAAAATCATCATCTTTCTTAAATGTTCTAGAGAATTCTATTAGTTAAATATCTAGATAATTCTATAGATAATTCTAGATGTTGTAGTTAAAATTCTAGATATTATTGTAGAAAATTCTAGAGATTAGGAGAATGTTTGTAAGATATTTTGTAATAAGTGGAGCCTATAAATAGCCCACTACTCCATCATTTGTAAACAAGAGAAGTTGAACAAATAAAGAAAGAGTGTTCTTCATAAGTTCTCTTATCCTCTCTAAAGTTCCTTCAAGTTTTCTCTAAGTATTCTTTCATCTTATTATTCATACTTAGAGGGTCTTTGTTTCTTTCGGATCTCTCGGGTATTACGGTCTTGGGCTAGTGCTTGGCACTATCGGTGTTTTCTTTACAATTTCGATTTACATGAAAGACTGTAGATATTTTTTTTTTTTTTTTTTTTGCAATTGGATATAAGGCTGTTGATATTTGATAACGTCAACGAGAGAGTTCTAATTCTTCCCACTTCTTATTATTTATAATTGACCTTGGTCGGCGTATTGAGATATTTTCATGGAAAATGTATTTTGAATTAACATTACAACATTCATCGATAATCTACTAAAGCGAGACTTGCATGATACTAAAGTTAAGCTAAACACTCAGTCATGCAAACAAAAAGTCTCTTAAATATTTTCATGGAATGTATAAGTACGTGGAAGTTTTGTTGTTATTTATTTATATGGATATTGTTAGGTTTGACGGCCATCTGTGGTAACAATATGATTTCTCCTTTTTTGTCAGACCAATATATACATTACACATGTACGAGTAGATACTGTTTACCTGTGTGACACGTGTAAGAGTTCTAAGGGTCACTTGTATGATCGACGGTGAAGTCAGGCTCGGTTGGTTTCTGAGGTAACAAAGGAAGAGTGTACCGAGGAGGGAGGTTGGAGATATTGTGCCTCAGACTGTGAAGCACGTTTGAGGCGAAACGCGACGCGTAAAGCGTGGCTCCGAGGCTCAACGACGAAGAAGCAGCTGCTTCATCGCGTTTGCGTTGGCGTTCTCTGTCTTGATTAGCGAGCGCGTCTCGGAGCCGGTCTTCTTCATCGCGTAATGACTTGGCTAACTTCCTCCGACAGTGCCTCCGCCACGCCGCCTGTATGAAAGATGCGCCCCATGTTCTCCATTGCACCGAATAAAACCTGTAGATCAAATCAAGATCCGGTTTAGCCAATCGAAAGCAACCCAGAGAAGCTGAGAGAGAGAGAGAGAGAGAGAGGTCGAACTTGAATGTATGTTGGAGTTGCTTGCTATGGAGGCGTCTGAACTGTGAAGCGACAGACTTGAGATCCTCTGCTGCAAGAGCAAAGGCTTCGACTTCGGTTAGAGCTTGGACTGTTCTCGTGGAGATGGGAAAGTGAGACGAAGGTTGAGGATCTAATGCCCACGTGAGAAGATCTTCTCCACAGAAATCGCTTGCCTTAAGGTACACGGCATTAAAGAAGCCAGTTCTTCCTCCATTAGTGGTGGCACTTATAAGCTTTCCTCTCATCACAAACAGCATTTCTCCAACCGGATCTCCTTCACGGATCACGTAGCTGTTCTCCGTGTAGAGAACCGGTTTTAGCCTATCGCAAACAGCGTCAAGTAATTGCTCATCCATTATCTCAAACATAGGTACCTACCAAAAACAAATCATATATATAAACGTAGGGTTCTTAGTTCAGCTGAAATTTAACGGAGGAAGAAGAGAGACGAGTTTGTAACTTACTTTCTTGAGGAGATCTAGGCAGAGATGGCGTTTGATGTCTCTTCTGAGGTCTTTAGGGAGGTTACGAAGAAGGGTATCTTCTTCGACTCCTCTAGTCTCTTGCCATCTATATTGTTCATATCTTCTGATACGTTTCCTCAGGTCTTCAGGCAACATCCTGTGGGACATCCATTGCTTAATTAGTTACCGAGTGAGAGGAAGAGCCGGAGCAAATAAATTATCGATGTTGCCTATTCTATAATAATCATTCGCTTAAGTAATATAATTAAATATTCTCGCGTGAAAGTTGAAACTAATATGTAGAAAAATATCAACTACGACAAGGGTAAAAAACAGAGAGGGTGGGCCATCAACCAATAGGTCCAATACTCTCTCTTAGTAAAAATAAACCTTCTCAAAGATAATAGTACTGCTTTTACAAATGAGAAAATTAGTATTCAGCTGTGGGTTACGATTTTTGCTTTTTTCTTCTATTAAAAATTAGATTATAAATAAACACATTCGCTTTTATGTGTGTTGTGTTGTGGGTTTAGTGTTAAATGCGGCTCAATTTATAAGCCCATGTAATCATGAACATTTCCGAATCCATACTGAGGTAATTTCAATTTACGTTCGTTTTCAAAAATTAAACTAAAAAGATATAATATACCCAAAAAAAAACAAGAGAAACGCTAAAGGGAAATAAGAAAAACAATTAGGGTATTTGTAGTTAATATTGAGAACAGGAATAAATGTAAACGGATATAAACCACAAAAAACAAGGTATACCAACAATGAGAGCAGAAACGAGAGAAATGCAATAAAGGAAATAAACGAGTACAAGAACGCCAAGGATATGAGCAAAAGCCATGACACCGCCTTCGAAGGGACGTTCGGGGAACTTCTTCTTAAACATGCGGACCCATGTACCCACACCAGCAATGATTCCAAAGCAGTAGTAAGCCACAAAAACCTCCATCATATGGTTTTTTTTTTCAACTAAGGGAATCTTGTAATGTCTTATATACAAGTAGGTTGCAACATTGAAGCCTATCAAGAGCACGCTCATGACAATGTCGTATACTACATATTTGTTTTGCCTGCATACAAACCCACCAATTATATATTGCTATATGTATATTGTTTACTAGTTTCTAGTTAACTGAAAAAGTTAGAAGATGAAAGAAAACTCGATGATGAGACTCACCACCATGGACGCCGCTGGCTCAGAGATTCATCGACGGTAGCAGGATTCATAGCTTCGTTTCTGGGTGATATTAATTAATAGTGAGGCAAATCCCTTATATATTGTTAACTAATAACTACGGCGGCACCAAAGTGTTTGATAAGATCATATATCAACAATATATCTTCACTTCTCTTTATCAAAGATTCTTATCTTATTCGATTTTTTTTTTGGGGGGCGGGGGGATAATCATCCTCTACATATATATTAAAGGATAATCAAGTAAAAATTATTTACAATTAAAATTTTTGAGAATATCTAAACAATAATTTTGATCGGGATAATCAAGTAATATATTAAAAGATTTTTGTTATATATACTCGAAATTGCTAAACCTCTAATCATATCTTGACCACACCTCTTTGTAAATATATATTCAATCATCATATTCATATATTTCAAAGCAAACTGGCCTCTGACCTTGATCAAACGCGTCACACATCTCAAATAAAATTATATCATGTATTTATATTGTGAGTTTTTTAAATTTCTTTAGGTTTATCATGCAGTCACACCTCAATTTCGTACTTAATTTCAGTAAGAACAGTCTCTTCCTCTCTCTTTCGACGTTCCTACACATTCCATTCCAATATTCGTTTGAAGCTCGTTTTTCAATATCCCCATCGATACACACAAATTAAGTTGTTGGTAGTGGATGCATAAAATAAAACACGGAGCTATGTGCCTAGGTCTATACATAAACGTTTTTCTTTTTAATTCGTTATATGTATATAGAAGCATACAACAATAAAGAAGAACAGCGGTTAAGGATCACGATCCCATCATGAAAAACACACGTCTCTTTAACTTCACACGCCATTCATACGGGAGATGTCCCAAGATGTTATTACTCTTCTAAGGCGGCAATCAAGCTATGTGAACCAAATTAAAACAATTTCGATATTTAAATGTTAGATTTGTCGACCAATAAGAGTGTGTTTTTGGATGGCTTTGGACGATAAAGATATAAGTCATATATGTGTACGTGTGAACCGAAGGTTTGAAAAACACGTTGGCTTTTGTTCGTAGAGAGGCAATGGCTCTCTTCTATCTAAAAATATCTAACTATCCCAGTGAATTACTTGACACTAAACAATGACATTTCGTTCGATCCCAACAAATTCTTGGTATCCCCTCCTTTTGTTTCGTTTCATATATCAATCTTTTCTTAGGGAAAAAAAAATATTTTGTGTATGTCAACTTATAAGTGTTCAGATCGAGTATATATAATTTATGATGGAAGTTGCATTCTATTTTATTTTAAAATAAATAGATTTTCTCCCATCATTTTCTTGGAACTGAAACAAGTGGAATGGAACTAGTTAATGGTTGACATAGTACACTAATTTCAACACACAGCCCATCATCCTCTTTTTTAAAAGAGGTCAGATTTTTACGTTTTTTGTGTGTGGCAAAAATAACATATTTCTTCTATTAGATATCACATCTAACCTAAAAAAAATTATTATATAACTAGATGAATACTTAACTTCTGTTGCATTATCATTTTCTGCTAATCATGTAAACTATATGTATTTATGTTTTGCACCAAAAAAAAAAGTTTCCCAAAATGTTTGGGCTTTTAGTTTGGCCCATATAACGCATAATAATATATATCTATTATTCAACCAAACTAAATGCCGATTTGATAGCCCATCATCTTTCGAGCCGAAAGTTTTCTTGCCTCTGAAAGCCTCTGGATCTCAAGGAAGGTTACCGTATGAGTAAAAATCTTACTGGTGATCGGAAAAAGAGTTGACAATATCGAGAAAAGTGTACTAATTAAAACCAGGTGTGTTTTGATTGGTGACGGGGATGGATTCATAGTTTCATACCACCAACACGGCAACACCTTCGAAAATCGAACAAGATAGAAGTAGATACAATTCCTTTACATGACAGTATGAAGTAGATACAGCACCTTCGAATCTTCATCCTAATAATGAAAGATCTATCATCAGTTTTTTATGGGCCTAGATAAGATGGTCTCTGATGCTATGAATTCGAACATTGTTTACCTAGGATCCACTACAAGGCCTGGATCAAGCGTACTAGATCTACGGTTCAACGCAAGACTAGCTTGCACACACTTGATTTTTGTCTAGCGGTCCCTCGTTTTTATTTGGCTGGCTCGTGGTGTTGGCTCAAAATGTGGTTGTAAGGTTCATGCAGCACAAGAAATCTTTGTTTTATGGCCATGCATGAGCCACTTTAATGCACATCATTTTTTTACGACTCTATTCCCCCAACACCTGTACTGTTTTTCACTTCTTGTATAAAGAATGATAACAATTAAGTCACTAGCTATGATCCGCCGCTTTCATTTCTCTATAAAGAATTCGTATAGGAGTCCTCCTACTCCGATTAATAATGCGAATAGTTAAATTTCATTCCATGCCTTTCTCTATAACCGAAAGAATCTCATATTTGACAAAATCTTTTTTCTTTTATTTATTTTTAAAAAATGTATTTGTACTGAAGATGCTAACTTCTGAAAGAAAAGGAAAAAAGAAAAGAAAAAAGGGTATTCTGATTTTTTTTCCATAAATAATTATATAGGGCTTACACAATTTCAAAGATTTTAAAATTATTTGTTTCTAAAACACACACAATAGTAGAAAACAGAAATATTTGTTTGTTTTCCTGAGAAACAGTCTAATAAGAACAACAAAACCCATGTAACAACAATCCAAAACAATAAAGTGTTGCTTCAAAATTTAAAGACGAAACAAAAATAAAACTTAAAAATTGAAATGTAATAAAGAAAGAAAAAAAATGAAAAACAAATGTCGCCTTGACCGATTTTTTTCTTTTTCTTCCCGTTTCACCAAATAGTAAAAACAAGGGGAAGCGAAAGAGCAAAAGTGCTCAGATTTAAGGCACCAAAATAGTTTCAAAACATATAAATATTTGTCGCGGTCAAAGACAGACTGAAATGGTACTACACAATGCAGTTACTGTATCAATATTATCACCAAAAACCCAACAAGACCGAAGAAAATATTTCTTGTTTTTTGCAATAAATAAATATTCAGTAAGAGAGAGCAATTTCAGAATTGGCCCCAAAAGAGAAAAGCTTAATAGAAGTGACGAAAAAAAAATCTCATGAAAATATCATAGCTAAACCGGACTTAACCGAATTTGTATAACGTGATAAAGCTTCCTGAAGCTTCCTAGCCATATTATAAAGTCACAAAAACTCATTTTATTACTTCATCCGTTTTTCTCATCCGCTATTCTCATTCCAGCTATTCTCATCCGTTTTCTTTTTCTTTTTTTTTCGTAAACGATGGCTTCAAAGATGGACAGTTTTGTTTCGTTCGTGGAGAGATTCGGTGGCGTTACCACCTATTTTGGAATTTACACGAATGCTGAATACGTCACGGCGTCCACCTTAGCCAAAGAGTTAGGTTTTCGGCTCCTTGCCATAATCTTGCTCTACTTCAACCTTCAGACTACCAATCCCACTGACGCCAAAGGAAATCACACTGCCATCGTCTCCATGTTCGTCAACGGCAAGTACTACACCACTGCTCACAAAGTCGTTGGCTGGGCTGGTCTGGTGTATGCTACCTTGTCAATCTTCGATGCTGCACTGAGGCCGAAGTTTGGAGCTCTGAGAATCTTCGACGAGGCTTCCATCGTGTCTTTGTTCTGTGCTATGTTTGCGATCTTCTTCACTATGTTTGAGAAGGATTGTATTGCGTTCCTTGTTCTCCTTGGCGTGGCTGCTTTAGCGGGAATCGTGGTTTGTATTATCATGAACTGGAGTTTGAGACCTGCCGGACCACCCAAACCCCACAAAGATCTGGTGAGAGTCCTCGCGGCCCTAACGAAGGAAGCTGGAGAAAACCCCGACACACTTCTCAAGCTCCGATGTCTGGTCTTCGTTCTGATGGCACTAGATGCAGAAGATGCGCATACGCGAGCCCTGCTGGAGATTATCAAGGAACCCACCGACGCCGGCGCATGAATTAAGGTCTAGTTAGTTTACTCATGTCATATGTCCTCCTTAGTTATCTTCTGAATAATGGGTTTTTGGAATAACGTTAGCTTCTATTTCTGTAATGTTTGTTTTTTTTTTTGGGTGTTTTGTTTTGTTTGAGTTAGTACGTTATGATTATGGTATTTGTTTTTTTTTTTGTAATGGCATTGTAATGGTTTCTCTAATGACATGAGAGGAAAATTTTAAAAAGATTTGGTTGATATGTTTATCTTTGCGAATTATCAGTTGAGTAATACGTAAATTAGGAAAATTACCGCCAATTGAAAACCACTTTAATCACAACAGCATAAACAAAGCTTTCATGGCTATTTCTGTTCACGCGCCTCTGTATTCGTACCTCTATATCCCAGTCGTCGAGGTCAGATGAGACAAAACTGGAATTCAAAAACCCGTACATGCAAAAGACGTTAATAAGAAAGAGGAGAGAATCAACTCCACGAAAACGAAAACAGATTTGATTCTACTCTTTCGTCGTTATGTGATGACTAATCATTGGACAGCTGTCTTGTGTATCTTCTCGATTGTTCCCCTAAGAAGCGATTGCCTGAGAAATTAAATTAAAAAAAAAAAAAATCTTTCATCCACACACTAAGTTAATCGAGAATCCCAATGCTTGTTCTGTTATGTGATTACAAAATAAACGATTCAAATTTGATAAAAGAGAATTTATGGGAATGCAAAATTTGTAACGACAAGAAATATAGTACGTGGCAGATAAATTATTTATACGTTGTAACTTTTGGATTACGTTATTAAAAGAATAAAACAAAAGAAAAAAAGACACTTAAAATAGGGATCAAGAACTCGAACCCACAACATGTAACTATAAAGATGTTCATTACACCACTACACTAAGTTATATAATATGTTGAGAACCTGAGGCAAAATGCCTTTCTTCGTAACAAGCCAAGCACGGCTAATTTAAGACAAATGCATTACATCAAACCAAGCTTGCTTTAGACAATATAAATATATATATACTGATTATTAATGCGTTGAACATGAGACACTCATCTGAGGACGCCGGTTTATACAAGTGAAACATATGCACTCCATATATTTGCCACATTGTTTCCTGAGCAGAAACCCTAAACTCAAACTCCAGAGAGAACAAGAACAGCAACACGAGACTCCTTTCTACGCAAAGGCAACAATATAAACAGAGACTTGAGAACACACAAAAGCATTTGACTCAAGACATGAAGGGAACTCTCTTTTGTGCAAGTAAAGCTATATAACTATGTACTCGAAACAAGGACACGACGGACGAAAACGAAAAGCTCTATAAAATATATCTACCAAAATTCTATCTTCAATTTTCGTAACCCACTGCTGAATTCATAGCTACCATTATTCACATGTCTCTGCGTGGGTTTTAGTTGATGGGTGGGTGAAGATCAGAGAAAACTCCTACTAGTAGTTGCTTGATATGAACGCATGAGCAATCCAGCTCCAATGCCTACACCAAGACACAACCCAACTTAAGTGGATTAGGATCTCAGCTGAGGATGGCTCGTCAATTTTCCTCTCTCTCTATTTTATAGACTGTCAAATACAGCAATGGAGCTCTCGTGGTCAAAAGACCCACGGATGGATCTTTCTACAGATAATTTGTTATTACGAAAGCTTGATTGTGACGATGTTCCTAATGTTTTCACAGCAGAAGTGTAGCATTGCGCTGCAAGAAAATGGCAGACGGACAAATACTTTATGGTTTCGATTGTACCAATGGAAATAATCCATGATCCTTCTACATTTCTTCATTCTTGTACATTGTTTTCTTAGTTTATTTTGTCGTTGTTGAGTTCTTTATATCGTTTTGACGTTACATACATCTTAATTTATGGTATAGTATTTGTTGTGAAGCTTAATCGTTTAGTAAGTTCGAACTATTTTCTTATACAAAAGCAACATATACCAAATCCATGATCATTGGACAATCACGAATGTATACCAAATACCGAATTCGGTTTTTCGACGAGAAAATAATCGGTGACACTGAGGAAAGGAACATGGATTGCGAAGTATGCGGTTAAGGTTTTATCCGTGTATAGGATAAATATTAAACGAGTTCGGTCAGGATTTATCTATTACCCAAACTAACAACCATTTCTTACAGTCTTCAACCTTCAATTTCGACCTTCAAAATTTTTAGCAGCTATGTTGTGCGCACCTGCCTACATTTGTAAATAATAAAACTTTATTACTTAAAAGGAAATCTATGTTTTAGCCTCCATCAGTTGCCGTATTATGTTAATTGATAATAGTCGCAAAACTTTTTAATCTATAGACAATTCGGCCGTACGACGTACGGTACATACTCTTTCAAGAAAAACCAATTTCAGTTACTATGGCTTCGTCGTTTCATGACTGTTTAAGTCCATATAGACGATACCACGCTGACCTTGCATTTGCAAGGTTTTTTTTTTTGAGTAAATAGCATTTTGCCCCAAATATTAAACTTCTCACATTCCAAATCTACTCTTAGGTGAGAAATAGCATCGTATAATCTCTCCATCTAATGAAAAACTTTTGGCAACAAATCTGACACTAAATCTTTGTTGTGACTTAAAATCTATATCTTTTTTTTTCGGTTCAAATATTCCAAAAGCAACGATTGTGATTAATTTTTTTTTTTTTTTTCCAACAGACGAAGATTGTAAAATATACAGTATATTCAACATCTAAAGTATCCTTAAGCATTCAAAAATTTACAAGAAAGTTCGAAGGAGAGTGAAGGCAAACTGAAAAAGAGGACTAAAAAGAGCTTCAAATTAAAAAGGAGCTGAAGCAACCACAAGGACTAAGAAAAACTAATATTTCCTCTTCATCATCATCCTCTTTGGAGTCTAAACATCTTCCTCTTTTCTCCTCAGCCCTTGCGTCTCCTGATTTTAAAGTTTCATTAATTAACGTTCCAAAAAAAAAGGGGAGATAAAACCACGGATTAATATTAAGCACATAACTAATACCTTTGTGAAATAGTGATTATGAATCTCTCAAAAGTCTTTTGGTTTGGTTCTATCATAGTATATGAGAAGAGAAGAGAAGACGAAGAGTGGGTTGATTCAGAAATGATTCATTACTATAAAAGATCTCATGTTTAAACAGTAACTACGATGTGGGGACGTAAGTGAGAGATAAGAATCTGAACCACGCAACGTGGCGTGGTGGGGCGGATTAAGGCGGTGGATTGGCGCACGTGACGTGTCATTGATGGTGGTGACTATGCACGTGTCGGTTTGTTTTTTTAGGATCAGCAGTCAAAAACTGGAATGCAGTTTCGATTTGCATGAAAGACTGTAGATATTTTTTTTTTTTTTTTTTTTGCAATTGGATATAAGGCTGTTGATATTTGATAACGTCAACGAGAGAGTTCTAATTCTTCCCACTTCTTATTATTTATAATTGACCTTGGTCGGCGTATTGAGATATTTTCATGGAAAATGTATTTTGAATTAACATTACAACATTCATCGATAATCTACTAAAGCGAGACTTGCATGATACTAAAGTTAAGCTAAACACTCAGTCATGCAAACAAAAAGTCTCTTAAATATTTTCATGGAATGTATAAGTACGTGGAAGTTTTGTTGTTATTTATTTATATGGATATTGTTAGGTTTGACGGCCATCTGTGGTAACAATATGATTTCTCCTTTTTTGTCAGACCAATATATACATTACACATGTACGAGTAGATACTGTTTACCTGTGTGACACGTGTAAGAGTTCTAAGGGTCACTTGTATGATCGACGGTGAAGTCAGGCTCGGTTGGTTTCTGAGGTAACAAAGGAAGAGTGTACCGAGGAGGGAGGTTGGAGATATTGTGCCTCAGACTGTGAAGCACGTTTGAGGCGAAACGCGACGCGTAAAGCGTGGCTCCGAGGCTCAACGACGAAGAAGCAGCTGCTTCATCGCGTTTGCGTTGGCGTTCTCTGTCTTGATTAGCGAGCGCGTCTCGGAGCCGGTCTTCTTCATCGCGTAATGACTTGGCTAACTTCCTCCGACAGTGCCTCCGCCACGCCGCCTGTATGAAAGATGCGCCCCATGTTCTCCATTGCACCGAATAAAACCTGTAGATCAAATCAAGATCCGGTTTAGCCAATCGAAAGCAACCCAGAGAAGCTGGAGAGAGAGAGAGAGAGAGAGGTCGAACTTGAATGTATGTTGGAGTTGCTTGCTATGGAGGCGTCTGAACTGTGAAGCGACAGACTTGAGATCCTCTGCTGCAAGAGCAAAGGCTTCGACTTCGGTTAGAGCTTGGACTGTTCTCGTGGAGATGGGAAAGTGAGACGAAGATTGAGGATCTAATGCCCACGTGAGAAGATCTTCTCCACAGAAATCGCTTGCCTTAAGGTACACGGCATTAAAGAAGCCAGTTCTTCCTCCATTAGTGGTGGCACTTATAAGCTTTCCTCTCATCACAAACAGCATTTCTCCAACCGGATCTCCTTCACGGATCACGTAGCTGTTCTCCGTGTAGAGAACCGGTTTTAGCCTATCGCAAACAGCGTCAAGTAATTGCTCATCCATTATCTCAAACATAGGTACCTACCAAAAACAAATCATATATATAAACGTAGGGTTCTTAGTTCAGCTGAAATTTAACGGAGGAAGAAGAGAGACGAGTTTGTAACTTACTTTCTTGAGGAGATCTAGGCAGAGATGGCGTTTGATGTCTCTTCTGAGGTCTTTAGGGAGGTTACGAAGAAGGGTATCTTCTTCGACTCCTCTAGTCTCTTGCCATCTATATTGTTCATATCTTCTGATACGTTTCCTCAGGTCTTCAGGCAACATCCTGTGGGACATCCATTGCTCTGCATCTCTCTTTCTCACCCTCATTTCCTCCTCTCGGACTGTTGTTGATTCCAAGTATTTCTGCAACAGCAAACAGAAATTGCATCAAGTTCCTGAGTTACTTATATAGCAAGTCAAATAAATGAAGATATTCTTTGAGAGGATTACCTGCATGTTGCCGATAAGTAGCGCAAATAAAACCAGTCCAGATATGCAAATTGATATAGCAAAGATGATTTCACCGACGAATTTGCTCGTTTGGAGATTTTGTCCTAAGGCACTGCAACAGAAAAAAGCAACTCGTGAGCACGATGACTCCTTTGAAAGTAGAAACTAGGTTAGTGTAAAATCAGAGATACAAGGGGCAAGACCTTAGATTTCGCAGACCCCACCAGAAGCAGTAGAAGAACTTCTTCCAGAAATCATGCGATTCAACAACCCCACTCTTTAGAGCATCAGTGAAGATGCCAAAGTTGAAGACCGTTGAGTTTGTAATATCGCCAGGGTCGAGAAACGGGCAAGAAGCGGTGAGGAAATCGTTGTTAACATCATGATTGTCGTTACAGTAGAGATTTTGAATCTTACAGTTTCTCTTCTGGCACGCCTCTTGCCAGCATCTGTCTTCTCGTTCTACCGAGATCAAGTACCATAAAGCTCCAAACACCTGAATAAGTAAAGTTCAAGACATCAATAAAAAAAAAACACTTGACCAATCTTCAGACATCCGATGATCAGGAACTCACATGACTGGCTAACATATAGAGAGAGAGGTTCCAAGCAGCTCCAGCCCATGCTGTTTCAGTGACAATCCCAGATGTTCTCGTCACTTCGGTGTAAAGCGGATACATTCGAAGAATCCTGGGAACATATTGAACAATTACGACAGATTTGAGGTAGTCCTTTGTGAGCAAGGAGACCGGCTTGTTGACACTGGGAATAACAGCCAAGACTACAATCTGCAGCATAGAGAAAACAGAGAGGATTTAAACTCACTGACATCTTGAAGAAGCATTTTAAAGTAGTCATTTTTACCTGTGGGAGAGGAAGGATGGAAAGTAGATCAATGATGAAGTAAGAAGAGAGGTACTTGAAGGCTATGGATTTAGCATCATCCACCAATTCGCCTCTCCCAAAGACCCGGGAAGAAGGAGCGATGTAAGCTGTCCTGAACTGAAACACAATGTGGATTATGTAGAAAGCATCGATGAGTGTGCGAAACAAACTCGCGGCTATCTCCAAGTTTGAGTCCAGAGTAAGACAGTGCCTCACGCCATCCACTATGGGGATGTAGAAAAACAGAGGATCTATCGCCAAAGCAACCACACATGCAAAGAGGAATATTTTGTTCCAGTTCTGCAGAAACAAACCCTGTGGGTTTATGATATTCTTCTGCGTGACACTCGATTTTTCTTTCTGCACAGTATCCTTGTTGTGTGAACGGAAACTTAATGGCCTCTTGAAGGTTTTGATTTTTTCTGAACCTTTCTCAAATCCCCACTTTACATTCTTCAAAACTCTGTCTAGAGAAGGTCTAGCACCACCATACACAGAGGCCAATGATTTATCTGCATCGTTGAACCTAAACATAAATCAAATCGGATAATGTAAGAATCATTCATCTATATATGCACAGAGACAAAGACTGATTTATTCAAGCAACCAACCTTATACGATTATCATGGCTAAATGCCATCAGTCAAGCCTTTGGAGTTTTCAACTGATCTTTCGCTTACACTGTGACGAATCCTAAATTTTAAATAAGAAGAAAAATTAAACCACACGAATTCTTCTCCATGGTTACGTACAATAATTATTAATCCCCAAAATCAATTTTTAAACTCCCAACAGTTGTGTGTATTTTTAAAAATATATCTTCAAAGGCTAATTTGGAGCCTAGAATCAGTCAATTTACACCTAACCTGATTACTAAATCCTTTAATTCCTACCCATTTCTTCTCAATTAATTCGAAACCGTAGCAACTTGTTGTAATCACTGTTCATCGAAGATAAGGAAGCTATGTTTCAAAATAAATCGACCCCACGGCAGTCAAATCTGGGTGGTTATGAATAGAAACGCGTAAGAAAGAATAATATTTTTTGCACCGATTTATCTAATCGTTTGGATTCTGAGAAGCAGCAAAAGGAAAGCAGATGAACAGTAAACGAAACGTAAATCGGAAACAAACTTCTCTGAAACTGACCTCGAACAAAGTAACTGACGGCGAGAGAGTAAAATTCCTTCTACGAACTGAAATCGGAAGTAGAACGAAGCTATTCTCCGACGCTTTCTTCTTCTTCAAGCTCGCTACTGGTCCCCTCGTTAGAAAGAGAGACCCATGGCGGTTACTTGTATCTGTGTATTTTCCTGGAAATTTTTGGGCGAAGTATCCGACAAATGAGAGGGAAATGTAAATATTATGCAAATAAATAACTCAAAGTCTACCATACAATTCAACAACCCAAAATTATATATAGTATATTCAAATGAAGACTTGGTCAAAAGTCAGAACGGGAAAAACAAGGTCAAGGTGCCAATTTGAAATATTGGCTCAATTAAGAACATTGGGCCCAATTAAGAGCACTGGGCCCAGTTAAGAACACTGGGCCCATTACATTCACCTTCCAGGTTCTGTTAACCGCCTCACCTCATAATCGTGAGTATTCATCTCTTCACATCGTATTTTTTCTCTCTCGGATCGGAAAACCACGACCGGCGTCGTCGTTCGTGTTCCCGACGTAGTTCACCGGCAAGGATTTCTTAGGGTTCTTAAGGTACTATATCCTTCTTTCTATTTGTTCTCTTCTCTCTTGTGATCGTTTATGTGTTCGTAGTGGTTTTTCATCCCTGTTTCAATTAAGGATTTTTCGATTCCAAATTTTATAGGCTCAGTTATAGCTGGAATTTTCGAACTTGTGATTTTTTTCTAACTGAATTATATGTTACCGGTTTTCTTCTTGCTTCCGTGTATACTGTGAATGGAATTGTTGTCCAGTTTAAATTAAGCTAGGGTTTTCTTCAATTTCTTCAAACCAGTAAGAACTAACTTTAATCGGCAAAATCTGGCGTTTTGCAGGTGAAATTTCAAGTGGGTGATTGTGTGATTACGTAGTTTCTATCTGACAATGTCAGATTCCGGTGAACCCAAAACATCGCAGCAAGAAGAATCTCAACCTGCTGGGCAAGAGTCTCAGTCTCAACAAGGTACATTTATGCTTTCTTATCTCCCAGTCCTTGTAAAATTTGTGTTGCCTGGTTGAGATTTTAGAGACCTTTCAACTTGTTCCACGGTTCTTCTTCTTCTTCACTGTTAGCTAAATAATTTCATTAAGTAAACAAATTTTTCATTGTTTCTGTTTGCAGTTTGTACTTTCTTCAAGAAGCCATCGAAAGCTAAAAACATTAGGAAAAGAACGGCTGCGGCAGATGAAGAGGACGGAGATTCGAGAAGCGAAAGCTCCATACTACACAACCTAAAGAAAATTGCCAAACCCGATAGTAAGTTATTCTTCTCCTCTGGACCATCCAAGAGCACTGGTACGACGAGTGAAGCTCCCGTCTTTCACTACGATTCATCCAAGGAGATCCAGGTTCAAAACGACAGTAGAGCGACGGCGACTCTAGAAACCGAAACCGACTTCAATCAGGATGCACGAGCTATCCGTGAGAGAGTTCTTAAACGAGCAGACGAAGCTTTGAAAGGGAACAAAAAGAAGGCTTCGGATGAGAAACTGTATACTGGAATTCATGGATATACAGATCACAAAGCTGGCTTTAGAAGAGAGCAAACTATCTCGAGCGAGAAAGCTGGAGGTTCGCACGGGCCATTGAGAGCTTCTGCTCATATCAGAGTATCGGCTAGATTCGATTACCAGCCAGATATCTGCAAGGATTACAAAGAAACCGGATACTGTGGGTATGGAGATTCTTGTAAGTTCTTGCACGACCGTGGGGATTACAAACCGGGATGGCAGATAGAGAAAGAGTGGGACGAGGCAGAGAAAGTGAGGAAGAGAAATAAAGCTATGGGAGTTGAGGATGAAGATGACGATGACAACAGCAGCGACGAAGACGATGATGCATTGCCATTTGCTTGCTTCATATGCAGAGAGCCTTTCGTCGATCCAGTTGTCACCAAATGCAAGCATTACTTCTGTGAGCACTGTGCTTTAAAGGTATGTGATGATGAATTAATGAAGTCGCGATAATTATGATTCTGTTTTTTGGTTTGTGAAACTAAGAGTTCTGTTTATGTAATGATGCAGCATCACACGAAGAACAAGAAGTGCTTTGTGTGTAACCAACCAACGATGGGTATTTTCAATGCAGCACATGAGATCAAGAAGAGAATGGCTGAAGAACGGAGTAAAGCTGAAGGATTGTGAAGTTTTTCACAAGCCAAAACCAAAAACTCTTGAGGAAAGCTTTTTGTTTGTACTGTACTCGTTGACCTATATTATGATGGTCTTTAAAGATTGGGCCTTGTTTGGCCCGTTTATCGGTGTCGTTTCTTTCGTTTTTCGTGTGTTCTTAATAAATGAGTGTTAGATTGGGCTAAATTAATTTTTAAAACTAATTTGAAAAATAAGTCGTGGTCACGGTTATATTCGAATTAAACCGAAGTTTGGTATGACATTAAAATAAAACTGAATATGAAATTTGGATTTATCTTCCTGCAGTTACACTGGTAATTTCATCGTCCGTAAGGTTTTTTCTTCGTGTACTCCCGATGCCGATAGAATCTTTTTCCCCTACTACAATATTTGTGTGTTCATTTAATCCGCACAGATTCGAGAATCTATTGGCCGGCAAAAAAGATATCCGAGTCAGCAAAAAGTAGATTTTACAACGTGTCAATTTCACGAGATACGCTGCAATAAGTGTAACTTGAAAATAGTCAGACAGTAGACCAATAAGAAGAGGACACGTAAACAATTTTCTTATAATTTGACCATAGTTAGTTGTAATGTCGCTGTTACTAAAAAGACTCGTCGTTTTATCTTGTAGCCGTTAGTATTTACGCTAAAGTAATCTTTATAATCTTTTTGCGTAAATTTGCATGCCTGATGCCAAAGCTGCTGATCCTATCCTATCCGATAAGGTTACCGTAATTATCACCAACCACCGCTCTTTTAAGTTATATATTATCACTTAGCATATTAAAGCAGACAGATAATAAATTTATATATGTGTAAGCCAAATCCCATTTTCGCATTTTATTTTGATGTCAATTGGAGGTAATATCAGTAGCATGAATAATATTCAAATCGAACGTCAAGCGTTTTTGTGTTAGGTGGCTACAAGATCGAAAGATTGTTATGTTTGAAACCCTAATCCGTAATTCATATGTTAGAAGACAAAGTAAATCATTTAAGAGTTGTCCAAGACGTGGTTATGCTTTTTTTGTTTAAAAAAATAAGAGGAGTGATGAAGATGGGTCTTTTGAGAAAACAAAAGTCGAATCCGCTAATCATCGTAGTAATTGAAAGCGTAATTAGCGTTGTTGACTTTTAACAACAGCATTAGCGCTATTGACTTCGTGATTTGTAATTTTGTTTGATGTTTTTCTTTTCTGACAAGGCACTTTCTCTATTCTGTATATTAAACTTTTTTTTTTTGTTGAAAATAAGTATATTAAACTAATTTCATTACAAAGTAGTGCTTTTCCTTTGTTTAAACAGAAAAAACATGTTTAGGAAAAATGAACAGAAGAAGAGTGCATGTTGATAAAAAGAAAAAGATCCTTCTCAAGAGACAACGAAATAGGCCACGTTCTGTGGTGCTTGAATTTGTGTAAAAAGTTTCTCAACTTTTTCAGTGTCATATACATTTACAGAGTTTTTTTGTTTTTGTTTTTTCCTACAATATATATGATGTAATATATATAACATGTACATGTGTTAAAGAATATATTTTACCAACCAAATTTAAGGTAAACAACAACAAGAACTATATATTATTGTACAAGACATATGGGACCCTATATACGTGAAGACCAACTAGAATATAACTCAGCATATTCTGTAACTAGCGCAATTTACAAACCCTTTAATCTCTAACATATATTATTATTTCATTAGCATTTAGCGATGAATCCACAGATATTCATATTCGACTTCAACTTTCACGTATAACAACGATATAATGTACATTTAACAGTTATGCATCTTACAAAGCAACTACATTAGGTTTATGGTTGGTTATATAAGCAAATTACACCTTAACAAGATAAAATTTATCAAGTTGAAAAAGTTAGGTCAACATAGAGGTTAGATTATTATTTGTAGGAGATTGAGTGGACTAATTATGCCAATGCATAAGAAAATAAAGATAAACAGCATACAATCCATCTATATACTTTATATTTCGTAGCAAAATATCTATAAAGTTAGAAACGATCTTACCTCATATATTTGTATAAGCATTTGTTTGTTTTATTCGGAAGGTCCCAAAAAGTCATACAGAACAGTTGATTGATCTTTTGTTGGTTTGTTACACTAAAAAAAGCAAAACCATTAGTTTTTTGTTTGTTTGAAAAGTTTAAAATGTGTGAAGGAGAAGCAGCTAAGAAAAGAGTTTAGGCACATAATAAAAAAAGTTATTATGTCGGTGTGAGCTCATTGATTATTGGGGGAAATTGGAAAATTATATTATTTATTTATTTATTTTGCATACCGAAGCATCTTCTTCTTCCTATTTTCTTACTTCTCTCTTCCTATATTTATCCACTTCACAGATTCTCTCCGAGAGAGAGAGACAGAGAGAGCGATAAAATACAGAAGGGAGAGAGCGAGACTGAAATAGAGAGACTGAGATTCTGTTCATAGAGAATATGGACGGCGTCGGAGGCGGGACGGCGATGTACGGTGGCGTTGAGACGGTGCAGTATGTACGGAGGCATCATCAACACCACTGCAGAGAAAACCAGTGTACCTCTGCTCTTGTCAAACACATCAAAGCTCCGGTTCACCTGGTACGCCTCTCGATTTTGACTGATTTCACCGATCTCTGAGTCTTTCTCCGATATATATATATACATATATCCGTTAATTTCTGTTTTGATTTGCAAGATTTGATCCGAACCACCGAGTTAGGGTTCCGAGATCTCTGCCCTTTTGCTTCAATTTCAACTAATGATTTGGGTTGAAACTTGACCAGGTTTGGTCACTCGTGCGGAGATTTGATCAGCCGCAGAAATACAAACCATTTGTGAGCAGATGCACAGTGATCGGTGATCCAGAGATCGGCAGTCTCAGAGAAGTAAATGTCAAATCCGGCCTTCCCGCGACAACAAGCACCGAGAGATTGGAGCTGCTCGACGACGATGAACACATCCTCGGCATCAAAATCATCGGTGGTGATCACAGGCTCAAGGTAAAACGAAGATCATGTATCTCGCAGATGTTTAGAAACGAGGAAATTAAAATGTCCTTTCCTTTTGTTTTTGTTTTGTTGTCATCCCGCAGAATTACTCTTCGATAGTGACTGTTCATCCAGAGATAATCGAGGGGAGAGCAGGAACAATGGTGATTGAATCGTTTGTAGTCGATGTTCCTGAAGGAAACACAAAGGACGAGACTTGCTACTTCGTCGAAGCGCTCATAAGATGTAATCTCAAATCATTAGCAGATGTCTCAGAAAGATTGGCTTCCAAGGACATAACTCTTCTCTGAACATGCTCGATGGGTTATCAGTTCCACTGTGTGATATGATATTCGTCACATATAGAGACTCTCCACGGTTACATATGTGTGATAGATAATGAACAACTTCTTAGAAGATGTATTTTTTTCCAATTGTGATGTAAAAAAATGTCTTCTGGTGGTTTGTGACCGTTGCTGGATTTGTATAAATACAATATGTAAATGTGAATGTTTATATACAACTATTTGAAAATGGTTTATATAGGAAAGCAATCAAGTTATAATTCTCTGTTTAGCAGAACCTAATATGAAGGTGTGATTTCACCATTTATCGGGAAAAGTTTGGAGTCGATTTCACCATTTCTCTCATGTTTTCCTCTGTTTTTGTGTTCTTGTTTACCAAAAATTTATCACTTGTTTTGGGGTCTTCAATGTAAATATCGAACGAATTTCAGGGGTAAATAGGGAATGACGGTAATTAGCCAATATAAACGGTGTCGGTTTATCTCTATCGTTTCGGGCTGGTTGAAGAAAAGAAGCAAACCTTCTACGTGACATGGCGGGTTAGCGAAATATGACCATTGTCCTTCAGACTTCTGACTTTCTGTCTGACTAGAAACAACAATTTGTGAAGCAGATCGATTTGAAAATCAAATTTTTTGGTGTGAGCGGGAAAACAAAATCCTCTCCCGCCTTCCTGTAGTTTTCACTCATCAGGTGAGTTTCCTTCTCGTTTCTTGGATTTCTCTTTCGCTTTTATCCATTTTACGGTTCCTCTCATGGTACAATTTCTCCGGCAGTAATTAATGGCGAGAACCAAGCATTTCGCTTCCAGGGTTCGAGATCGGAATCGAACTGGTATTATTATATCGGCTTTCTCTTCCAATTACTTGTGATTTTACTTGGGATTTTAGGATTTTTTTAGTTTGTCCCCTGTTTAACCCTAGGTTTCGCATCTGAAACTGTAGATGCAACGGCTTCATCGTCGGCGGCGGCAGGTCCGAGTAGGGTACGTCATCTTTTCCGTTTTAGGTCTCTGAGTTTTTTGATGCAGAATTTTCCTTATCCCTTTTTGGCTTTTGACAAATTTTTCCATCTATCGAAATGTTAGACCCCGACGAGAAGAGGCAGCGAAGGTGGAGATGATACTCAACAAAGTGAGTATTTCTGGGTCATTATCGTTTTTGTGAGACTTAAAAACACTTTGATTTTGGTCTCGCCTTGTGCTGAGTGTGATGAACTTTCTCCTCTGTGACATTACAGCAACTCCAACAACCTCACCGGTTACGGGTGCAAAAGTAAGATTTCGCCATTGCTTAACAACTGCTTCAACTTGAATGTCTATTTTGCTCAACTGTTTCTCATTTTGTTTGTGAAGAAAGGGGCTAAGAGAACCAAGCAGGCTGTGCCACAAAGTGAGTTTTTTTTGTTCTTTTGGAAATTCATATGATATCTCCTCAGGATGCAGGACATGTACTGCGTTTCATCTAATCTGTGTGTTGTCCTTCTAGGTTCCAAAAAGAAGCCTTACCGTTACAAGCCGGGAACTGTTGCTCTGAGAGAGATTCGCCATTTCCAGAAGAACACTAAACTTCTTATTCCAGCTGCTAGTTTTATTAGAGAAGTAAGTTCTCTCTTTCTTTTGCTCTTCAGCCATAATTACTAATTAGCTGCACTTCACACAAATACCATCAGAGAAGCTAGTTTTTTCGCCAGATTATACACAAAATGCAATGAACTTGGTTATCTATAATTCTGGTACTTGTTTCTTGTCTTCAACATGGATAACATACTGATATAACATTTTGACTACAGTTCACAGCAACCATTAGCTGCCCAACCCTCCATTTAAAGGAGCTTGTTTTGTAATTTGTCTTTGGGGTTATTGGCTCATTGATTTAGAACTATATGATTTCTGTAACTACAATAATACATCTGTTTGGCTTGAGTCTGTACTCTGTTCCAAGATCTTGTAATGCCCATGTTATGCTTAACAAACCAATGTACTAGGTGAGAAGAATAACCCATACTTGTGCTCCGCCGGAAATCACTCGTTGGACAGCTGAAGCTCTTGTGGCTCTTCAAGAGGTATACTAATCATTCAACTTTTTTTTATTTTCTTGATATGAATGTATGAATGATAACTAATGAACCTAATGGAGTATCTTTTTGGGCAGGCGGCAGAAGATTACTTAGTTGGGCTGTTCTCAGATTCAATGCTTTGTGCTATCCATGCAAGACGGGTTACTCTAAGTAAGTACCCCAAAAGAAGATTTCATACTAAATTTAGGAATCACACGCATACTTCTGTTATCCCTTTTGGAGTCCAATACTTGCTTGAACATCGTGTTGTTATATGCTCATCCATCTCTGTTTCTGTTCATATCAGTGAGAAAAGATTTTGAGCTTGCACGCCGGCTTGGAGGAAAAGGCAGACCATGGTGATTGAAACTCACCCACTATTCACATCTCTTACATTGTAAGTGAGGATCGACTTAGTAGTAACCAATGTGTCGCAGGTTGTATAAGATTATTTCACTGCTTATTGTTATGCTTGTGTCCTTTTTTCGACCTTATGATCTGACCAACCCGAATTTGATTTGATTCAATATCTAGGTTGTATAACTTTTTTTTCTCTTTGCTCGTTTCTTATTTGCCTTTTCCCTGGAATTGATCATTTTGCATTACTTGCTCAAAATGTCTAACTCGAAGACTCAGTCTTAGAAAGGGATGTGATTGAAAGAAAAGAAAATTAAGAGGAAGACTTGAAAGAACGTGTGTTTAGAGTGGGCTTAATAGAAAATAGTGGTCTCTGGCAGCCTTGCTAGTGGATTCCCAATTTCAACTTTTCTAGGCATATTTAGAAAAGTATGAGATATCCTTAGCACTTCAAATTTTATAATCCATATACTGATTTTTGATGATTATTCGAATAACATTTGTGATTTCATAATGTTGTCATCAAACACATAAGTAATTTATCACCGTACGCTGTAGCTACTGTCTGATAAAATATGTAATTAAATGCTTTAGTTTAGAATTTGGTTATATATTTCATTGTCAACTCTCTATGTATATGCATTTTTTTTGCCAACCTTTATAATTCCTCTTCCGTTTCAGTTGCCTTATACAGTATCTATTACTGTATTATTTTTTTCATCCATTATGAATTTATGATCTCTGTGCATTGGTAAAAAAAACTAAAAATTCAGTGCAGAGCAGAGCAGAAAAAAAAAAATCATCGAGACTTTATTTACTTATATAATTGTGTATATAAAAATTGGATGCGTCATGAATCATGCAATGGTCCCAACAAATTATATAAAAAAGGAATTCCACGTGTCACGTTCAGTTGCAACTGCATAGTTTGTTCAGTACGTTGCGCAACCTTTTCAAAAGTAAATAATAATAATGAACCGATCGAACCAAATAAAAAGAAGCATGGAATAAAAACTGCGATGTGAATAAATGGGAATAGAAGGAATATCCACAGCGCAAAAATTAATTTTATATCATACCCTAACAAACTTTCAACTCTCCTTTTGAAAGTTCTAACAATAGTTTTTCATTAAATTGAGAATTTAATTCAAATGAGAACAGAAATGTAATTGACTGGAATTCATAAATTTCAATATCAAGTGATTCTCATAATGCATAGCAGCAAAAAAGGTGGGATGTGATTATTATCTGTAGAACTTTTATGCATACCAATTTATATTTATTTTATTTTTTTGTTCAAAGAGTTAGTTTGATTAGTTTATAATCAACCATGGAGTATATGATATTTATTAATAATCATATTGTTTGTCGAACATATCACTGTGCTGAAATAGTTAATTAATATTGAGTTGATAATCATTTATTTTCATGCATACATATTTATTGCGCACGAAAGGCTAACTCAAGGCTAAAAAAAGGACCAACTCAAGGCAAGTAGTATCGATTTTAAAAGCAATTAGACAAAAAACATGACGGAGTAAATGATGTAATGAAACATGTCTAATATGATTCCTATTGGTTCACAACGAAATCCCCCAAACATTACATACATACTGGCATAATAGTACTGCCACCCATAAGCTGCAAAGTTAATTAATAAGAATAATATTTAAGATTCTTTGTTTTCTATTATACTAATGATTAAGTTAATCCGACTTTACGAAATGGTGACATGAGTCCTTAATGTGGAAACCGACCAAACCGGTCGTTAAAATCTGACACTATAAATAGAGAAGAGGGTTGCTGCTCTCCTCTTAGAATTCCACCACTCTCTCCCTCTCTACCTTAAACGTACCACAAAAACCCTATCGATTCAAAAATTCGTAAGGGTACGATCGAAAAATCTTTTGGGATATTACGGCGCTATCAAGAATGGATAAGCAGCGTAAGTCGAAGAATCCCAAGACCAATGCCACCATTTTCGCCTCTTCTTCTGAAGGTATATTGAATTTCTCAGCCAACTTCAAAATACGGCGCCGTTTCTATTCTACTTTATGATAAATGTGAAAAATTGGAGATGACGTGGAACAGAAGTGAGCAGTCTTGAGTGGGAAGAAATAGCAATGACCCAAGAAGAAGAGGATTTGATCTGCAGAATGTATAAGCTTGTCGGTGAAAGGTTTTTCATTATTTCTTTTCTTTCTCAATTCATTTTTATTTGCTGGGTTAATTCTTTAAATATGTGATTTTAAATAAGGGAATTAAAGATTTTGTTGTTGTTGGTTGTGAAGGTGGGACTTAATAGCTGGGAGGGTTCCGGGAAGAACAGCAGACGAGATAGAGAGGTTTTGGGTGATGAAGAATCATCGAAGATCTCAATTACGTTGATTGAGAACTCTGTATCAATTTTTTTTTTTATTTAATAATAAAAACGAAATACATACATATATCCTCTCTATTCGTTTGGTATTTCTCTGCAGTTTTGTTCGTGTGTTTTCAAGTTGTATCTCTGGATTTCATATTTGTATTTCTAAGCTATAATATCTTAATACTCTATAAACAAAAACAATAGTATATATCTTAATTTTACAGTCACGTCAAAAACAATAGTTTTCCGGTAATTTTAGAGGTAAAAAAAAGTGCATTACTCTCGCCGAAAATGAAACCAAAACCATGTGAATAAACAAAAGGAAAGGAAAACTTTGCTGTTTGTTGTTTGATAACTTGGTCAAGTATCATTTATACATCTTAAGAGAAGAGTCTAGATACTAATGCAAGTATACTAAGGGATCGGATTATGTCATACATACATGTAGTTGCCGCTGGTTTCTCCCCTCGCTTTGTCAGTTTGTTGAGGGAGAAGACCAAGACAGTGAGAGTGGGCTTGTCATCTTCACTTGGTGTTGGTCTTTAACTGGGCTTGAAATCGCCTTGTCTTCCTCATGGGTGCTCTGTATAGTTTCACCAGCAACAGAAGGTGATATCTGATTCTGCAGGATGAAGAGATGTTATAGTGTATGATGATGATACCAAAAACAAAAAGAAGTAAAGTGGTGTTGAGACTTACAGCCCCTGGAAAGTGCGCGTTAGAATGATCAGATGAGAGTTGCGGGAAAGGAGAAGCTTGGCCAGGTTCAGCAGCACATGTATCTGTGGTCACTGTTTCAGGTTCATCAGGGCAAAACGCAGTGAAACATGGCATCCTCTTTGTGAAAACCCCGCCGCTCTGTGATTGTGCGAGAAGCTGACCACAAACAGCGTTAGGTGACCAATCCGGTCCCCCGGTTAGGAGTTGTTCTTGCGTAACTTCTCCAGGCACAGCAAGTGGTGTCAGAATAGGAAACTCTAGCAGAGTGGCCTCGTCTCTGTCTCTGTCTCTGAGATGAGCGTTTCTGCGTTCTTTCTTGGGCTGTATTGCTCCACTAACAACAGGAAACTGTAGCAGATAGGAGGCGTCGTCGTCTCTGGCTGGTGCTTGTTCAATCTGATGAACAACACAAACAAACAACCCAAGCGTGCCTTCTTCTTTGAGTATGCATATACGTACCTCCGATACAAAATTAAAAGATGATGTGCTTACCATCGCCCACGCCTGCTTTCTTTGGGGACTCTGCTTTGGGGCTTCCTCACTCACGAATCCCTCTTTTTTGTCCATCGCCTCTCTACACTCTGAGATTCCTGAAAGATTCAAGAGACAACACGCAACGATTTCTCTGTGAATAACAAGACTCAAGTCTCCGTATGACCAATTGCTATAACTTGTACGCAAAGGTTCAAGAGATAACGCCGATATCGTCGACGACACAAATTTTGACATGAAGAAAGCAAAAAAACGAGAGCGATTGATCAACAAGAACCAAAATCCCGATCATAAAATCATCACAACATGAAGGAATCGGAAAATAACCGATTCGGTCACAACAGAGTCAACTCGCGCATGAACATTTCCCGCCATAAATTGACAATGCACAATCTACCCAAAGATTCTACGGGAAAATTCACCCATCGTTACGAAAGGAAAAGCGATATCGATTGAAGAAGACGAGAGCAACAAGAACCCGATCCCATCACATAATCAAAGAAGAAGAAAACGACGATTGGGAACTGAAATAAACGATTGAATCAATCACGAATGATCAGCTCGAAATTGGAATGGAGATTGCATACCCGGAAGATTGAGTAGCTATTCACTGATTATCTGACTCGAAACGGTGACAAAGCTTGCTCCAGAAATCTCCAAGAGAGAGAGAGAGAGAGAGAGAGAGAGAGAGAGAGAGAGAGAGAGAGGGAAAATAAAATCGTTCGAAAGAAACGATCTGTTAGCCAACGATAAAAAACAAAAAAAGTCTCACTCAGTATATGTTTCTTAATTTATAAGTTATCGACGGAAAAAATATAATGTATTTGTTTTTTTTGAAATGCATTCTGCTGAAACGTAAACTATATTTTTCATAATTAATTTTCAAATATGTTCTTAAGTTTATATATATGTAGATTAAAATGAAAATTACCATGTACATTTATCCAAACAGTAGATGAATGGATTTTTATTGGGACAAAATAAAACTTATATATATATTGAACATAGCGGAATCCACCTCTAATACCGGTTAATCATACTTAATTGTTCGGTTATTCAGTACCGCCGACTTATGAGTTTATGAGTTTAAAACTTATGAGTTTTCTAATCGAGAAATAAGAAAAACAATACCAGTCCCGGAGTTGTTCGTCAAAAATCTGAATATTTTAGCAAAACATTACTTTTTTTCTTTTCAATTGGGAATTATTTAACTTAGATAATCACGAAAATATTTATGAATATGTTAAATATAGATACTGTTGGATAAGCATTGAAGACTTGCAATCTAAGAAACCTATAACAAGTTGGTTTAGGATAAAAGAGGTTAATATAATTTTGATAGCTTTAGGAGTGATCTATTTCTATTGAGAATATGATTAGCAGAGTTGTGTTAAACCTATATATACATCATTGTGACAAAGGTGTGAAGAACAATTACTTGTGTTTAGTTTTTGAGCTAAATTTCTAAACATAATAAAGAGAGATATTCTTTATAAACTTTGTTCTTAAAAGACTTTATTTGGTATCAGAACTTAAGGCATCACGATCAAGAAGGAGACTTGATTCTGATCACGAAAGTTCTATACACTTAGATTCACGATAAGGTGAAGCAATGGCTGAAGACAATCCTCCTCTTCCGCGACCAAGGGAAGAGAAGACGATCTCGATTCAAAGCCCTATGCTTACACCTACGAACTACACAGTATGGGCGATGCGAATGAAGGTATTGTTGCGAATTCATAAAGTCTGGAAAGCAATCGATCCCGGAACGAATGAGAACAACAAGAACGATGTTGCAGTCGCACTATTGTTTCAATCCATCCCGGAGACGCTTATTATGCAAGTTGGCGAACAAGAGTCTCCTAAAGAAATATGGAATACGATTAAAACCCGATATCTAGGAGCTGATCGTGTAAAGGAGGCACGCCTGCAGACCCTCATGTCTGAGTTTGATCGTATGAAGATGAAGGATGACGACACAATTGATAACTTCGCTGGAAAGTTATCAGAACTATCAACTAAGGCAGCTTCTCGTGGAAAAACGATTGAGGAAGCTATAGTGGTGAAGAAGTTTCTCAACAGCCTACCGAGAAAGAAGTATATCCACATTATAGTTTCTCTCGAACAAGTTCTAGATCTGAACACAACAAGCTTTGAGGATATAATCGGAAGACTTAAAGCTTATGAGGAGAGGATCCTAGATGAAGACAACCACGGAGATTCACAAGAAAAGTTGCTTTATACAAACTCTGAAGAACGAAACACGTCTTCTTCAAGAGGGAGAGGTCGTGGCAGAGGAAACAGAGGAAGAGGAAGAGGACGAGGAAACTCACAAGATCGATCAACAAATCAATCAGATCAAACGAAGGCGAAAGACAAGAAAGACAGATCAAAGTTGATTTGTTATCGCTGTGATAAATCTGGTCACTTCGCCTCTGTTTGTCCCGAAAGACCACGAAAACTGCAGGAAGCGAATCAAGTAGAGATTGACGAAGCAGAAGCAGCTCTATACCTGCACGAACTCGTGTTCTTAAATGAAGAAAGAGTCATACCAAAGAATTACAGCAACGACGAAAGAGAAGATGGACTTTGGTATCTCGATAATGGAGCAAGCAATCATATGACTGGCCGTAAGGAGTATTTCTTGGAACTAAACGAGAATATAAAGGGCAGAGTCAAGTTTGGTGATGGATCGTGCATTGAAATAGGAGGGAAGGGGTCAATACTATTTCAAAGCAAGACAAAAGAACAGAAACTCGTAACAGACATCTATTACATTCCGGCGCTTAAGAGTAACATCCTAAGTTTGGGACAAGCTACGGAGGTCGGATGTGATGTCAGAATGCGACAAGATTTCTTAACGGTTCATGACCCAAGAGGAAGACTTCTCGTAAGAGTCACAAGATCAGCGAACAGATTATACAAGATAAACCTCACGGTTGGTAAGCCAAGCTGTTTAAAGACAAGTATAGCAGAAGATTCTTGGAGGTGGCATGCGAGATTAGAACATATTAGTTTTAAGACTATGAAAGCTATGTCAACGTTGCAGATGGTTCATGGACTACCGGAGTTCAAAGAAGAAGACAGACTGTGCGAATCTTGTTTGGTTGGTAAACAGACTCGACAATCCTTTCCAGCTGCAACAAAGTATCGAGCTTCATAACCCTTAGAGCTACTACACGCGGACTTGTGCAGTCCTATCACACCACCAACAATAGCGAATAACAGATATATATATATTTGTTATTATAGACGATTACTCGAGATACATGTGGGCTATCTTGATTAAAGAGAAGAGTGATGCGTTTTCTAAGTTCAAGGAGTTCAAGAACTTAGTTGAAAGGGACCTCAAGAAGAAGATAGTAACTCTAAGAATGGACAGAGGAGGAGAGTTTACTTCTGGAGACTTCAACGATTTCTGTAACTCAAGTGGGATTAAGAGACATCTCACAGCGCCATACACACCCCAACAAAACGGAGTGGTGGAGAGAAGAAACCAGACTTTGTTGGAGATGACAAGAAGCACTCTCAAAGCGATGAAAGTACCAAATTACTTGTGGGGAGAAGCTGTACGTCACGCAACCCACATAATCAACAGAGTCCCAACACGAGCCCTCAAAAACATGACCCCATACGAATGCTTAAGGAACAAGAAACCGCACCTTGAGCATCTAAGGGTATTCGGATGCTTAGCTTACGCTAAGATAGAGAATACAAACCTGAAAAAGCTCGATGACAGATCAAGACCACTAGTACACCTCGGTTTAGAACCAGGAACCAAGGCGTATAGGCTCTACAATCCGACGCAGAAGAAAGTTGTAGTAAGCCGTGATGTGATCTTTGATGAGAAATCAAGCTGGAATTGGAGTGAAAACAAAGAAGGATCAAGTAGAAGTCCAGGAATGTTTCACTTAAGATGGGGAGATATCGTGGATGCAGGGGAAGGACCTACGATGGTGGGAAACAATCACCATGAAGACAACAATGGAAACCTAAGTGATCAAGAAGATGCTGAAAACGCAAACGAGGAAGAAGTTGCGGAAAATCAGCCGACACAGCAACCAATACAACAGCAACAACCCCTAAGGAGATCAAACAGAGAAACTAACCTGCCAGGATACCTTGGAGATTACGTATGTTACCTTGGCGAGGACTATATTCTACAAGCTTCTGTGGAATGTGAGCAATTATTGCTGTTAATAAATGACGAACCAAGCTGTTACAAGGATGCAGAAGGGTCGCTACAATGGAGACTAGCCTGCAAAGATGAGATAGATTCAATCAACAAAAACAAGACATGGTTTTTAGTTGAGAGAACGAGTTCTATGAAGGTGATTGGTCTCAAGTGGGTCTTTAAACTCAAGAAGAATGCGGACAACACCATCAATAAACAGAAAGCGAGACTTGTAGCGAAAGGATACATACAAGAGTCTGGTGTTGATTTCGACGAAGTATTCGCACCGGTTGCACGTATTGAGACCATTCGTTTGTTGATAGGATTGGCAGCTTCAGAAGGATGGGAAATTCATCACCTGGATGTAAAGACTGCATTCTTACATGGAGAGTTAAAAGAAGATGTTTATGTAGAACAACCCAAAAGCTTTGTGATAAAAGGAGCAGAACACAAAGTATACAAGCTTTCGAAAGCTCTATATGGACTAAGGCAAGCACCCCGAGCATGGAATCGAAGCTCGATCAAATCCTGAAGAAGTTGGGATTTAAGAAGTGTGTAAAGGAAAGCGCAGTATATCGTAAAGAAGAAGGAGTAAATCTTCTCATTATTGCGATCTACTTTGACGATTTGTTCGTAACCGGAAATTCTCTCAAGGCGATCAATGACTTTAAAATCGGGATGTCAACGAACTTTGAGATGTCGGATCTCGGACTACTCACTTATTACCTTGGCATAGAAGTCTACCAAGGACAAGATGGAATCGAGATTAAACAAGAAGGTTATGCTCGACAGATCTTAAAAGAATCAGGCCTAGAAAACTGTAACCCGACCAAGATACCTATGGAGTTTGGATTAAAGATTTCTAAGGCACAGGAAGAAGAGGAAATGGCTCTCACGAGCTATAGAAGGAGCGTTGGATGTCTTCGTTACTTGCTGCACACACGACCGGACTTGGCGTTCTCGGTGGGAGTAGCAAGCCGATATATGCAATGTCCACGGAAGTCACATGGTGAAGTAATGAAACACATACTACGGTACCTTAAAGGAACGATGGGGTATGGTTTGAAATTTCAGCGTGGAGGTTCAAAGAAACTTGTTGGCTTTAGCGATAGTAGCCATAATATCGATCAAGATGACGGAAGGAGTACAACGGGCCATATTTTCTATTTTGGTTCATCACCAATCACGTGGTGTTCTCAAAAACAGGACACGGTTGCACTTTCTTCTTGTGAAACTGAGTTCATGGCCGCGACAGAAGCTGCAAGACAAGCCATATGGCTTCAAGACCTTCTAAGCGAGATTACAGGAAAGAAGACAGAACAAATCCTCATCAGAATTGACAATATGTCCGCAATTGCACTCACTAGAAACCCGGTGTTTCATGGCAAGAGCAAGCATATTCACAAACGCTACCATTTCATTCGAGAATGCATTGAAAGGGAGCTGGTGGATGTTGAACATGTGTCCGGAACTGAGCAGAAAGCGGACATACTAACCAAGGCATTGGCGCGGATCAAGTTTGCTGAGATGAGAAGCTTGATTGGTGTGCAAGACATGTCTAAAGAGAAGTCTACAAAGCTTAAGAAAGAGAATGTTGGATAAGCATTGAAGACTTGCAACCTAAGAAGCCTATAACAAGTTGGTTTAGGATAAGAGAAGTTGATATAATTTTGATAGCTTTAGGAGTCATCTATTTCTATTGAGAATAGGATTAGCAGAGTTGTGTTAAACCTATATATACATCATTGTCAAGTTGTGACAAAGGTGTGAAGAACAATTACTTGTGTTTAGTTTTCGAGCTAGATTTCTAAACACAATAAAGAGAGATATTCTTTATAAACTTTGTTCTTAAGAGATTTTAGATACTATATATTTATAAATCGAAAATCAGAAAAACCTAAAAACCGATCTGAAAAAGGAATACAAAAAGCCATAAATTCTATTATAAAGTTAAGAATAACATTCATGGTTCAAACACACACACACAGAGGAGAAAAGAAAAACTCTGAATTTATGGAGAAGATGGGTGACAAACTTGCGCCACATAGCAGGTACGTGCAGAGACTAATGACTAGTTCCGAAAAAGTTGACATGGACGAGTTTCGTAGGATCGTCTTTTTGTCTGATGAGCTCCCTAAATTTGCGAATGCGCTGACTTCAGATTTGGACCTCTTCGTCAACATCACCAGCGACGAAGTAGGCTTGAACCGCATCATGAGAATTTTAGGAATATCAGACAACATCAATACCATACTTTTCTACCCTATCATGATGAGATTTACGGAGATTATGACTCATGATCGCGGTCGCGGCCAAGATCTGGCGTCAAGAATCCTAAACGTTTGCAACATACATCACAAGAAACAATTTTGCCAGATCACGTACCGTCACGCGTTAGTCCTAGCGCCTGACGAGAACGGTTGCGCCATACTCAAGCAAGTCATAACAGAAGCTGATGAGTTCTTCAAAGATGAATTCCTTCAACTAATTACAGAGGAAGCTTACTCGCTATGCATGTATGATTTAGGGATCTCCCTAATCGAGCACGTGCTGAAGCTCGATTTCACACTCAAAACCACACAAGACGACACGCTCTTGCACGAGCTAATGGCCGAGTTTGATGAGCTTCTCTCGACACCTGATGATGACCGGCTCCATAAACTTGCCTCGAAGCTAACCTCAGACTCTGATCTCTTTGTCGAGTTTGTCAAAACAAGACGAGGCTCGCTCATGGCTCAGATAATCCTAGGAAAATCAGAAGAAATCGACACGGGTTTTCTGGCAGCGATCAAGCAAAGGTTCACCGATGTTACAACCGATTTCTACGCTTATCGCATCATGGTACGGGCCATATACGTTTTCAAGAAAAGAGGAAACCTGAAAGTGTGTAATCAAATCCTACGCCTAGTCGGAGTCCACGCTCTCTACCTAACAAAAGACCCTCATCTGGGAAGCGCCATGGTAGAAGAGGCGGTTGATCTCCATAACTTGGATTGCACGGCATTCATCGCGAGTGGGCTTCATTGTCACTATATTGAGGTTTCGTTTCTGGAACATGGAAGCAAAGTTGTATAGAAACTTCTCAGTGACAGTAAGACGGTGCTCCCTTTGCTTTTTATCGTGATGGAGATTGCCAAGTGTGATCAAGCTACGTTGGTGAGACTGGCCAATGATGAACACGGGAACAAAGTGTTGAAAAAGGCCATGGAAGTTGCGAAAGAGCATAGGGTTGATTTCTTTGGTGACATTGCTGAGAAGTTTAAGCCTTTTCTTGATAACTTGCGTGGGTCTCTCGGAGAAAACATTGCAGCTATCATCGACTCAGAAGAGACAGAGACGGTTAAGGATCGGATTGTTTCACAAGGAAATGCTTGATTGATTAGGGCTTTTGATGCTTGATTAATTAGGGCTTTTGATCTCAAAGTTTGAGATCTTGCAAGACTAATTCTCGTTTTTACTTTCTATATTTTCTTTCTATTATATTTTCTCTGCTACATTCAAGTGAACTTATTAGGTTGTTTTAAGGAAATGTATAACGTTCTCGAGAAATTGGTGAAACGAGGATCTTAGTTTGACTGACAAGGCCAAATTTATGGAACTATACTGTGATTCTGATATCACTGAGTCCACCATTTTCTATCATCTTTGAGACGAACCATATATATAGTGAAAGAACAGAGTACATCTTAGAAAATGTTCAAAAAACAGATATACATCTTATATAAATTATTGTTTTGAAATTCCCACCTTTCAACATTATACATGTTTATTATTTGTGTATCAAGGTCAGATACAGTTTTGCTTGTGACTCCTTCCAGCATAATATGTAAATCGAAGCATTTTGGATCTTGAGCATTCAGGTAGCACAATGAGTACTCAAAACAAATTACAAAAAATAAAAGAGAGACAGATATTGGTCTTGTTTCGATGTCTCATTGGTGGGATTTCCACTTTAAAGAAACTTGAGTGAGTGATTTCGTAGAGAACCCATCTTCTCTCAAGACTCTAACCACTCCTTCTTTCAACTCTTTCATTTTATTCCTTATCGCTTTCCCTTCTTCCCCTTCCATCAACTTCTCAACCACTCTCACCACTTCTTCCTTTGATACCATTCCATCTTCACCAGTTCGTGTTCTTAGAGCCGCCCCAACACCCTCCACAAGCAGCAATGCGTTCATCTTTTGCTCGGCATACAAAGGCCACGCTATGAGCGGCACACCGTTTACGATGCTTTCAAGAGTCGAATTCCATCCACAATGTGTTAGAAATCCACCCGTGGATGGATGGGCCAGGATTTGAGCCTGTGGAGCCCAAGACGGAACCACTAAGCCTTTTTCCCTGGTTTGGTCCAAGAACCCAAGTGGCAAGAATGTCAATGGATCGGTTTGGCTGTGTGAGTTGAAAAATGAGGAATTAGCTATCCCGCTCGGACTTCTTATGACCCAAATAAACCGTTTCCCGCTCTCCGCTAGACCGAAAGCGAGCTCATTGAGCTGCTCACACGTGAGTGTGCCGCCGCTTCCAAATGATACGTATAGAACCGAGCCGAATGGTTGGTTGTCCAGCCATTTTAAACATTCATCAGGCTCGTCGTTCCGGTTAGCATAAGATGAATCTGTCCTAACCAACGGTCCAATCGGGTATACCGGTAGTTTGTTAGGAGCCGGTTCTTGTAAAGCCTTTATAGCGTTAGGCTCTAAATCGACGAAAGAATTCAGTAGAATCCCTTTAGCCTCTTTGAACCTCTTGGCGTTGTGGAGAAGCCATTTGTATGCGTCGTCGTTTCGGTTTTGACACGGATCGGCGAAATCCTTACCGGTTATCGGGACACAACCGGGAATCTCAACCGGGTCCGTTAAGTCCCTAAACTCACACGACACCGTTTCGTCTAGTTTCGGCAAGTGAAGCAAGAACGACAAGACGTTGGCATTTGATGGGTAGAAGATGTATGGTGCCACGTGGAACTCAACGGCGACGTCGAACGCATCCGTACCAAATAGATCGACAACGAGAACCGCCGGGAGACGTTTCTCCGAAGATAACGAGCCGAAAAGCTCCCGTAGGACCGGGATCGAACGAGTCACGGTGAGTGAGATCCGAGTTTCGATTCCCGCCGTCGATGGAAGGTCGGAAAGATCTACGGGAGGGAGGAATACGGAGGCTATGGAGGAAGGGAGGGAGTTGAGAACGGATATTAGGGCGCTGGACGGAGAAGATTCGCCGGGGAAGATAAATGTTACGGTGAACCGGTGGTGGTCAACGAGTCGCTTTGCAAACTCAACGAGTGGGATTAGGTGACCAACACCAGGACTCGGTATGATTGCTATACTTGGAGTGTTTGCGTCCGCCATTAATGCAAGATTCAAGAATGTCTGGAATCTAGAATGTACTTAAAAAATCTAAAATTATTTGTGCATGTTTTATCTATGGTACCTACCTAGTGGCTTTATAGACCATGATCGTAGTATAATTCATCGGATAAAGTTTGTGCATGAAGATATGATATCATCTATTTGAATAATATTAATTATCGTATAGTAATGGAAAACAGTTCACCTTGAAAAATATGATTTAAAAATAATTATAATATTCAATATAGACTGTTGTCAGAAAAATAGCATAATAGAAGGCTGAGTGTCAAACAGCAAGACCACACATGTGGAAGGGCGATGTAACCACTGATCTAAGCTTATAAGCAGCCAAAAATTATCCCGGTTTTTAGACTTTTCCCAATCGATTTAAAAGTCGGTTAACAGGAAAGTTACTCGGTTTGAGTGACATTATTTTTATAAAAGTTATTACCAGAGTAACTTTCTAATTTGGTTATGTTCTTTGTCCAATGGACCCCAAATTACCAATGTGATTTCGTAATCTCATTGATGGATAGCAGGCAAAAAGATCCAAAAACGGCAACAGACAGCGGCAGCTGAGGAAGTAAAACGAAACGACACGACGTTTCTTTCCCACATGTATTTGGATTTTGGACCCATATGGTAGGCAGCCCAATAATGAATGGAGTTTGTAAAGGATAAAAGCAAACAAACTAATTTACACGTGAAGTCGAGGCTATTCTCGTCTTTTCACACTTGTTATCTGTACATTTCCCGGTTAAGCATTACCTCCACCATTAGATCATTCCATGAATCAATCGGACCGGGTAAGCACCAGTGAAGACAATCATTCTGAATCTGAATCTGATGAGTTCGACTCTGGTCCTTGTTCTTCACCCCAGCGAAAGGATTCGGATACCGGTACGGTCCGGGATGGCCATCTGGCCTGAGAAGCGACATTGAAGTTGTGTCAAGTAATCCAATGTTGGAATTGGAACCTTCTTCCTGGGTCGTACGGAACTCCTCAAGCTCGATATCACGCATCGTTACATCCTCGCTCTTCATCTCTCCTTCGCTTTCTTTGAACGGCATCGTTCTGTTACAGAAACCACCACTGTTCCACTCTCCATTCTCGAAATGATCAGGTGTTGTTGTTCTGAACAGAACCTGAGCTTTATGGTTTGGTTCAGCGACAAAGTTCAAAACCAAACGGAGGGCTTTTCGGTACGAGTATTGGTAACCGAGCTCGGTGAGATTGTTCTTCCCTTGGCAGTAATGGCACCCGGTTATGGTGTTGTTCTCATGGAAGATCGATGTTTTGAGGAACCATTTCCCACCGGAGATGACCACGTAGTCGAAATTGATGTACTGATCAGTCCATTTGTGGTCGAGCTCGTCGAGGTGGAGCTGAATGTCTGAGAAGGAAACGCCTTCAGTGTTCTCAAAGGTTTCAGCTTTCAAAAGGAAAGGAGACCAAATGACTGAGAGTGTGAAGTTGTGAGAAGGGAATCTCCATATCTTTGATCTGTATTCCTTGTCGTGGTAGATCTCCTCCGCCTCTTCTACCTGCAAAATCAACCAACTTGACATCAAATCTAAATCGGATTTTCACAAAAGAGAGATTGAAATGAATTTTGACCTGAGAGAGAATGCAGATGAGGGATTGGACATGGTTACGAGAGATTGAATCGCCGATGAAAGCCCACCACTTGTTCCTCATTTTGTCGAGAAACTGCTCGGGATTAAACCTCGGGAGATCGCAGTCGCGAGGTTTCCATCTCCAGAGAAGGTAATTCGCATCTGGCCGTCCGTTCTTCAAGCAATTCTGGTGTTCCTGGATATGGCGGCAAGAGACATTGGTGTAAACCGGACCTGATGGGTCTGGTACCCAATTCCCGGTAAAGATATCACACTTTGTGGAAGCTACAACTGTTCACACACAGATTTAATCAAACACTTGGTGAGCATCATAATCCAAAGAATTTGGTCTTCAATTAGAGATGATCAGTTTTTTAAGGGGATCTTAAGATTTTGATATGATTGGAATGAGAAAAGGGATTAAAACAAAAACCATTCTCTTCACGTTGCTTGGATCTTACTCTTTTGTGTTGTTGATTCCTCGGAATTTGAACTAAATTTTACTGATGGTTGACAGAGATCGCTTACCATTTTGTGAAGCAATGGTGATGTTTCGTGGGGAATCAACGGAGGCTGGAGCTTCAGCGACGGCAGTGAGAACGGAAGGATCCGACGGGGAAGATTCCGGGGAGGTCCGCACGTCGGGAACCGGGGAGACGGTGGAATCGGTGACGATTAAACGGTAAGCGAGACCGATGAGAAGGAAGAAAGCGACGAATTTGAGGAAAAATTGATTGCGTTGGTGAGAGGAACCAAATGGGTTTCCTTCGATCTTCATGTTCTTAGACAGTAATCTCAATGTATCCATGGGAATTAGAGAAAGAGAAAGGAATCGATCAGTGAGTTTTTGGAGGCAATCGAATTGTTTCTATTAGCTTTCTTGGAGGTTTTTGGTTGTCGTTGAAAGCGAGGATCTTCCTGCTAATAAATGACAGAGTGTATTTTGTTTTTTGGTTTTGTTTTTTCAAAGTCATTAGTATTATTTTTTGAAAGCTAAATTACTCGTTACTGTGTACGTGTTTGCTTTAGGATTTTTTTTGGTTACGTCGGTCGAAAAACACTTTTGATTAGGCATCCTTAACTGTTCTTAAAGATACAAATATAATAATTGTAAAGAAAAACATATACTTTGTCTCTTTACGCATGATTAAGCCACTGATACACGGAGACATGATAGTACCACTAACGACTTCCAGTAATTGAAAAAATGCATAACATGGCAAAAATATACATATACATTGCATTTTCTAGAACTTTTTTTAAAGTTTGTTTGTGCTGAATAGTTTTTCTGCTTCTTTTAAGAAATACATCGAATTTATGCATGGAGTGGGGTACATTATAAATATGAGGCCCATACTGAATAAATGCTCAGTCTTTTTGCTTGACGTAGATATTGGACCCATGGGGTTAAATACTACCGTATCATCTACCTCGTGGACCAAATCTCACAATTTTGAACACGTGTCAGCAATCTACCGCAATAGCTTTCACTGTGGGTTCTTTCTTCAAAACGATTCAACGGACAGGTACAGCCTGTACAGACAGATCTATAAATATTAAATTATAGTAGTAGTATTGAATAGTTAAAAGTTAAAACTTATTGATCAACAACAGAATAATGATTATCCAAAACAAAACAAATACAGTACTTATTTAATTCCCAATATAAAAATGATCAATTTACATACATTAGATCACAAGAAAACCAGATGGTTTATATTTAACCACACCCAAAATCACAAACCGGTTTGGCTTGCTTCAAAAACAAGAAAAAAAATAATGGAATGGAACACTAAAAAACAAAACCCCCCAAAATCTATTTTGCTTCAAAAGGAAAAGAGAAGTTGTTTTGGGTCAGTATGTAACCACTGATGATGTGTGTTATATAAAGCACAATTTAGTTTTAAGTTACATAGCGAAGATTGAAACCAGGGGCTGAATCAAGCTGATGAAGTTTCATGAAGCCAGGTTTCTTGGAACTCTCATGCCAAATCCATGCTTTACCTTCTCAACCCTGAATCAAATTTCAACATTTTTCAAAGAATGACAATGAGCTACATAATCTCAGATTCAACTAAAGATTGATATATATATAAATACTTCATTAAGAATTGTTTTATGCTTACGTTGGAGCTAATTTGCCAAGACTCTTAAGTTCTTCACCAGAGTCTCCATCGAGAACTCTTCCTGAAATATCAACGATGTAAGAACGGTTCTTGCCTCGAGGAAGACCTCTACATGAAAGTAACTCGAAATCTCTCTCGTGAAGCTCTCTCCCGTTAACAAACACGCTTGTGTTTCCTGCACCGCAGTTATCTGGCATTGGACGACTAAACTCTTCGATAAATGGCTGCATCAACCATTAATTGTTTCAAGATCCATCCAATACAAACCGAAACTGAAAGTAAAACAGAAGAGTTGTGAAAGTTCTTACTGGTATTATACCGAGACACGGGTTTCCCATCACTCCCCAGAATCCAGCACGGTAGTCATACCTAATCATAATCAGAATACAAAGGTCATTCATTTCTTTCACGGCTGATCAAATATGTTGTCGGAAAAAAAATGAACTTGTAACCAAAAAGCATACCAGTACTTGCCAGCTTGAACTGGTCCAGCTTGTTTCTCGGCGTTGATGACCAGATCTTCTGGTATTAGATGCCCATTCACCCAAACCTCTAACAGACCGTTGTTTTGGTCGTTAGAGACGATTTTATTTGTGACATCTGAGAAACCGTAGTCACTACCCTCCTTTCTGTTTCTTGGTCTGCTCTCTTCATTATTATTGGTCTTTGAGGTCCTTGAATCTTCAGACACCTCAGTGTTATCATAGTAACCATTATAAGAAACATCTGTCTCGATAGCTACTGATTCTGGTATCAGCGAGTCCTGTTTCGTGTAGGATACTTGCTTATTGTACCCTAACTGCGCCATTCCGTAAGTGAGTGCAGCTCGGTTCACATTAGAATACTCAAAGAGCTCAAGAAGATTGGAATTCTCAGGAGGAGGACGAGAAGGAGGAGGAGGAGGAGGAGGAGCTTTCGTGCCTTTGATGACTCTGCGGCGAACAGACTTGACCACCTCTTTTTGCGGTTCGCTAGAAACGCTTGATCTTTCTTCATCATCTGAGTGTTCACTAGGCGATACATCCCGGACAATTTTGGTTTCCCGGTGTGTTCTTGGCTCCTCATCCTTAACCGGACATTCATCTACCACTGCGCTTGAAGCATTTCTATCTTGAACCTTTACAGGAACCCGGTTAGTCTTCTCCGCAAGAGCAGAAGAAGAGAACACAAGCCTCTTATCAAGAATTGTGAAACTGATAACCTCAGAGCAAGCACCGCATTGCAGCTTTTGTTGCACATCCTGAGCAAGAAGCTTCTTCTTAGGCAAATAGAGCAGCTCAAAGCAACTGTGACAAGCTATAAAAGGCGCACCGCCTGCTAGAGGATGGCAGCGACGGGAATCAGTATCCGACACAGCCTTTCGAACATACCCACGAGCAAAAGCAGCACCGCCCATTTCAGAGTTAATTTCGCTAGGCCACCTCGTGGGAACGCCACCAGCATGTGGACTAAACGGTCCGGTTCTCTCGCCATGATGCGAAACAGGGCTATATGGGACATCACCACCGTACCTACTCGGTGTACCCGGAAAGAATCTAGGTTCTTGTAGCTGTGGGTCAAGAATATCAGGACCAATATCTACATACTGTCCTTGAGGATACGGAGGACGAGGCGGCATCTGATTTGGGTAATGACCTGGATACCAGTTCTGAGGTGTCTTGTGCATTTGGAATCCGTAAGGGTCTCTATAAGGTGGAATATGGTTTGGGTTACTCGTGGAAGGATACATTCCATAGGGGAACGGCTCAGGATACGGATTCGCGTAGTAAGAAGGTCCACGGCCATGGAAACCCATTGGCGGCTGGTCTGAGTCTTTTGGTTTATCATTACCACCACGGAGAAGATGACCTTTTATGGAGTCAAGCTTTCTCAGAAGCTCGGCTTGATGCTGTTGATCTGTGTACTGAATCGGGCTGTTTCTGGCCGCGTTCTTAGAAGAAGAATCTGAATCGGAGTTAGAGTTTCTAGCCTCTTCCTCTTTTCTCGAGCTCTTCGCGGATCTCTGAGAGACAGACCGTGGATTTGAATCGTCTTGGCGATTTCTCATCGGGCTCGCGGAATCGTTGCCCTCCTCCTTAAACCCTCTTTCTTCTTCACTTTTCGAAGAAGAAGCAGCGCCTGCTCCGTAGACGTCACCGCTTGTCCTCATCGGATTTTGTTTCTCCGACGAAGCCTAGCTTCTAGGGTTTCGCTAGCTCAGCTGCAACTGACAATAATAATAATCCTTGAGATTCGAATTTAGCAACATATCTCTCCAATCAAAACAATATATGCAGGCATTGCAGAGCAATTCATGGTTCTCATTTTCTTTCCAACAGACCAGAAATTTTTTCTCGCAGATTCCATGATTTCTCAGCATCTAAACGGGAAAGAACAACACAAAAAAAAGCGAAAAAAAAACGCACCTCGAAGAAGAACGTTTCCGGCGCCAGGATTAGATGAAGTGGAGAGGGAAATTTTTGGCAATTTCTTCTCCCCGTGATAATCAATTAACAGGCTTTCACTCTCTTTGACGCAGCCATTTTTTAAGAAAGAAATGAATTTGAAAGTTTCAGAGGGAATTTAAATAATCAAAAGACTTTGGCTATACTTTTCTCGCACTTTGCTTCGCTTTTTTCCGGGAATCATCGACAATGGAGTTTCAAATATATCGGAGAGAGAGCAATAACCAGAGGATCTACGAACAAATATTTCAAATCCTACCTGATGAAATTTTGGATTTGACCTTTTTAACTTTTAAAATTTGAAATTTTAGGACATAGAACACCTTGAAACTATTATGAGTCTTTACCTGGTCAAGTTGACCAACAGATAACGTGACGACTAATAATGTTTGAACTCTTATGCAAATCTAGAGTGCCTTCATACAATTAAATTATGTTTGATTTTTTTCGGTTTCAGTTTTTAGTTTATTTTTGTATAATATGATGGGTTCGACTTAAATGCATTACAAACTACAAAGGGATATGATATGGTAGCGACACTAATCCAAACAATGATATAGCGGCGACATTTGATCCAATACATTCCAAATATCAATTCTTAATAAGAAGTTAGTTCTTGATATGGTCTCTAGTCCAAACCAACAATGCAGTCAGTTAACACGTTATTTCATGGTATTTAGATAATGATGATGAGTAAGTGTATTTATAAATGTATCGATGATATTATATATTGTCAAAGTAGATGGTGTGCCATGTTTTCAAGACGTGCTCATAACTTGTATTGTACAATACTAAAAAGCTCAGAGTCAAAGCTTTGTTAATTGAGTTTTAACAATTAGTACAATATAGTCCAACAAAACTCCAAGTCCTCTTAAAAGTTTAGAATTGTGTTTTAGTCGTTGGAATATTTTCGCAAATTTACAAGGTTGTTGGAATTAGGTGACAACGACAAATGTTATAGCTGTAAAGTATTTTCTAAAATCCATTTAATAGTACATATACATTCCACTTGCTTACAAAGCATCGGTGAGATTTGATTTGACAAATCAAATTTGCTGATATTTAAATGACACGAAACGAAAAACAGTTGGGGGCTTTCTGGTAATATCACAAAAGAGCATTCTCGTCAGTTGCTAATTTGCTGTTGGTGGTGGTTGTTTATCGATGGCTCTAATCGCCGACGGAGTCGTTGCTGGTGTGAGTGTGAGTCTTCTCACTCGTTTTGAACTTTTGTTATCTTCTGGAGAAATTTAGAAAAAGACGAAGGACCTCCTGATTCATCGAATAGATTGATACACTACTTTTATAATTCCAATTGTCGTTGTTGCGTAGTATTTGTTTAGGGCAATTTAGGCAGAGCGATCACTGTTCCTTCTTTTTGTTAGATTGCGCGATCTAAACCCGTATTTGATTAGTGTGAATAGATTCTATTTGATAGATCATAGATATCACTTTTGCAGATCCATCGAGCATCCTTGATTTGCGTTATAGGTTGTTCCATCCATTGCAATTACATTTGTGACATATATATATATACAAAGGTGCTCAATTACTGAATCTTCAATAAGCCATCAGTAGGAGCTTAAAGACTTATACAAGCATGTTGAACTTGCTATTGTAGTGTATTATATGAAATTTCATTCTTTCTGCAATACTAGGAAAGCTCAGAGTCGGAGGCATGTCCTGAGTTGGATCTTCGTATCTTTGGGCTCATCAATATCAGTTGACTCTCGGAGTTGGTTCTCATGCTTTGCCCACAAGGGCTCAGTGGGGGATGCCGTGATCGTCCTCTCGGAGTTGCTGAACACAAATTTGGTTTTTGAATTGGTTTCAGGACAGAAGCTCTTTTCGCAAGTTTTGAAACAGGCTTCCTTGAGCTTGAGAGCCTCCTTTCCTTGTCAGATGATGACACACTGATAAACTCATCTGATCCAGCCCCACCCTCATCCTCGCTACACGAAGCCCATTCACTACCCGATTCTGATGTCTCTCGGAGATTGCTTTTCTTGCAGCTCTTTGCCCGTTCCACAACCCTGTATGCAAACATCTGAAAAGGAACCTGATGCAACTCTGTGCATTCCCATGAGAGCTTCCGCAGCAGCTTACTCTCAATCTCGCAGTAATCCACGGGAGGAGAAACGGGCGGGTCTTGCTGGCTGCTACCGTGACATTCCGGGTTCAAGGCGAGAAACCGTTTGATGTATCGGAGGATTCTGCTTATCGACGAGAAAGCTGGACGCTGCCGAGGGTCACCATGCCAGCATCTTTTTGTCAGGTTTGTTATGAATTTTGGTGAGTGAAACGGGAAAAGAGGTCTCTCACCGGCTCTAATGTTTCTACTCATCTTGTCTCCTTGCAGGTGGCTATCCTCAAACGGTACTTTACCTGTTAGAAGCTCAAAGCAAACCATCCCAAAGCTATACACATCGGATTTCTCACTGTACTTGATGCTGCTGCTTTCTGCAGTTCCGCTCTGTTCTTGCTCCTCTAGCACTTCCGGGGAATACCATATGAACGGAAAATCCTCATTCTGACCCGTCGAAGAAGAAGCACTACTTTTACAAGAGAAGCCCTTGACAGAGTTTAACCCGAACCCGAAGATCTTCCCGTAAAGATATCCATCCCCGGATTGGTTGTTTCTTCTTGGTTTGACAAGAATGTTAGATGGGTTCAGCTCTCCGTGGTATATTCTCTTGGAGTGGAGATATTCCATACCCCGAGCTATCTGAAGCATGAGATCAACCGCGACAGGGAGGGACAGAGTGTTCTTCTTCCTCGGACCACATACCTCTTTGATGTGCGTCCCGAGGGTTTTACTCATCAGTTCCATGACCAAGAAACACTCTTTCTTTTCCTCGTCCGCGAATCCGCAGAGGTAATATACAATGTTTGGGTGTGAAAGAGAGAGCAGTGGAGTAACCTGAGGAAGCAAAGCATCGATATCCCCAAAGAAATGCCTAAGCGCAAAGCTCTCCCCTAACCAGGTGATCTCCTTGTACTGACTCCCATTCCCTAATCTCTTCTTCACTTGGTAATCCTTCGTGCTCACCAGGACAGAAGAAGGGAATAGAAGCTTGGGGCTTTCTTTGCCATCTCCCGAGTTCTTCAAAAGGAAATCTGCCATCTTCCTATCGTGTTTGCTTGAACCGGGACTCGTTTTCTCTTGGAGCTCCTTCAACAGAATCCACCTGTCCTCTCTCCAAGCACTCTCATACCGACTGCAGAAATCCGCGGTCACCAGATACTCTCTCCCGAACTTCCAGGTAAACATCTGAGAGTCGTTCCACTGCTTCATGTACTTGTTAGAATGCACCAGCCTCTTCTTGTTCATCTCTTCTTCATCCCACCCTGTGACCTCACTCGCCATCTCAATTGCCTCGATGATGGTCGGTACACAAGAGAGCAGGTTATGGATGTGATGCTCTGTGCAATCTCTACTGTGTTGTAACACAATAGCTTTAGCCCAAAACCCAAGCTTAGGCTCTAAAGACATTCTGACATAAGCCTCCCCTTCTCGTACCACCCATAGAAGCTCCCTCAAGGGCTGTTCCAGAATCTTCCATTTACTGTTCTTCTCCTCGAAGCGTAGGTTCGATCGCATAGATTCGGAAAGTGAATCGTATGTGGCGGTGTAGAGGTCGAGTAATAGGGTGCATTGACGCTGGTTGATTTGAATGTTGTCCTTGAACACCATTAACGCTCTTATGCTTCCTAATACCTCTCCTATCTCTCGAAATTGCTCCATTTTGCATCCCTCCAGGGCCTTTGGAAGAATTTTAAATTTTTAACACGGACTCCTTTCGAGATTTTAACCATATTACAAGAAATCGTTTTCGAAGAGGTTCCCTATTAGTTGGTTGATTAAAGAAAAAAATAATTAACTAGTGGTGTATGCGGACACCAACCGGAAAATATGTTAGTTAACGAGGTATTTTTGGCAATTATATCGAACAAGAGCAAGCGGTTTCTTGCCTTCATATTTTGATTAAATCAGTTTTTTTTAACAAACGCGCATAACAGCCTTGTCTTCATCGAGACAATCACACCTTGATTGAACAATTTGGAACTTAAACCAAACAAAAGAAAATAACAATTTGGTAATGTAAATGCCAAAAACATAGAACAAACAGCTAACAACGATCATGTGTGTGTGTATTGTATAACATATATCTTTATAGTGAATCCGGTAGAAAAATTAGAAATATGGCTGAAGAATACATTTGACACGTACAGTACAAATCAACGCCGTTTCTCATGAGCGCAATTTTATCCTGAAATTATACAATCAAATGGCTAAATCAATAATTTGCTAATTGCACGACCGTTATGATTTATAATTTTATGATATGATATTAGTACGTACCATTTCAGCAATTTGATGGTGCATTTGGCCATTTGCGAATCAAGCGTTTGTAATCTAACGGCTCCGCATCTGACACTAACTCCCACAGTAACAATCCTGCGACTGCCCACAGCCAATCCAACCTTCGTTTTAGCTGTCACCTTCACCAACAACTTCTTACTCTTCAGCTCTGCCCGCAGTCTCTTCGCCGTCGGATCATCCACCTGTCGTTTCCTCACCCTCGTTGGGATGATCACGGCCGTCCGATTCCCTGGCTTCTCAATAAAGCCTTTGACTTTCGTTGACCCTAGATTGGTCTCAAAGTCTTTCTCTCCGAGGATCACAGCCACGTCAGCATCTCCGTAGTAAAGCCCAAGCTTTCCGTTTGGGTTCCTGAAGTCGAGCATGGCCGTCGCATCCGCCGTCAAAAACGACCATCCGTCGTCGGGGTTTCCTTCGGAAAAGTTGAAATTGCTAATTTTGAAAGAGGCCAGGCGGACCACGGGAAGTTTCGGGCTGTACCAAAGGAAGAAAACAGCGACGGCGATGAGGAGGAGGAGGAGAATCACGGCGACGAAGATACAGAGACAGCAGCAGAAAACGCGGCACGGGCTCCACCGCCGTTTCTTCTCCGGGTAGAGTGAAGCTGGATGGATAGGTCTCGGACGGCGACGAGGAAGCGTTGCCGTTCCAGACGGCGGAGCTGGTGGATTCTCTTGATCACGGAACCCCGGTGGTTTCTGGAGTGTCGGTTTTAACGGTTTCTCCGCCGCCATTTCTTCATCGCCGGCGATGGTTGGCCGCTTTTGCTCCATGTTAACCCTAAATAAAAAAACTAGATTCTTTCACTAAGATAGAAAATGATTCTACGTACCGACCGGCTAAATAAAACAAGAAAGAATCCGGAACTGTGCTCTCCTTGTTACTTCAACCTGCATGCCGTTTGGCTTTGTGGAATGCAAAACTGCTCAACGTTTTACATTCCAGCTTGCTTTTCTTGTGCTGTACATAAGTGCCTTTGGGATGACAATATATGGACCGGTCGTTATTTTATAAGATAGTGACCACCATGTATGAAAGTATATACAGCTCGTATCTTTGACCTTCTCTAATTATTTATCTGCATTTCTGCCTAAAATGTAATTGTATAATTGTAGACAGAGTCATGCAACAACTGATGAGTATTTTTGTATTTACGCCGTTCAAAAAGAAACAAATTTTATTTCAAAAGAAACTGTATGCTTTCAACTGAATAATATTGTTCCGATTATACACAATCTACGACTGATAAAAAACAAAAATGTAAAGTCATATCATCTTTCATTCCGATCGATTGTATTAATCGGAATTTGGAACCAAAAGTTCTTAGGTGACACAGTTTTTTCCGTTTGGAATTTTTTCATCTCTATAAGAACGAGTAATAAGGATCCTATATAATTGGAATTTGTGTAGAATGCATGGGAAATAAAAGAAATAAACTTTCGCTTTGTATTTTTTTTTTAAAAGGAATCACGTAAAATAGACCTAATCTGTTTGGGGTAGGATTATATTCATTTCAACCGTAGATATATGACCAGTATCTACAAAATGATGGATCTTCTCGTCGGCAAATGAATAAATATCATCGTTGTCACGTTTATACGTGAGGGAAGCACGTCGACAATTTTTTAACTTTGCGATAAGATGAGGCTTATAGCATCTGCCTTTGTTTGGGCCGTTTTATGTCTATGGCCCTTGTGTGGGCCTTGGGCCCTGGAGCATATAATAATAACAAATGACACAATGAAATGGTTAACGGAAATATAAGAAACAACGCGGGAATTGGTTGAATAATTTGTTTGACAACAGAGGAAAATGAGCTGGATCGAGCGGCGAACTTCAACGGCCAAATTTGGCAAAACCATTGATTCTTTTATTTTTCCTTCTCAACAGAAAAAGAAAAAACAAAATCAACTTTTGAAAATTTCTGGTTTCATTCAATATCCAACGCACTATTCCTCTTCTCCTCCTCCTCTTGTTTAGAGCTCCTGAAACAGGTATTATTTAATCTCTTGCTGCTTTGAATATTTTTTGTTTATTTGTTTCTTTCTACGGGATTTTCTAGAGAAATTCATTGTTTGTTTGGATTAGATCTAGATAATTTGTCTTTGTATGAATCGATTATTGGACATCTCTATCTGGCTGGGATTTTTGATTTCTAGGGTTTACTTTTCTGGGTTGAGCCAATCGAATTAAATTAGGGATCTCCCGTCTCCACGTTCTGTGATATATACGCGTTGAAATTCGATTGTTTCAACAAGGGTTTGGAATCTCGTCGGATTTATGTCAATTTTTTTCAGAAATTGACAAAATTGGGGATTTCATCTTAGGGGCATACAAAGATGCGGGCGTAGATGAGGATTGATCTCCGTGGAAGTTGAGAGAGAGAGGGAGAGAGAGCTTTATGGAGATGTTTGCAAGGGAGATAACAGCTAAGGACGCGAAAGCCACTGAGAAAAACCGGATTCGATACTCTTCAAGGCACATTAAACATCTTCCTCCAGGAACGATTACTGATTTTGAATGGAAGGATTATTGTCCCCTGGGATTCAGGTAGTCTCATCTTCTTCTCTATCTCATAATTTCTAATGGCAGAGGGAACAATATATATATATATATATATATAAATATATATTTATTGTGGTTGCTGCAGACTTGTGCAAGAGCTTGAGGATATTAATCACGATGAGTACATGAAAGCCATTTGTAATGATGAGACCTTAAGGAAGCTTTCTGCAGGAAAAGTTGGGAATATGTTTCTTCTCTCCAAAGATGACCGCTTTCTCATTAAGATTCTCCGGAAATCTGAAATCAAGGTACACTTTACGAACTGCTAACAAACAAAAATGTTGATCTTTGAGGGATCTCAATTCACTTGTATCATCATGTAGGTAATACTAGAGATGTTGCCTGGCTACTACCGACATATCCGTAAATACAGGTCAACGTTGTTGTCCAAGAATTATGGAGCTCATTCTGTTAAACCTATTGGAGGTGTTAAGGTATATAAGAAGACTATATGATGTTTATTCGGGCTACACATATTTGCTTAAGATGAACACTTGTTTCTTTTTCTCTTATTTTTGTTGTGAGCAGACATATTTTGTCGTCATGTCAAACATACTGCAGTCTGATGTCTTTATGAACAAGGTATATGATCTGAAGGGTTCATCACAAGGTCGAACTAACAAGAAGATCAAAGTGAGAGACAAAACCATATTGAAGGATATAGACCTCGATTTTCATTTCTACGTCGACTCCTTGGCCAGGCACCGCCTCGTCAAGTCAGTTTTCTCTGTTTCTAGCTTGATTCCTGTCCCATATAATATAATTAATTTAGATTTGCTCCACCTGAATATTTTTTGTTACCGACACCAGGCAAACGAAGCTAGATTGTGAACTTTTGGAGGATGAAGGGATAATGGATTACAGCTTAATGCTTGGTTTACAAGTGAAAGGCTCATGTCATGGTGACTGAATTAAGCATCTCATGTCTCTATTCTTATAAATGACAAGAAACTTCTTTTTTTATCTGATCAACTGCCATGCAGGTTCGATTGATGGATTAATCCCTGTATACGACAGCTTCACATCTCGAGGTAAAAAAAATTCCCCTAGCATTCTTCTTCTGTTTACTGTTATTCACCAGGACAGAATGTATGAAACTGTACATACATTTTTTGGCCAATCTTGCAGGCTCTGTTGAATCCTATAGCTCCAAGTTTATGAAGACAGCTTCAAACTCTCCAGATAGATCTTCAACAATGTATTCATGCACTCCGAGCAGAGGTTATTTTTAAATCCGTCCCTAAATGGTCTAATCCAAATACTATAGAGAGAAGCATGTGGTGCTATAATTAATGTATACCCTTAGATGTTCATATTTTCATTCATGCAGATTCAATTGATAGTGAGACCTCAGTGAATATACAATCAGTAGCAAGTATAAGCCTCAGTCCAGCACCAACCAACGCTTTTGATTCTCCACCAGGAAGCATTGTTTCAAAGACATCTCTCACCAACATTTTCCAAAACAGGTAACCAGTCTGAAAATTCCTTGCTCCTTCTGATCAATGCAAACATGTTTATGATGATTATATGAAAATGAGGTTTTTTGTGGCAGCTCAAGCACAAACTTCGGGATGAAGATACCGGGACGAGCACGAAGGGTCGGGAGAGGAGAATCAGGGAGTGTGGTGGGGAAAGACATTAGAGGAGGAACAGAGGAATGGTACGATGTGATATTGTATCTTGGGATTATAGACATTTTCCAAGACTATGGTGTGAGGAAACGCATTGAACATTGTTACAAATCTATCCAACATAACTCTAAGGCAATCTCAGCTGTCCATCCTAAGATCTACTCTTCTCGATTTCAAGACTTCGTCTCTCAGATCTTCTTACCAGACGAAGATCCTTCTCACTAATATCTACTTCTCTGTCTTGATAACATTGATTGCTTGGTATAAGGTTTATTTCTTGATTTGTACGCAATTGATTGCTAATTATTTTTCTTCTTCTCTCACGTTTACATGATTGATTCTACGGAAGATTTGAGACATTTCATGTTAAAAGTTTTAACTTGACCTTTTTCCCCAAGTAACCACTCTTTTTAGTTAGAAATGAATGCCTTTGTGTGAAAGTAACTTCATGGATGGATGGAGGCTTGTAAAACTTATGACTTGTATATTCGTTGTAGTTGTTCCTCATCCACATTGGCACAGAATATGCAAAGAGAATAGAGAAAGGCAACTAGAAACCACAAGGAAAAGGGTAATCCAAAACATAAAGCAAAAATGCGAGAAATAGAACAGAGAAGGAGGATGAGTACAGTGCCGCCCAAGATGTGACTTACACGCCCCACAAAATTGTGTTTCATGCATTCGGCAATGTCATCTTCTAAAGGGATGTTCACGACGAAGACGATCCACAAAACCAAATCCGCAATGCATGCAAGGATGTAGAGAGGCCAGAGGTATATGTATGGCTCGTCACCTAGGGCTAAGTGGATATTGTTGTGTCTTATGTAGCAAACCATTGCAAGACCGAAGACTATAATGAACAAGTTCATGTAGAAATCGTAATATATGATCCGGTTTCACCATCATGCACCAAAAATATTACAATTAGATGAGTCTATATATATCATATTAGTGAAATCCAATATTCAGATTGAAAAAAGAAAAAAAAAACCATTAATTGTGTATTTCGAGTCACTCACCACCAGTTAGACCACCGAGACTCATCAATTGAACCCGCCGCCATGGTAAAGATTATTTGCGTAGGATACTCGGCTCACACAATACTATATTAAGTATTAATTATATCTCTTTATATATACACACCAGAGTCCAATTCCAAGTCTACGTAGGTTTTTGAAAATTTCGTCTTCCGTGAAAATTTCAGTTTCCTAGTTGAATTATAGAACGTGTATTGGTTATATTAAATATCCCTTTAAATATCCGCTCAGATATACCATGCATGTAACCTAATAATTATCGCACCAAAAAAAAACCTAATAATTATTTTGTTAACCACTACCCAACAAATGTTTTAGAAAGAAAAAAAAACAATGTCAAAAGCGTGTTCAAAATTTACCATTTTGTATAGTTCTGCAGAGAAAACTGACCCCTATTAGTCATGATTGTTTACTCTTTAATATTATGGTAATACACATTTAGAAATAAAAATAAAAAGCTAGAAGCCGCCGTTTATATATTCACAAAGATTTGATTGTACAATTGTGTGTTTTTTTCTCTTTATCAAGCAAGGGAAAATATAAAATTGTGCTAAATAACATAGCTAGCTCCTATTTTTATTCAAATTATGAAACCTTTTCCTATTTCAAATGGATGTACTTTTACCTGCTATATAATAGAAGCACAGCACGTACTTATGTATTTTCAAAAGTCTCACGTTCTGCTGTGATCTATTGCTCTTCGATACAGTTTCAAAGCAAACGTTTTTCTTCCCCTGTCATCACTGCAATGGTTCCCTACGGCTCTCGTCCCACAGGCTCTCTTCCCACCGGCTCTCGTCCCACCGGCTTTCTTCCCACAGGCTCTCTTCCCACCGGCTCTCGTCCCACAGGCTCTCTTCCCACCGGCTCTCTTCCCACAGGCTCTCTTCCCACCAGCTCTCTTCCCACAGGCTCTCTTTCCACCGGCTCTCTTCCCACAGGCTCTCTTCCCACCGGCTCTCGTCCCACAGGCTCTTTTCCCACCGGCTCTCTTCCCACAGGCTCTCTTCCCACCGGCTCTTCCCACAGGCTCTCTTCCCACCGGCTCTCTTCCCACCGGCTCTCTTCCCACCGGCTCTCTTCCCACCGGCTCTCTTCCCACCGGCTCTCGTCCCACCGGCTCTTTCCACCGGCTCTCTTCCCACAGGCTGTCTCCCACACGTCGGTAGTCTCTGTCCCACGGGTTCTGATCCTCCTGTCGGTTCTCTTCCCACCGGCTTTCGCCTGACGCTGCTCCGCGGCCGACGTTTTGTTCATGGTTTATTTAATAAATAAAACTTTTTTTTTTCCTTTCCTTTGTTCCAAGAGTCATCAATCTGACAGGCCTTTATCTTATTGTTGTAACAAAATATATATTTTTCATTGTGGCGGCACGACCGAGAAGCATGCCAACGATGGCTTGACTTGCAAGTGATTTTACTTTGTTTGTTGAATACTTGTGAATGATTAATAAACCTCATCCTATGTTGAATTACATTTTTAAATCCAATCTAGTCGAGTACATATAACCGATAGTAACCGAACCGTCGCAACACGAATCAGTTTTTTTGTGAAACGAATCGAATTGAATCATTAATCAATGAGATGTCTCTCGACTCTGGAGTTCCAACTCAAATATAATACTAAGTTTTCAACACACTTGTGGTTGATACACAAACCCCCACTGATTTTCAAATTCGAAAAGAGGAACAATACAAGCGGCTGCGAACCATAACGAACAAGGTATACTGAACAATAGAGCTGAACTTGGAGAGAGAGAACAGATGAGGTGAAGGAGAATAGCCAAGCCGAAGGTGTGACGATAAGCTTCGACATTGCGATGGATCAACCCAAGCAAGTAGCAACTCATTACGCCAAATATGAAGTGAAACATTATGCAATGCGGTTCATGGAATCTCGTGGTGTGTTATATACAAGATCGCTGCAATTTGGAGTATTATGAGGACGCTGCTCATTACATTCTCGCATTTCGTAGATTCTTGCTCATCCTCCATTTAACGAATAAATAAAAAAAATTGTTAGTCAACTGAGTCAATCTCGTATATATAGTATAATGAATGAATAGGGAAATCAGATATCGTTCTTACCACCAAGTACTTAATAGGGCTAGGACAGTAGGCGTCTTCTTACCATCAGCAACATTAAGAAAAAAAATGTCAAAAAATGTTCACAAGTATCTTTATGATCTATCATACTCGGGTTTGTGGACTTCTCAGTAATTAGATCTGAAGTTGGGAGCTGGACCAGCTGATAATGGACCTCGTATTAAGGTATTTTTGAGAAGATATTTAATATTCTGTAAAGTGGATAATATTCGAAAATCTTGCAAAAAAATGGTAGACTTCTCCTAGTCATGGATGAGACTTCGGCATTTCATGAATTAAATTTCGATTAATCAGTCCAACCCAAATTGAGTAGGATCTGTCAACCATTTAGCTGTCAACCATTTAGCTGACTTATCAAACCAACAAAAGACACACAAAAAGAAAAAACTAGAAAAAGTTTTTTCTTATAATATGACAAAATAAAATTTATTGATTATAAGCAAACCCGTTTATTACATCACCATTACAAACGATAAGCGTTGGTTAACTTGATTTCATAGGTTTAAGTAGATCAGAAGAAATCTTTAAAAGTAGGGAGTTTGATTTCGCCCTTGCTAGTAATAGGGATAGTAATATTCCCAACAACAGGAAGATCGATGGTCAGACCGATCTCGAGTAAATAGTCAATGTCCCAGTCCACACCAACATCTCGAGCCAAGTTGAACAGTATACTATATGGTACCACCACCGGAATATCAAGAACTGTCATGTCCTTAGCTTTCAAGGAACCCGGGTCCGGTATCTTCCCCTTTCCGATCTCCCTATCAAATTTACATCATTATAAATCATTAGATTACGCTATTTGGACGTTGACATAAAACAGACTCATATCTTCAAATATAGAACAGATACTTACTAAATTTGTATTAAAAAAAATCAAATATCAAACAGGCAAACAAAAAAATCCCTTTTGGTCAATTTTAATCAGGATTATAAATTTACTTGAAAATAAATACTAAACGTAAATGTAGACACAACATATAAAACACAAGATCTTATTGTCATAGTTAGAAAACTTAATTATATGACTGTACATGTAATTGAATCGAGTATCTTTGAACCGAACCAGAAATTGTTCATAATTTAGTCAGTTTAATATATTATATTTTAAATTAAAACGAACTACCAAAATAAAAGAAAGTAAACTGGTTTTCATCCTGATCTCCATGAATTCCAAAAAGTCCATAAACTGAAAATCAAAATATATAAATGGAATGATCCAAACCAAATGGCAGGATCAAACGAGGGAGAAAATGTTTTTACCGGCCGGCGCTATGAAAAGTGAAATCGATCTCGCAGATCGGAATGGCATGACCGTACGGATTGGTGACTGAGACTTTGGCCAAGTACTCGACGGAGTCACGGTTCACGTCTTTAAGATCAACGTCCGTAACTGAACCTTCCGGTTTAGGAACCCCGGCGAGTTTATCAGCCACGAAACCCTTGGCTTTATCTAGGAGACTCGTCATATTGATATTTCTTTTTAGGTCTTTTTTTTCGTTTTGTTTTGTTTCGTTTTGAGTTTTGTGTGGTATATGTATAACATGGAGTTTTTCTTGGATTATATATAAACGGATGGGACTGCGAGGTTTTGTTAAGTCGGTCAATGTGAATGGATTACATCTTATAATAATGGTCTGTCTACGTGTGTGGGCTTTCAACGAGTGAGAGTGAGAGTGAAAGCGTGTGTTACACGTGTCCTGTACTTGAACATTTCGCTACATGAGATGGAAAATTTAATCCGAAAAGATATATAATATAATAGATATTTTGTTTGCATGCACTTATAGTTAATTAAAGTCACAGGGTAGTCGGTAGACTAGATACTTGTATGTTTGTCTTTTTTTTTTTTTTTTTTTTATCGTACTTGTATGTTTGTCTAATACTAAAAACATCTTATGTTAGCACTTAGCAACTATATAATTTGGAAAATCGTATGCTACGATATGGGGAAAAAGAAGTTAACGTGCTCTTCACGAATATTTTTTAATTGACGATATACTCTAATCCGGTTGATTATACTGGTTTTTTTTTTTGATAAATTATACTGGTTTATAGTATCGAAAGAAATAGATATAAGCTATAAACCGAATAAAAACAACCAACTTTGTTAAATTTAATAATTTGAATAATAGAACTAAAATATAGTTGTGGTAAAAAAAAAAAAATTGAAGTTAACGTTAAAACAGAATTTGCAGAACTCAAGATTGTAAAAAACAACAGAATTAAAGATACGAATACAAATATTGTCAAACCGTTTGAAAATTAAACGCAAGTTAACGTAAGAAACTTATATTTTTAAATAACAAAAAATTGATAGAGTCATAATATTAAATTTCAATTACTTTGTACCATAATTTGATCTACAAAAAGTGGAAAGTATTCGCGTAACCCTTATTTAAAAAGAAAAAAAACAAAAGAAAAAAAAAAGTATTCGCGTAACGAATAAGATGCGCAATGGATTAATGGACCGACCATGTCCCCTCATATGCACGTCGGTGGGATAGTAATATACTCCTGCATCGCGGTACACGATATACTCAATACAAGTTGTATGACACGTGTGACTTGGGAGTATAGTGAGACTTACAGATATGGTTGTTAAAAGTCGTTGAATTGATACGATTATAATATCGACAAGAAAAGAAAATTGTAAATGTCTTATTCATGATGAAAAAGCTCAAAACTAAAAAAAAAAGAGAAAAAATTAAACAAGATTAGAGCCCGTGCCATCTCCTTTAAGTAAACCGTTCATGTACCGAGAATGTTTAAAAGCAGCAAGTCAGCAACGTAACTTAACATAAAAAGTAGACAAAAGCAAAGAGCAAAACCGTGGAAAGTAGAATATGGCGGATGATAATGACTTGAAGATATTTTTTGAATTTTTTGCAAAATAGGGTCCCAATTTGAGTTAAAAAATCGGAAAGAGCACATACAACCAAGTTGCAACGTTAAAGCCTATGATGAAGGCTTGAATTCAAAAAGTGGATGACTAAAATTATCAACGAAGCATACGTGAGATGAAAAATATTTTGTAAATCCAATGAGAAACGGTGGCTTTGTCCCACCATTTAGTTAATCATGGCCCAAGCTTTAAGAGTATCTCTTAACTATAGAACTTTCAGAATAGTAGGCCTATAAGCCCAGGATAATTCGTAACTGAACATTCATAGTAGAGTGTGACTCAAATTAATTTGGGTGGTTGTTCCTTTCAACAATCTCTTGATATGATCACTAATACTTTTGAACCGGGCAAGCATGACACGTGTTGATGGATGATTAGTGGAAGAAGAATGAAGAAGCGTGTCCGATTAGTCGACAGCTGCGGAATGTAAAATGCTGAGTCAGCATCTATGTGGACAAGTCAAACCTCCGCCTCGCATGTTTGTGACTTAATTTGACTTATTGACCATTCAAATGTCAAACCATATGCTTGACTTTTGGCGAGACAAAAAAAGTTTATAATTTTAAAACCAAAACATATCTACACTTGGTATAATCTAATTAATATATAGATTTGCATAAGGAATAAAATACCTCCTAATACACTCCATGAACTAAAATATATATTTTAAAATGTGATAAGTAAATCAAGAAATGGAAAAATAATTTAAATTGTGGAATGGTATATTACCAAATCAAAACTGCCGAAAGCAATAGGTTGGTGTCGGTTGGTGTCGGGCATATAAGTATAGAAATATGATCGATTGCCGTGTTTTTAACACACATTAGTTTACGTTGTTTCTGTTTTCTTTATTCATACATTTACATGTGATTTTCTGCTTATATAGACAATATATTCACAAAGTTAAGATGTTTAACATGAATTTTTGTTTAAAATATCCATTCAGAAAATATCTTCATTGGTTCCACAAGAGATTCGTGTGATCGTCAAAAAATAACAGGTTCGTGGTCTTTTGTTTGAAAAGTGTAGATGTAACAACTCCAAATGTTGACAAACAAAAAAAACAACTCCAAATCGAGAAAAAGTTGATATCTTTGGTTTATATTATTGAGATTTTATGCCCCCTTTAATTAGTTTTTCCAGCAATGCATGCGTGCTTAAAAAAATGCTTAAGACTTTATGAATTAATATTTGACATTAATATAAGTAGAGCCAAAATCAGATTTTAATACTGAGTAACTTAGTCCAGGAAATCAATAAACCGAAGTTAAGAAAGACCTTTCATTTGAAAGAAATCGTTATAAAAAACAAAAAGGAATTTTGCCTTCAAAAGTCAAAACTACTACGAGGGTGTGTACTCAGTACGTCACGTGGCTAACAAGAAAGCCACATGGTGCATTGTTGGATTTGACTAAACGGTCCAATTAATCTTAGCATAATTATCATTATCCCTCATACTCATAAAGTATATATACTACTCCAAATACCAAATATTGTTATTAGGTGTAACGGAATCATATTTATAAAATTTGAGGATATATCCTACAAAATAAAAGTCTTCTTAATCACAGTTATAGATAACAAACCTAAAATTGTTTTCCGTAAGCCAAAAGCTTAAAACCAAATTCTAGAACGATCAAATAGATACTCAGCAGTAAATTATCAATATCTTAACTAAAATATTCATTACGTCGATTGGTCAAATTTTTTGGAATTTTGTAGTCGACGTATCTACATGGCATATTACATACTAAATGTTTTATTACACTGGTTTAGAATGTTACAAATTATTATTCTCTACCTTTGAATAATCTTTTTACATTTTCCCTATATTTCTTGTATGCCATCAAATATTCTTCTCCACACTATTCTTGTCAAGTACGTAGTTTCAGGTCAACAATTTTCTTAAGAAGCTGCTTAGAAACATCCCCTTGAGTTCGACTCAACACACATAACTTTCACCACTGGTTCCCAATGCGAAACAATTGAAATACGACCAATCTAATATGTATCGTAATATTAATATACATAACTTCCACCATATTTGATCGAAATACTATAATTTTGTTGTTTGATACAACGGAGATTGGTGGTAGCAAAATTATTTGAAATAGAACCATTTTAATTCATCGTAAAAATGAATATTTGGAAGCTGTAACTAGCGTTTGTATTGTTTTGGGTTGAGAATCTTCTTTGATTTGCTTGTTCCTTAACGTTTGTTTCATTAAGTCCTAACTCCCCCTTTTGGACCCCACATCAACTCTATTTGGTTTCCTCAAGGTTTTAATTTCACCTCCTATATAAACTCAATACTCATGCATTAATTAGAACAAACACCACAAAACCTGGTTTAATATCAAACATTGATACCCACCCCAAAAAAAAACAGCAACAGAGAAGTTAGGCTTAACACAACAAATGGGTTCTCTGAAAAAGAACGGTGGTGCGATTTTGTCGAGGATAGCGACCAACGATCACCACGGTGAAAATTCAGAGTATTTTGATGGATGGAAATCTTACGACAAAGACCCTTTTCATCATTCTCGTAACCCCTGTGGGATAATCCAAATGGGTCTTGCAGAGAATCAGGTATATTATACTGTATTACAAATAAATCATTAAAGAATTACATGTTTGTATGTGTAGCTATGTATAAACGCTTGTGTTTTAGTGTGACCGCTTATATACATCTCATAAGACGTTTTTGTTTCTATAATTTTTTACAGCTTTGCTTAGAATTGATTGAAGGTTGGATCAAAGATAACCCAAAAGCTTCTATTTGTACCCCTGAGGGTGTTGGTCAGTTTGGCGACATCGCGATTTTCCAAGACTATCATGGTCTAAAAGAGTTTAGACAGGTATATTTGGTTAACTAATCGTATTTTATCATATATCTTGTTATTTAATTTGGTCTGTTTTTTTTTGTTGATTTCAAATCGAACCTGATACAGTATTAGATCAGAACAAATCACTTTAACCAGTTTGGGCACTTCTATATATATATTAGTGGCGTCTAAATATCAATAGTACAAATAAATTTAGTTTGGTACGTTCAGTAAATATAAATGAACTTGTTTACACATTTCAACCGTTTTTGTTTTTGTTTTGAAGGCAATTGCACATTTCATGGGAAAAGCTAGAGGTGGAAGAGTGACGTTTGATCCGGAGAGGATAGTTATGAGCGGCGGTGCCACCGGAGCCAATGAAACAATTATGTTCTGCCTCGCCGATCCCGGCGATGTTTTTCTTGTGCCCTCCCCTTATTATGCCGCGTAAGCATTCTTATTATTAGCCCTTTGTCAAAAAAAAAGCATTCTTATTATTTTTATATAGTTATACTAATGACATTTAAAAATACAATTTTTGGTTTACAAATATTTTGCTTTAAAAGTTTAATATAAAATTAAAGCAAAAAAATTAAAGTAGAAACTAGTAAAAAAAAATCAAAAATATAGATTTAAGTCAAGAATTTAGTTGTTATATTTATTTTTAAATTAAGGTAAAAGTATGTGATTATGGATAGTGTGAACATAGGTTATCAAGAAAAGAAAGAGTTAGGGGCAATTTCATGAATGTAGCTCTCACGTACTTTTGGGTTAACAAATTTCAAATCGAAATGTGTTAATAGTATTAGTATCAAGTTTTGACTCTTTCATCTACCTTTTATCACACGTGTAAGATATATTAATTCAACGTTAACGAGTCGCTCGCCCACAGACAATCATTGATTTTTTTTTTGGTTTGCAGATTTGATAGAGACTTGAGGTGGCGTACAGGTGTCGAGATAATCCCGGTTCATTGCTACAGCTCCAACAGTTTCAAATTAACCGTGGAGGCCGTCGAATGGGCCTATAAGAAAGCCCAAGAGTCCAACAAAAAAGTCAAAGGTCTAATTTTGACCAACCCATCAAATCCGCTTGGTACAATGTTAGACAAGGACACACTCAAGAACTTAGTCCGGTTCGTCACGAGGAAGAACATTCACTTAGTCGTCGACGAGATCTACGCTGGCACGGTTTTCGCCGGAGAAAACTTTGTGAGCGTCGCCGAGGTGGTCAACAATGTGGACAGTTATGAAGTCAACGTTGACTTGATTCATATTGTCTATAGTCTCTCTAAAGACATGGGACTTCCAGGTTTCAGGGTTGGTATAATTTATTCTTACAATGATTTGGTTGTGTCATGCGCAAGAAAAATGTCAAGTTTTGGACTAGTGTCATCTCAGACACAGCTGATGCTTGCTTCAATGTTATCGGATGATCGGTTCGTGGAGATTTTCCTTACAGAAAACTCGAGAAGATTAAAGATAAGGCATGAAGATTATACTTCAGGACTCAAAAAAGCAGGGATAACTTGCTTGACAAGCAACGCAGGTCTGTTCGTGTGGATGGATCTGAGACATCTACTAAGAGATCGTAACTCGTTCGAATCTGAGATCGAGCTTTGGCATATAATCATCGACAAAGTGAAGCTTAATGTTTCGCCAGGCTCTTCATTCCATTGCACGGAACCTGGATGGTTTAGGGCTTGCTTTGCCAACATGGATGATGATACTCTCCATGCGGCGCTTCGACGAATCCAAGCTTTCGTGTCCAAAAATCACAAAATCGTTGAGAATTCATCGGATAGTGATCAGATCGTTCAGAGTAACAATGTTAAGAAGCAGAAATGGAAGCAGAGTAATCTCCGGCTAAGTTTCCGACGACTTTACGAAGATGGACTCTCGTCGCCGGGGATAATGTCGCCACGTTCTCCTCTCCTCCGAACATGAAACTACAAGGCAATGGCGCTTGCAAAATTGGATTAACTCATCCTCGTTTCATCCCAAGTGTTATTAATCTTTACTTACTAAGCGGATATTTTATTTTTATTTTAAAGATTGGCATAATTCAATTTCAACATATTATGGTTGTTTTTGACGACCAGCTTTTTCTAAGGTCAAACGGTAACTTTTAAGATTTGTGTGTTTGATTTTTGTTTTTTTTTTCCACTAAGGATTTTATCGATGGATTATCCTAGTGGGGGCTGGTCCGTAGTATTTTATCCTTTTCAAAGGGTTTCTTTATTTTTTATGTGTAATAAATGAAACATTATCTTTAATAATTTATACTTGGATCTTTTATAATTTATACTTGGATCGTCAGAGATTACTAGTTGGGGAGGTTGATCTGTACGTAATGGAGGATTTGTTAAGCTAATTATTCGGTTTTTCTAGAACCATAAATTGTTGTCCGCCCAATACGTCACACATGCATGATGCATGCCACCATGCCTAACCTTCTTTTAAAAAAAATCATTATATGTACTAAGTTGAACATTCGATTACAAAGAAAAAAATACAATCAATTTTAGTATGTTAATTTTTTAACTTCTTTTTTTCGCCTTTGCCAATAATATGGTGGGTGATGAAAGTTTCATCAGCATTTTAGCTGCACCAAATATGTTACAAATTGACAAATCTGCTATGAGTAATCAGCTATCAAACATGATGATGTCTCCATTAATTATTCACGAATCGTCAGATTTTTTGTTTTCTTTTTGTTAATGATACATATATCGTCAGCTTGAGCGAAATATATAATTATATTTTAGCCCTTTTTGGTAAACCTTTCCCTATTTGTTGTCGATTTTTTAAGATGATGAAACTATATCATCCATATATGTTTATTTTATTGTATGCTATTAAAAACCTATCGATTAAGACTTTTTTCAACACAAATGAAAAAATGGTATTAGTATAAAGACTTGGTTGTTGGTATGTGAGGTAATTAAGTGGTGGCTTTGGGCATGCTCTTGGTTGATACTGTATGTACCGAGCATACGCGCACGCAAATGTATATATAGATTACAAAGATATTTGAATCTTTCGTTTTTTAACTAACAAGTTTTTTATTTAACTATTAGACTATCATAAACTGACATTGTTATAAGTTAATTTAATAATGAAAGCTACGTTTTGTTCTAATGGTAACAAACGAACAGTCAAAATAAGATTATATTTGGTTCAAAAAATTAAAAAACAGGATCATATAAAAGAAAATATATAATTTAATTATTTACATTAGTTTTGTTGTTGTGTTAGAAAATCGCTTTAAAAAGTCGATATACTACATATTATAGTTCAAGCAAAATTATATAAAATAAAAATTGAATTTAATATATAGAAAATGTTCAATCCTTATGCTTATATACAATCATCGACATTGTCGTCGTCACTCGTCATATCATCGATCACACGATTTACACCAATTCACGACCATTAACATTATTTTGCAAAATATAACGAAGTATATATATTTATTTGTTTGGTAGAAAAGCTGACATGGGCAAGCGTTTTTTTTCCAGTGAATAATCAATCTTTTTAGTATTCACGGGAATTTATTTGTCTTTCTTTTTTCTTACGAGGGAGTTTATTCCGCCATGTAGTAAGAATAAAAAAGAAATTTCAAAAATCGTGAATGAAGTGTTGACAAAGTTTTTATTTGATTTTCACATGTTCCATTTAGGTGGCTACCAACCAATTTTTTTTTTTGGTAGTGACATTTCCATTTGGTTTCAAGTTGAGCCACAGCTTGGCTACGACATTTATGATGCAATTGGTTACGTGGTGACTTTTTTTATATTGGTAATAATTGTCAATCTTTACGTGTATAACAAATAGATAGTTTGTACCCAAACGTCGGAAAATAAAGAAGCTAGTGTAGTAAAATTATTTTTAAAAATTCGTGGAGACATTTGTAAAAGAACGTCGCTTTGTGTTATTATCACCTAAAAAGGTACATTTGTGAAAGAAAAAATATTAGAAACGATAAAAAATTGAGTTATATCCTTTTAAAAAATTCTAAAACTGACTCATCAGATGGTCACGAAGGCCACGCCCTTTCGCTTCGTGCAAAACAGAAGTAAAAAGAAAGTTACATCTTGCAAAACAGAACCCAGCAACATTTATTACACCTAAAATCAACATCTACATACATTTTAAATATATTGGTTCCAATAAACAAAACTTATAGTATGTTTCACACACAACAAACAATAACTAAGGACATCAGAAAATAATTACCAAAATTTATAATACTAACGCTTATTATATAACACCATCCTATATTATATACAAAAAGTTACCTTTAAGGTTCAAACAAACAAATGAAAGTAGAAATTCACAATCGACGATATATACACAAAACATATCATCGAAATCGATTTAAGGAAATTAATTTTCCCCGCATTATCGAGGTAAAACAAAAACATATCCGATCCAATCCGACTCGATATATCTTATTAGACTAAGATATATCTTCTGATTCTTATTCTTCCTCCTCATTATAGATCGGTCCATCCCTTTGACATTTTCTCCCCAAACTATTTAATATGAAACATGTTTTTCAACATATAACGCAAGCATTAGGGTTTTCTTCCATGCTTTGGGCATAGTAATACGTAGTTAGGTGAGGATTATATGCTTTATACGCCTTTACAAGCTCCAACACATGATCTGGCGGCGGCGGTTGCGGTTGCGGCTGTGGCGGTTGATCTTTCTTCTCTCCTTCCTTCTTATCGCCGCCTTCTTTCTTCTCTTCTTCCTTCTTCGGTGCTTCTCCTTCCTTTTTCCCTTCTTCTTTTGGAGCTTCTCCTTCTTTCTTCGCCGGCTCGCCACCACCTTCCTTCTTCGGCTCCTCCTTCTTCTCCTTTTCCGGCTCTTTTGCAGGACCCACTAGTATGATATCCGTCATCGGCCAATACTTTCTTAGCTTACTTACCACATTTACCGGATCCACCGTTCCTATCACCGTTAATTTCTTCTCCTTCATGTCCATTGCAATCGAATCGATTCCTGAACAAACAAAAATTAGATGCAAAGTTGTTATCAGTTTGATAGACATTTAAGTTGTTGCCCGGTTGGTATAGAGGTCACCACATTTTTAGAGACAATACCAAAAAGGAAAGTAAAACACTGTGGATTAATCAAACAAAAAATCTTTGACTTTTGTGATTTTCCAGTTGATGGGCACGTATTTCAAAGAAGCTATAGTGGCCTAGATGTGAACTATTCCAAAATCAATAAAAACAATGAATTTCACAAATACTAAACAATAATTGAATATGGCGCAACATTTTACCGTACTGTCACTGTTCAAAAAGAGAGACACCTCTGTCAGAGCAGCTCGTGATTGTTTAAACTTTAAAGAAAATTTAAACATTTTATTCTTGTTTATATACCTACCAATCAAATCTTAAGCTAAACCGGACCAAGTGAACCGGAAACTAATCTAATAGTTGGGTTAGAATTAGAAGTGATCTCTGATGTGTAACAAATAATTTGGTGGGAAAATGCTCAGGAAGAAATTATTGTTGAGGATGATTACCTGGGAGAGTTGAAACTGTTTTAAGGGCCTTCTGTTTTGCCTTATCATCATGCAGATCCAACTTTAACACGATTTTCTGCAAAATTAATATAAAAGATTAAAAAAAACTTGTGAGATTCAGTGAAATAAATAGTTAGAGTGTTCTCTCAGGAATCTTACAGATCATACAAATTACAATAACTAAAAAACCGTTGAATTACCAAGACCAATACATATTCAACTCAAAAGGAGCAAAAACAGAGATTTGCGGGTTGTAAAGAATATACTAACAAAAAAAAGTTACTGATGTGTGATGTATGCATACACACGCACACACAACACATAGTGCCATGCATGTCTGTGTGTGTGAACATAGTAGAGAAGCAGACTTTTCAGAAACAGGGCATATGCGCATCATTCAATTTCTGAATTCTGATTAGGTTTCGTGATGGTTTGATTTGATTAATAGTAAGGGAAAGATAAGTGGTAAAGCAAAATGGAAATTCGGTTTAATTAGATCAGAGAAAATTAAAAGTGAGAGCTTGATAACTCCAAAAGAAGCAGAGCACATGTAATAAACACACATATATAGACCGCGAGAGAGAGAAGTACTGCAAAAGCGAGTAGATTCAGTGGTTCGGTAACAACGAATAAAAGAAAAAAGCTTGCTACTTTCAGATTCAAGATGAAACAAGAATCAAAACCCATTTTCTTGTAGACTGAGGAATCAAATCTTGCACACGTGTAGAGAGAGTAAAAGAAAAAAAGAAAGGGAGAGAGAGAGAGATGGACCTTCATTGCTCTACTAGTTTTTTTGATCCCGTTTAATTCTCAAGAATACGCAGAGAGAGAGAGAGAGAGAGACAGAGATGCAGAAAAAGATTGCTTCTGAATTATAAGAGAGAAAATTGAGGATGACGAAGAAGAATGAAATAATTGGAAACTTTTGAAGACGATAAGAGAGATTCGACACTGATGGTTTTTTTAAAAAAAAGAAGCCCGAATCCTGACAATTACTGGAGATTGAGAGAGGGAGAGAGAGAGATGCATGCAGAGAGTCTCAATAATAATGAATGGTACGAGAGGGACGAAGAGATCTTCCTCTTTGTTGAGCCATTCGCACGCGTGAGATAAGGCGCGTGGATGAGCTTACGTCTTCAAGTGCTCAGCGTCATTTTACTTTCCGTCCTTTGGTTTTTGTTGTTTCCTTTTTTCTGACCCTTTGAAATTTCTTTCTCACCTTATCCACGTCACTTTTTCTTTTTATATTATAAACGAATTCCTTACTTAAATAAAATCGATGGATTTTTCGCCCCAAGAATAACTTTATACTATTTGTCATTTCTATACTATTGTGCGGAGAGACATGTTGCAAGATGTAATAACTAATAAGATTGTTGGTTGTTTTTTATTCAGATTTTTTTTTAGTTTTAGGTTTTCTTGATGAATAAAAATGATAAGAGAAAATACAAAAAATTGAATATATTTGATCACTCTAATTGACAATATTCCTTTTCGAGTTCATGTCTAAATCTACAGTTCTATGATTGATTTTTTTTTTTTCTTAAGTTTTATATATTTGAAATGATCTAATAATTGAGTCCTCACTTTCCCACCATCAGTTTCCCAATTCTTCACGAATTTGATTCCCTAAATAAAGACAAATAATATTCCCACAGCCAAAAATTAAAAAAATAAAATAATAGAGAAAAATACATGTGTAGTGGGAAACAGCTGCAAATTCCACGTGTTTGCCCACGTAGACTAATTTATGTTCTCTTTTACTAATATTTTACGTCCACGAAAAAAAATATACAAGTTTATTTTATATTTTTAAAAATTCTGTCAAAAATATTGGATTGTGTTGTTGATAAAAAAAGAAAATGGATTGTGGCTCGAGCGTGACCACACGCAATGACTGCGAGTGTAGGAGACGAGGCGTGATGAGATTTGTAATTTGGGCCACTTAAAGTGGAATGTGGGACCCTACTCTTTTATTTTAAAACAATTTATCTATCATTAATCTATTTAGAATTATAGTAATAAAAAGGCGGCTTCTACTAAAATTCAATTCTTGGAATCCCATCGATTCTTCCATTATCAGCTTCTGATCTGGACCGTTGATTCCTAGTCCTCAGATGACTTGGGAGGTATAATAGTTTGACTATTTAACCAAGAGTAAACACAATTTGACGTGAATTAGTTTCTAATTTTATTATTTTATGGCAAACTTTGACAAAGATAATTCTACTAAAAAACAACCTTGCTTTATGGTTTGACCGAATTAGAATGGTATTTTGAATGGCGTAGTTACAGCCGCTAGTAATGGATTTGCTTGTTTTTGACATTAGAAATCTATCGTGTTAAATTCTAGCTTACTAATTATAAGAAAAATATAAATCTTATCTTAGAAATGACGGTGTGCAACTTAAATGATATGATAAGACAGTTTTGTGTATGTATGTGGAAACACGTATAAGGACCTTAGTTATAAATAGGGAGAGTATAGATCTGTTACCAATCTTCTTAATTCACTAACATAATTGCAAACTATAGAAATTAAGGCAAAAAAGTATATTGTCAGTTATTTAACCTTTTTTAAGTCTTTTTAAAAACACAACGTCAGCGTAAAACATGATTACGAATTTAATGTTGATTGAAAAGTGAAAACTAAGAAATGTACTAGGAGAAGAATCTAAATCACGATCAAAACCGTAAGACTACACGATGCAGGGAAGTGAGATAAAATCAACTAAGTAGACCTCCGACATGGATCTTGAGTTACGGAGATACACATGAACTGCAAATCTTTATTAAACTAAACGTAATTAATTTTTTGATCTCATATTAAATTGCTATATGATTAAATTTGCCTACCAAATTGGATGGTGAAATGATAAGCCCCAGTCTTTTCGGTGTTAACTAAAAGAGGAGGAAGAAGAAAACATTATAGCCGGCCTATAAATATGTATCCAAAGTTGGTCCGATTTATCCGACAAGATCTTAGATCGAACGGCGAGGAATCATCCAAGAGCATAGTTTCAACAGATCATAAATTTTTTTCTCTAAAATTATTGAAAAGTACGTCTAGTAAAGAATATAATGGCTATGATTAAAAATAATTGGGTACGGTCAATGACCCGAATGAGTATATAGATATTGCTTTATGAATCATTATTTGTTAGGTTTCCCAGATTTAAATGTTACTACTTGCTTATGAATAACATACAAAATTAGATCCATAACTTTTGGCAAAGAATCACAGACATTAGGCCGTAGTTAGTATGTTTGGTGAACGCGACAGTATCTTCATTCATAAAAAGTAGTTTATGAAATTTGGCGCCTTTTGAAAACATTTACAAATTCCATTTGCTGGTGTAATTAGCTCGTGTCGTGCCATATATATATATATATATATATATACACTCTGATTTGCATCTATTTTTTCTTGATGTAAAAAAGATGTACAGTATGTTATGAATAGTAAATACGATTTTCATTACAGATTGATCTTAACTGAAAAAAAAACTGAAGTTTGTGAAACTTAGGGTATTAGAGAATCTATATATCAATACACTAATCATACGAAAACCCTAACTACACCGATTATACAGTTGCTTTTTCTATGAATTATTTCAACTTTTAGGTTACGAATGATCAAGAATCTTGATTCAAGATGCTTGGATTGGAGCGATCGGAAAAATGTTGTTGTAGCCCAAATAAAAACTTATACAGGCCCAATAAAAGACTTTACGGGAAATGTGGCCCAGTTATCATACTAATTTGCTTTAAAAGGAAACAAACTGTCACACGTGCGAGTCTATATAGGGTATTTATTTATCCTGTCGGTTTCTCCTTTGACCCCTCCGTATTTACCTCGTCTTCAAACAAATTTAATTTTGACCTTTTAACCTTCAAAAATATCTCAAACCCAAAAACCTAACCTAAACGAAAAGGACAAAATATCTCCTGTTGGATCCCCTCATTCTCTGTTCCTCAAGCCTTTGAATTCTCCCAAATCGATTGTTCTGGATTCAGATTGCGAATTTCGGTTCTCTCCAATCGATTGTTCTGGATGATTTCCACGGATCACCACCATCATCAGGATCCTTTGGGCACATACAACATGAAAGCCTCCGGCGCTGCGCCGTCGTCGGCATCAATTCCGTTGTCGCAATCGGCGTGGCTGGAGGTTCGTTTGTTCTACGTCCGCATCGCGCCGTGCGTTGTTGAGAACGTCCCTGACTTTCTCACCCTTCGCCACCCTCGCCGCGAAACCGGCGCCTCCCTTGAGGTTAACGGCGTTCGCGTTCCTTCCTCTCAGACGGCGTCGCTTAAACTCCGCCGTGATAGAGTCGACCGGCAATCGTCGGAGGTGACTTACGTTAGCACCGAGACCGTGCGCGTCACCGGATGCGTTGATTTTGAGGTTTACGATAACGACGACATGGTCTTGTGCGGAAACCTAGACAGAATCGAAGGTGCGTGGAATAACGGAACCGTGAGCGATCCAAAGACTGGATGGGGCATGGATTGTTACATGGCGATGGGAAATGGGCCAGGCTCTGCTCACGGCTCCGCTTCTTCTTCCTCTGCGTTTTTCCAGCCAAAGCTGGGCGTTTCCTCTCCCTCCGTGGAGGTTTACATAGCTGGTTGCTGTGGCGGTGTTCCGGTGATATTGACCAAGACGATCCAGGCGAGCCCGAGGAGGAAGGTGGCCAGGCACGTGACTCTCGACGCTATCCCGGAAGACGAGGAAGTTGAGAAAGAGCAAGACATTGTTACCGCTGGAGATGGTTTGCCCCGGCAAAGGAAACTACAGGTATGGTTCGGATTTAGCACTTCCCGGAATTATGATTGTCTATGATTCAGATTTATTAGAATCTCTCAAGTGTGAAATTGAACTTTAGACTACTTATGGTACAAAGCCTGATAAAAAAAAATCTAGTTTCTTTCTGAGTGTTCTGTGAATTTACAGACAATTTTCGAAAGTTTACTCTCACAATTTTCGAAAGTTGACTCGCTTAATGGAACAAAGTCGGATCAGTAACTAATAGATGAGTCATAGTGTTATCTCTAGAGTCGTTGACACGTATTCCCCCATCTATGTGCACATAATATGGCATTAAATGTTTTGAAATTCGGTTTATGCAGATGATGGAGTCAGAAGTGGATGACTACGACGAGTCTGAAATGAAAATGGGACAGAGATACTACCCTGAAGAGATGTACGTTGATGAGGATGGTCAACTCTCATGGTTCAATGCAGGTGTCAGAGTTGGAGTTGGGATAGGCCTTGGGATGTGTCTTGGTGTAGGCATTGGAGTTGGATTGCTCATGCGTTCATATCAAGCAACTACTAGTAACCTTCGTAGGAGGTTTCTCTGATCATCACCTACCCATCAACTAAAAACCCACGCGGAGACATGATGGTAGCTATGGATTCCGCAGTGGGTTACGAAAGAAGAAGATAGAATTTTGGTAGATAGATTTTATAGAGCTTTTCGTTTCAGTCCCTTGTGTCCTTCTTTTGAGTACCTAAGTCGGCTCTGTTCATATAGCTTTAGTCGCACAAGAGAGAGAGTTCCCTTCTTGTCTTGAGTCAAATGCTTTTGTTTTTCTCAAGTCTGTGTGTTATGTTGTTGCTTATGTGTAGAGAGGAATCTCGTGTTGTTGTTCTGGTTGTCGCTGCCAAAGTCTGGAGTTTGTGTGTAGGTTTCTGGTCTGGAAACAAGGTGCCATATGAAATGTACATGTTTCACTTGTATAAACCGGTCTGCGTTTTGGCACGGAAACGACTTCTTAAATTTAATCTATACGCGACGTTAGTGTAAGACGGCGTCGTATTTGCGGAGAGCATCGGATTCGGACCAAATAAATATTCCCTTCGTTGAAATTTTTCAAATGAAATGTATTTTTAGACCCTTAAATTACTTTAATTGCAATTTAGCCCCTGAATTGTTCCGAATTTACTACAATCAGCCCTAAATCATTATGTTCCCAAATTTTGAAGACACCGTCTACTCCTCGAGAGTAGCGAGAAGAAGCAGATGAGCAAGATCCGTTCGTCTGCGACAATGCCCCGTCGTGAGCAGGCATCAGCGGCTTCGCCTCTCGTCGTCACACTCAACTGTGTCGAGGATTGTGCGCTCGAGCAGGACTCACTCGCCGGCGTTGCTGGTGTCGAATACGTCCCGCTCAGTCGCATCGCCGATGGTAAGATCGAGTCCGCCACCGCAGTAATCCTCCATTCGCTGGCGTACCTTCCACGCGCAGCTCAGCGGCGACTCCGTCCCCACCAGCTAATTCTGTGCCTTGGCTCTGCTGATCGCGCTGTCGATTCGACTCTCGCCGCCGACCTAGGTCTCCGGCTTGTCCATGTCGATACTTCACGGGCCGAGGAAATCGCGGATACGGTGATGGCGCTCATCCTGGGACTCCTGCGGCGGACGCACTTGCTCTCGCGCCACGCGCTATCGGCGTCCGGATGGCTCGGATCGCTTCAGCCGCTGTGCCGGGGAATGAGACGGTGCCGCGGTATGGTTTTGGGTATCGTTGGCAGATCTGTATCCGCTCGGTATCTGGCAAGCAGGAGCTTGGCTTTCAAGATGAGTGTGCTCTACTTTGATGTCCCGGAGGTACGTGTAGGATGGTCTTTGTTACTTTATGAGGAATATATATGTTTTATTGAATGGTCCTTAGTAAAACGATGTTCTTCATTCGTTGCCCTCGCTTGGATGTTTTGTTTGTTGTTGATAGTTTGCGTTTGCATCTGCGCAGGGAGATGAAGAAGGATTCAGGCCCTCGAGATTCCCACGTGCTGCCCGAAGGATGGACACATTGAATGATCTACTAGCAGCAAGTGATGTCATTTCGCTTCACTGTGCGTTAACAAACGACACGGTTCAGATACTCAACGCGGAGTGTTTGCAGCATGTAAAACCTGGTATGATTCTTTTTCTTGTCTGGTCAGTAAGACGAGGTGTTTGATTCTCCATGGATGTAAATTAGTTGAAATTACGTATATGTTAGGGGCATTTCTTGTAAACACTGGAAGCTGCCAGCTGCTGGATGATTGTGCTGTGAAACAACTTCTAATCGATGGCACTATAGCTGGCTGCGCCCTCGACGGTGCTGAAGGTCCGCAATGGATGGAAGCTTGGGTATTGATTTCTTTTCACATTTGTGCCTGCCTATTCACTTGTTACATCATCCTCCTTTATTCATTTTTATCTTGTTTTAAATTGCAGGTGAAGGAGATGCCAAATGTGTTAATCCTACCTCGCAGTGCGGATTACAGTGAGGAGGTATGGATGGAGATAAGGGAGAAGGCCATCTCTATCTTGCAATCATTTTTCTTGGACGGTGTTATACCAGAAAACACTGTTTCTGATGACGATGTTGAGGAAAGTGAGGCAAGTGAAGAAGAAGAACAATCACCTATCAGACACGATAAATTAGCGTTAGTGGAATCCTCCAGTAGGCAACATGGAGAAAGTACTCTCACCAGCACTGAGATCGTTCGTAGAGAGGCTAGCGAGTTAAAGGAATCACTGAGCCCTGGTCAGCAACACGTTTCTGTTCTTCCACCAAACACTGCCGTAAATCCTGAAGTAAGACGCAGCAGGTCCGGTAAGAAAGCCAAGAAGAGGCATTCACAGCAAAAATACATGCAAAAAGCGGAGGGTTCCTCAGGATTACACGAGGAAAGTACGTCACGAAGAGATGATACTGCTATGAGTGACACGGAAGAAGTATTAAGTTCCAGTTCTAGATGCGCTTCCCCTGAGGATACAAGAAGCAGGAAAACACCGCTTGAAGTAATGCAACAGTCCTCCCAAAATCAGCTAGTAATGGCAAGCAAGAAGTTCATCGGAAAGTCAAGTGAACTGCTGAAAGATGGGTTTGTAGTAGCCTTGTATGCGAAAGACCTCTCGGGTCTTCATGTTTCAAGGCAAAGAACGAAAAACGGTGGTTGGTTCCTCGATACTTTGTCCAATGTATCCAAACGGGATCCGGCTGCACAATTCATTATCGCATACAGAAACAAGGTAAACGTTTTTATCTTCCCTCGTCCTTCTCATTTACCTGAGTGAGTTTAAAAGTGGTGGGGTTATCAGTGGAGAAGCTGAATATTTCTCTTGTTGTTCCGTGGAGCGATATTTATCTATATTGTAATGAAAGGCTAATTGGGATTGGTTCTCCAGGACACGGTTGGTCTGAGATCATTTGCTGCTGGCGGGAAGTTACTGCAGGTACCTCTTACATTACACAGTTACTTCAGTTGACAAGTTAAAACAAGGTTTTCAGTGGTCTTGAGGAAACTTGTGTGTGAGTTTATGCAGATCAATAGAAGAATGGAGTTTGTGTTTGCAAGCCATAGTTTTGACGTGTGGGAGAGTTGGAGTCTAGAAGGTTCTTTGGACGAATGCCGGCTTGTTAATTGCAGAAATTCCTCCGTAAGCCTCTCTCCCCATACATAAAATGAAAAACCCTAATTCTTGAATAGTTTGTCCAAATTGGTGTTTGTGTAAATGTTAAAATTTTTGCAGGCCGTTTTGGAGGTGCGTGTGGAGATTTTGGCGATGGTTGGAGACGATGGTATCACACGTTGGATCGATTAAAGAAAAGAAAGAAAAACAGAGTCTCTCCATTTGTGAGTTTCTCTCTGTTAGTTATTTTTACATTCTTAGGATTCACAGACCAAAAAAACAAAGCACCCATTTTAGTGTTTCCAAATGGTGTCGTGTTGTCTAATTCGTATCACCCAATCTGTAATCATTGTTTGTTTATACCCTCGTTCTGTTTTATTTTCCGATGAGTTTTTCTTAGAGAGAGGATATGTTGGTTGTTCGTTTTTGGGTCTGGTCGTGATGAACTTAAGAAAAATATTGTGTGTTGTTGTTTGGTTTTAGTATTTTTGAAATATATGTGTGTATCGTTATGATCTGTGTGCTGCGTTTGTGTTCCAAAAAAAACCATCTGACTGAATAAAAAAACTGAAGTAAAAAACCCCAAAAAAAACTCTCGACATTATTACTATTCGCGCCAGCCATCTGTCTGTTCAACGCCGAATCGTTAATACTGTATTACCTGATTGCGATCGTTGCCCACGTGGCACTTTCTGTGCCGTCTTTACGTGACGTTTTTTTTCAAAATGACGTCAGTGTTAGTAGAACGTCCACATGTCTTGTAGTTCATAGTCCCACGCTCTGAACCAGAGCAACCGCCTCCTTACACGTGTTCGGCTAAAATCAGTTCCTTTCAATTGACGCTTCTACCCTTCTCGTCTTCTCCAGCATATACCAACACCATTTCACACAAGTAAGGAAGTCACAGACTCATCTCTCTTTCAAACGGAAAGGTGACTTGGGGGTTTTCGAGTTTTATGGTGTCTATAAAACCTAGCCAAGCTCATTGTTTCCCCATGAATATGAATTTACCGGGCTTCAATACTCTTCCCCACACGGCGGCGCCGGCAACCACGATGCCGATTTCCGTACGGAATAATACGATGTCGTTTTATGAGGATCCGACAAAGAAGGTTAGGAAGCCTTATACAATCACCAAGTCCAGAGAGAACTGGACGGAGCAGGAACATGACAAGTTTCTTGAAGCCCTTCATTTGTATGTATCCGATTCGACTTCTCTGTTCTCTCTCTCTGTTTTCGTATACTTCTGATTTATATCTTCGGGATTCATTCTTCTTGTGTTTAAAAGATCATGGCTATTTAATTGCAGATTTGACCGGGATTGGAAGAAAATCGAGGCTTTTGTTGGATCAAAAACAGTTATCCAGGTAATCAAAAACTCTGTCTTCAACATATACATTCCACTTAATCATCAGAACTGTCTGGAAATTTCTTATCAGTGTTTTTAGTTTCCTGAAATTCATATTGAAAAAAGAATTTGATATGACTTATGAGAATCGGATTGTGACTCTGAACAGAGCATATTTTTCTGAACTCTGTTCCTGAATTTCTGTGGAATTGGACATATAAGCTAAATATCTCTGTTGGATATTGGTTTTGTAGATACGAAGCCACGCGCAGAAATATTTTCTCAAGGCTCAGAAGAACGGGACTAACGAACATCTCCCACCTCCTCGACCAAAGAGGAAAGCAAATCATCCGTATCCACAAAAGGCTTCTAAATGTGGTAATTTTTGTGTGTTTTCCTTTAAATATAAACTGTAATGAACAGAGTCGAGAAAATAATCTATTTTTTATCCTTCTACTCAGCTTTTTGTTATGTTCTGTCTCTTCCATTCTTATCTGACTTTCTTATGATTGTTTGGTGCAGTTGCTCTTACATCTTCAAACGCATTGCTTGAGCATGAGTACTTGTACGGCACTAGTCCACAGGCATTGACTAGTACTCCTAAACATGGATCAATGCGTCGAGATGTAACTACGCCAAGTCCAGTGATCAAAGGTAATAACAATACGGTGCTTACATTTGCTGTGGATTGATGTAGTTATCTGAAGTTTCTATGTTTTTGTTTGTTTGACCTTTTGATAATCTCGAGGTAATGAATTTGTGATTGTAGAGGAATTGGGAGTCCCAGAGAAATGCTGCAGCACTAGTATTAGTAGAGATAAGCAGAGGACTCGAACCGTTGCAGAGATAAGTGACCAAGGAAGTTGCGATAAGCCACATAGAGGTAGAAGATTCTAAACTTTCTGCAGAGCAAACACGAGATTTGGTCTTTGCGATGTAATACTGATTATGAGCTTGTTTGGTTTTGCAACACAGTGATGCCGAATTTCGCTGAAGTTTACAGCTTTATAGGAAGTGTATTTGATCCGAAAACGACAGGTCATGTCCAGAGATTGAAGCAAATGGATCCAATAAATCTAGAAACGGTATGTCAACCACGCGCTGTCTGTCCTCTACTGCGCGAAAACATATCGCGAATATATCTAAATGTCATTGACAACTTTTTTGTTCATCAGGTCCTCTTGTTGATGAGAAACTTGTCTGTAAACCTGACAAGTCCCGAGTTTGAAGAACATGTAAGTGTTAGTCATAGTTTCAAAATATTTTGATTTTCATGATTTTGAGAACAGTCTGAAAGCAACAAAACTTTTTTTTATTTTGATGGGCTTACGAGGATTGCTCTGTTTTATGCAGCTGAGGTTAATATCATCACAAAACAACGCTGAATAGAGATTTAAGTACAATAAGAATTGAAGAGAAAAAACCATTACTCTCTCTCTGCCTAAGATTTAGATTTTCCGGGATCTCACTGGACCAAATGAGTGAGGCGATTGTACATACAAGTCAAGAGTTTGGAACATTTGATCTTTGGAGATAGATCAAGTATGTGTAGAAACACGGGACATTAGTATTTGTGTTGTAAATTTTATCTGCGGAATGCACAGTATGCACGATGACATTACTGGTTTTGCAAGGCTTTAAAGTCTTTGAGTTTATATGTATAAAACTCTGTTTTTGTTGTGTTGATATGCATAGATCTTTAAATGGCGCATACTAAGCAGTCAACTCTGTTCTGTTGTGTTCATGTGTATATGTTATTTGTTTGATAGGAGGTGGGCTCGGCTTTCTCTCGTTAGCGATCTGCTTTGTGTCTTTTTTGTTTCCCGGTCATGGATAACTTTCACTAAATCCGGTTCGCTTGTGTAATTTCCCTCTTGAAGATTTTGTATCCGGAAGATCATTTCTCTGTTTTTTGTCCTTCGTCTCTATTATATTCCTTCGAAACATGTTTAAGACTTAAAACCTTAGAAGATAACCACAAAATACTAAACATTGGCTAACCCCAAAGAAAAAGAGGGTAACCGAATGATCCAAGGAATCTTTGTTGGAAAAGAGGGAAACCGAATGATCCAAGGAATCTTTGTTGGTTTTGTCATCATGTTCTAAAGAAGATCGATTACTCTGACCGAAATTGGTATTTTTTATGAACTTGGGCCTTCGGTGATAGAAGACAAGATAAATAGTTCCACAAAAGCAGAAAACGGATTAAGCGTAAAATCTTCCTTAATCATTAACCAAAAACATTAAGATAACATATCCTAATGACGGCAATTTTATATCTTCCTAACGGTAGGATGAATTCGTAGATGGCGACAGCTCCGACCATCCATTACAATAGGTCGGAGTCAGCAAACAGAAATGACCACCACCACTGCTGCAACATCAAAGAAAAGGCTAATAAAAACTTTAAATAAACAAACAAAAAATTGCCTTCAAGAGATAACGAGGACACAAAAGAAGTGAGTTTCACTTTTGAGTAGTAGTTGATCCTCTCTGCCTCTTAGTTTTCTTGAACCAAGAAGCGATGAGTTTTAAAATTTGACCCTCTCGACCCATGTGACCTTAGCTCACTTGATGTCATCCTCGGCCACCACCATGACATCAAGTGACATCATCTTACAGCTTTCTATGAAGGTGCATATCCTCAAGGGAACATCTGGACTCTTGGACATATGGTGCAAGTGAGCTCATAACTTATTGTATACCAAAAAACTTAAGTAACTAAATTTGTTGTCATGATTCAAAAACAACGTGCTTAATTTTGTGTGTGTTTACCTTCTAAATTGAGCCATCCCCAGTCAAGAGATCCCCACCACATATCTCTTCTTTCATTTCTCCTATGTAATCAATAAAAGGTAAAAATTCAAAATAGATATTGATGGAAACGTGATAATACAAAAATAAAATAAAATCAATTACATGACATGATGCAACAAACCGAGAGATTAGATCTCAACGTAAATTGCAACAAGTATATTTTTAATTAAGAGGTCATAGATAAAACGTAAAAAAAAAGAAGAAATGAAATAGTCCTAACTTACTGGAGTTGATGTGTGATAAATCCATATTTACTACCCCTTGAGCTATTGTAGTCACCATCTTAATCATTCGAATCGAAACAATGTTGAAGAAGAGTTCACCGGCATGAAGAGTAATGAGATTATTGACGACATTGTTTGATTACAACAAAAACTATTATCAAGATGCACAAACATTGAACGTGTAGTATATATCCATTAAGAGTTTCATATAATTGCTTATGTTACTTACATCTTATTGAATAAGAAGTTGTATATCTTGGATTAGATCAATTACATGACATGATGCAACAAACCGAGAGATTAGATCTCAACGTAAATTGCAACAAGTATATTTTTAATTAAGAGGTCATAGATAAAACGTAAAAAAAGAAGAAATGAAATAGTCCTAACTTACCGGAGTTGTCATCATATTGATGATGTGTGATAAATCCATATTTACTACCCCTTGAGCTATTGTAGTCACCATCTTGATCATTCGAATCGAAACAATGTTGAAGAAGAGTTCACCGGCATGAAGAGTAATGAGATTATTGACGACATTGTTTGATTACAACAAAAACTATTATCAAGATGCATAAACATTGAACGTGTAGTATATATCTATTAAGAGTTTCATATAATTGCTTATGTTACTTACATCTTATTGAATAAGAAGTTGTATATCTTGGATTAGATCAATTACTTGACATGATGCAACAAACCGAGAGATTAGATCTCAACGTAAATTACAACAAGTATATTTTTAATTAAGAGGTCATAGATAAAACGTAAAAAAAAAAGAAGAAATGAAATAGTCCTAACTTACCGGAGTTGTCATCATATTGATGATGTGTGATAAATCCATATTTACTACCCCTTGAGCTATTGTAGTCACCATCTTGATCATTCGAATCGAAACAATGTTGAAGAAGAGTTCACCGGCATGAAGAGTAATGAGATTATTGACGACATTGTTTGTTACAACAAAAACTATTATCAAGATGCACAAACATTGAACGTGTAGTATATATCCATTAAGAGTTTCATATAATTGCTTATGTTACTTACATCTTATTGAATAAGAAGTTGTATATCTTGGATTAGATCAATTACATGACATGATGCAACAAACCGAGAGATTAGATCTCAACGTAAATTGCAACAAGTATATTTTTAATTAAGAGGTCATAGATAAAACGTAAAAAAAAAGAAGAAATGAAATAGTCCTAACTTACCGGAGTTGATGTGTGATAAATCCATATTTACTACCCCTTGAGCTATTGTAGTCACCATCTTGATCATTCGAATCGAAACAATGTTGAAGAAGAGTTCACCGGCATGAAGAGTAATGAGATTATTGACGACATTGTTTGATTACAACAAAAACTATTATCAAGATGCACAAACATTGAACGTGTAGTATATATCCATTAAGAGTTTCATATAATTGCTTATGTTACTTACATCTTATTGAATAAGAAGTTGTATATCTTGGATTAGATCAATTACATGACATGATGCAACAAACCGAGAGATTAGATCTCAACGTAAATTGCAACAAGTATATTTTTAATTGAGAGGTCATAGATAAAACGTAAAAAAAAAAGAAGAAATGAAATAGTCCTAACTTACCGGAGTTGTCATCATATTGATGATGTGTGATAAATCCATATTTACTACCCCTTGAGCTATTGTAGTCACCATCTTGATCATTCGAATCGAAACAATGTTGAAGAAGAGTTCACTGGCATGAAGAGTAATGAGATTATTGACGACATTGTTTGATTACAACAAAAACTATTATCAAGATGCACAAACATTGAACGTGTAGTATATATCCATTAAGAGTTTCATATAATTGCTTATGTTACTTACATCTTATTGAATAAGAAGTTGTATATCTTGGATTAGATCAATTACATGACATGATGCAAGAAACCGAGAGATTAGATCTCAACGTAAATTGCAACAAGTATATTTTTAATTAAGAGGTCATAGATAAAACGTAAAAAAAGAAGAAGAAATAAAATAGTCCTAACTTACCGGAGTTGTCATCATATTGATGATGTGTGATAAATCCATATTTACTACCCCTTGAGCTATTGTAGTCACCATCTTGATCATTCGAATCGAAACAATGTTGAAGAAGAGTTCACCGGCATGAAGAGTAATGAGATTATTGACGACATTGTTTGATTACAACAAAAACTATTATCAAGATGCACAAACATTGAACGTGTAGTATATATCCATTAAGAGTTTCATATAATTGCTTATGTTACTTACATCTTATTGAATAAGAAGTTGTATATCTTGGATTAGATCAATTACATGACATGATGCAAGAAACCGAGAGATTAGATCTCAACGTAAATTGCAACAAGTATATTTTTAATTAAGAGGTCATAGATAAAACGTAAAAAAAAAAAGAAGAAATGAAATAGTCCTAACTTACCGGAGTTGTCATCATATTGATGATGTGTGATAAATCCATATTTACTACCCCTTGAGCTATTGTAGTCTTCATCTTGATCATTCGAATCGAAACAATGTTGAAGAAGAGTTCACTGGCATGAAGAGTAATGAGATTATTGACGACATTGTTTGATTACAACAAAAACTATTATCAAGATGCACAAACATTGAACGTGTAGTATATATCCATTAAGAGTTTCATATAATTGCTTATGTTACTTACATCTTATTGAATAAGAAGTTGTATATCTTGGAGCGCTCCAACTGGTGGGATTCTTAGGCGTTTTCTACGATTTTTTCTTTTCTGCAGTCCTCAAAACAACACTCCAAATGCCAACGTTCCAACCGGTGGAATTCTCACGCGTTTTCTATGGTTCTTACTTTTCTGCAGTCCCGAAAATTTGTTACGAGAGACTTATTTAATTTTTGGTAGGACATAATCAGAGAATGAGATTGAGAAGCGCCAAATTTCAATATATCATTCACAGTTGATTTTCCTTGATGAACAACTTCAACTACTTTGACGGAGACTTGAATGGTTAGTTTGGTCTTGTCCTAAAACCCTTCATGTTGGAGCTTGGTACCATGGTGGAAACCCCAGCTTGGGGTCTCAACAGAACGTTTGGCTAATCTGTTAGATCATAAACAATATAGATATATCAAATTTTCTTCGTTGATCACACAGGTACAGATTCAGCAAGTGGAACATAATCAGGTTCATTACCTTTTGATTTGCATAGCTTTTCGCCTGATTGATTCAACAACACATAGCAATAAATAGCTCTCCTTTTCCATCCAGGTCTCGGTGAGTTAGGATTCACCGTATTGTTTGGTACGAACCGTAACATACCCCAAAGAGAACCCTTTTAAAGCTTAAAAGGTCAAATATCGAAAGTTAAGCCTAAAAGATGTGATTCTTCTCTATTAACCATTTACAGCCGCCGCTTGAGAAAGGATCCAACAATATCAGATTGTTGTTTCCATTCCACAACTTGTCAATCCAATTGTTGTTTCTTTCCCACAAGTTGTCAATCTCCCAACTCATCACGGTCTTCTCAAACTCCGTCCTGACCATCCGTTTGTTTTAACAACGTAATTTCAACCGTCGTATTAAAGTTTTCTTTTCCTATAAAAAGTTTGCATTTGCAACACAGTGATGCCGAATTTCGCTGAAGTTTACAGCTTTTTTAATGACAAAACAGAATTTTGGATCATTTTTATAATATCCAAGCAAACAGTTGTTGTCAAATTATCGGTTTGACATAAAAAAAATTTGGTTGCTACATAATAGTTATGAACCAAAAACAATGGGTAACACAACCTAACAAACAATAATGTTGCAATGATAAAAGTGATTAGTACTTTCTTACAAAGTAGTTGACCCCTAATTGTATATCTCATAACCAAAACACAAACAAACTATGTAAAAACTGCAAACAAGGAATCAGACGTTAAGGTGTAGTTTAGTCAAAACGAGAAATGGAAAGTTAATGTGTAAATCCTCAGATGTACAGAACCGTACCTTATCAAAGCACCTCAACGGCATTCTTCTATCTGATCTTTGTAACCTCAGAATCCATTTATTTTCCGATAAGGGCAAACCCGTCATTTCGTTCTCACCGTCACACCACACATGCAATTACACGGAGACAGACAGGAACTCAAAAGACAGCTCATTCAATTCATCCACACACACAGATCACTCAAATTTCCTTTCATTTTTATTTCCCCTGTTTTTCCTCGATTCCTTGTTTTCGATTCAACACTCGATGCGGTGACAAGCATAGATTTTTGCGGGAGTTTATTCGCCGGAAAGATTGTGTCTTTACCCGCGAGAAATGCGAAGAAACTGGAGACGCCATTAGCCGAATCTAAGGAAAAGGAAAGTGAAAGTAGGGGTCGATGTCCATGTACGATGCTGCTTTCCTCAATACCGAGCTCTCAAAACCGACATCGATCTTCGGTCTCCGGCTATGGGTCGTAATCGGAATCTTACTCGGATCTCTAATCGTCATCGCCCTCTTCCTTCTCTCCCTCTGTCTAACCTCCCGCCGGAAAAACCGCAAGCCGCGAGCTGATTTCGCTTCGGCCGCCGTCGCTACGCCGCCAATTTCTAAGGAGATTAAGGAGATCGTTCCGGCGGCGACGCAGCCTGTACCGGCGGAGATCCAGGTCGATATAGGGAAAATCGAGCATCGAGTGGTGTTTTCCGATCGAGTGTCGAGTGGAGAGAGCAGAGGAACAGCGAGTGCTAGCGAGACGGCATCGTTTTCCGGCAGCGGGAATGTTGGACCGGAGGTGTCGCACCTGGGATGGGGACGGTGGTATACTCTGAGAGAGCTCGAGGCGGCGACGAATGGGCTCTGTGAAGAGAATGTAATCGGAGAAGGTGGTTACGGGATTGTGTATCGTGGGGTTTTAACTGATGGGACTAAAGTCGCCGTTAAGAATCTGCTTAATAACAGGTTTCTCGAAAATTTCAAATTTCTTTCTAAATATGGATCCTTTAGGGTTTTAGGTCTTCTCTCCATTGAGGTTTTGCAAATTTTTTGGATTTGATTGGACGTCTTGTTTAGCTCTGTATTGGTTGCATTCTAAAGTTTGATCCTTTACCCTTTGCTATACTTGTTGTTTAGCTGCAGTTTTGCGTAATTAGTGGGTTTTACTTTACTTATAGCGTGTTGCTCTGTAATGAAATTTGTCTTTGATTCTGTGCTCGTTTCTGTTAAGTACTTGGATCTATTGACGTAGGATTAAGAGTGATGGCGATCAGAGTCCTTCTCTTATTGAACTGCTATGCGTATGAGTGTGGTCCTGAGAAGTTGTGTTTATAATTGAATTCTGTGAAATAGGTTATGTCACTAGTCACATGTGGTATTGATGGGTAACGTCTGCACTAATAGTAGACTATGGCTTCCGTGAACTGAATCTACAGGGGTCAAGCAGAGAAGGAATTTAAAGTAGAAGTGGAAGTAATTGGGCGTGTACGACACAAGAATCTCGTTAGGCTTTTAGGGTATTGCGTCGAAGGTGCATACAGGTAACGAAATGCTGCTGCTGCTGCTGCTCAGAATTCCTTTTTTGGGTGGGGCAGAAACAGAGCAATGTTGTGATCTGATCTCGAGTTGTCAACTACAGGATGCTCGTGTATGACTTTGTCGATAATGGCAACTTGGAGCAATGGATTCACGGTGATGTCGGCGATGTCAGCCCTCTAACTTGGGATATCCGAATGAACATCATACTCGGGATGGCAAAAGGGTAATTCTTGATAGAGAGTTTTTAAGTTTAATATCTGCTATGTTTGTATGTAAATGTTTGGTGTATTATATGTAGATTGGCGTATCTACACGAGGGTCTTGAACCAAAAGTTGTTCATAGGGATATAAAATCGAGCAATATCTTGCTTGATCGCCAATGGAATGCCAAGGTTTCGGATTTTGGACTTGCTAAGCTATTGGGTTCCGAGAGCAGCTATGTGACAACCCGTGTCATGGGAACTTTCGGGTAACCTCTTCAAAATGACATTCTCTCTCCCTCACGAAATCTATAAAAATTCTGAATCTTTGGAGTTTTAGTTATGTAGCACCGGAATATGCTTGCACTGGAATGTTAAACGAGAAGAGTGATATCTATAGCTTCGGAATATTAATCATGGAGATCATCACGGGAAGAAACCCCGTTGATTATAGTCGGCCTCAAGGAGAGGTACATTTTAACGGGATTAAACCTGTTTTGTGTCTTTAAGATTTTGTAAATGTTTATTTTACTTTAATATAACCATTCTCTCGTTTCTGTGGTGGCTTTAGACGAATCTTGTAGATTGGCTGAAATCAATGGTTGGAAACCGAAGATCCGAAGAAGTAGTGGATCCAAAAATACCCGAACCTCCATCCTCAAAAGCTCTTAAACGAGTGTTACTCGTAGCTTTGCGCTGTGTAGACCCTGATGCGAACAAGAGACCTAAGATGGGACATATCATACATATGCTTGAAGCTGAAGACTTGCTCTATCGCGATGTATACACATTTTAAAGCATTTTGTCTTTGCATTTTCTTTCACATCGCGCTACGAGAAATGTTTTAATGGTGTGATGATATCTTTGCAGGAACGCCGAGCAACTAGGGACCATGGAAGCCGCGAAAAGCAAGAGACGGCGTCAGCGGCTGCAGGTAGTGAAAGCGGCGAGAGCGGTTCACGGCATCATCAACAGCAAAAGCTAAGATGAAAAAGAGTCGCTTGTCACAACAGGACCATTCTATTTCAATTGATTCCTTATTGTATTGTATTAGAATATGTTTCATTCTTTGGCTCTTTGAGTATTGCCTTACGTCTAATTAACCTTTTTCCACTTTGTAATCTTTTGTCAACGATCACATGTCATTTTTATAAATTATAACATATAATATGTAATGTTTTTGGACCAACCTCGACGCTATATGTTCGGCCCGTGCATAACGATTGGTCGCTGGATCAAACTTATCGCTTCAAAAACCGGTATGAGGCAAAATGGACCCACAATGATTCTTTAAGCTCACGTGATTGTGTGTGTTTTAATCTCGATTATGTATTATGTGATCATTATCTTGAAAATATCCCAAGTTGCAAGAAAATAAAAATTGATTAAATTTATAATCAGACTTGTAAACAAAAGATAAGTGCACACACTCGCCATCGGAAGACTTAAAGAGTTGGGATATTTGGAAAATAACATTACGAATCCTCCCTACAGTCCTACTGTATAAGTCATTCTATTTTCTGACATTTGGATATTTCTTAAAGAAAAGTAAGCCATCCTAACAAAGTTTTTGTATGCGATAAAAGAGTATGAAACATGCGTATGTGTTGCGTACGCAAACGTCCAAATGTATATAATACATGCACCTTCTCATTGTTGACCCCCGAAAAAAAATAAAATTCAAAATATTATTTTTGTATTTCAAAGTAATTTTTGGGGGGTTCTTCTAATACTAAACATTATCGAAAGACAATATAAAACATGTCATGTAAGAAAATTTATGTTGAAGAAAATAATACACCAGAAAGGCTAATCGAATGATTGCATTCACAAGCAAGCTCGGACATTTATAGCCGTTGGATTAGAGGGAAGAATATCCGCTGGCTACAATTGACTTTTCCCGTTTTGTACAGTAACGCAACAAGTAGGCCAACACCACAGGAAGAAAAAAAAACATAACCCACATCGTAACCGTACACGCATTGATCTGTCATTTAGTGTTTCGTCACAGCCTCGTAACTGAAACCTAACCCCCCTTCCTCTCCCTTTCGTCTACCAAATCAACGTCAAACCTAAAACATTATTTCTTTGCTTTGCTTGTTTATCTGCAGATATACGGCAACTCTGTGGTTTAGTCATATATGAACAACGCCTTTTAATTTCTTCTTATCTTTCCTGGAAATTTCTGACCTCTAAATTAGTGTTTTGATTTTCGGTAAGAACTCTGACCCCTCGATCTGATTTTGGTCTCAGTTTGCTTTTAGTATTACACCGCTCTTTTGTTTTGTTTCTTTCCTTTTATTCTCCGTCTCTGATTTCTTATCTTCCTTGCCCAGAAACTTCTTTCAGGCGAATCCGATTTTCATATTTTGGAGTAACAAACTAGTTTTTGGTCCAAGGATCTATCTCTTTAGGTGAGTTTGGATTTGTGTCTCGGTTTCATGTGGTTGTTTTTATTTATTTATGATAGTCTTGTATTAGATTTCATGTCTTTGATCTCTTTTCTATGTGAATTCGAAACGGGTTCTTCGGAATTCAGATTTTTAAGATCTCGATTTTGCTTGACATACAGAAAAAATGCATTTTTATCCGTAAGCTAGAGATAGCTCTTGCCTCTTAGGGTTGACTCGTGGATCTATTGATTTACAGCTTCTTTCTTTCAGAGAAAATTAGATCTTGGTAAAGTTTTTATTTTGCTGTTCACTTTTGTATGAATACAATTTCAATCGAGGAGCGGACTTTTTGATGTTGCTTTAGATCTGTTTTGAAAACAATATGATCTTTGTCATGTATTTAGTATTGATTCAGTATTCTTTGTGTATGATATATGTGACGACAACTTTGCTCTTCTTCCTTTGTGTGTGTTTCAGTACAAAATGGCTCGTCCACAAGACCCTCCACGCGGTTTCTTCCCATTTGGGAACCCGTTCAAGAATCTATCTTCAAAGAACCCTGTATTATCGTCGAAGCTTCTCTCGCTGTTGAACAGTTTCGAGGTAAACTTGGCATCTTCGATTAGAAAGCTTGTCCCAAAGGAAAAGAGCCAGATCCTGACTGTTTCATGGATGAAGCAAGCCATGGAGTCTCTCTGCGAGACACATAATGGTATCAAGACTCTTATAACCGATCTCGAGCTTCCGGTATCAGACTGGGAGGACAAATGGGTTGATGTGTATCTTGACGTAAGCGTGAAGCTCCTCGATCTCTGCAACGCCTTTAGCTCAGAGCTAACCCGTCTCAACCAAGGCCACCTCTTGCTCCAGTTTGCTCTGCATAACCTGGAGACAAACTCCCCTCGGAATCTGTCGAAAGCCCAGTCATCACTCGGCAGCTGGAAGCAACACATTGTTTCCAAGAACCCGAGGATGGAAAACTGCCGCGCAATCCTGAGCAGCCTCGTTCAAAGCTTGAATCTCCCCAAGGTGAAAAAATACTCGGCCAGAGGAAAAGTCCTGATGCGAGCTCTATACGGTGTCAAGGTTAAGACTTTATACGTTTCCGGTGTTTTTGCTGCAGCATTCTCAGGTTCGTCGCACAATCTGTTTTACCTTACCGTCTCAGACGAGCTTCCATGGGCACAGTCATTCATGGAAATGCAGAACACGATGAACGCAGAAATCAAGAACGTATTTTTGTCAGACGGGTTTACGGTTCTGAAAGAGCTCGAGGCCGTTGATTCGGGTGTTCAGAGACTTGCCCCTGCGATCCGACAAGGGTCATTTGATCCCATTTCGCTGCAGCCACTGAAGGACTCGGTCACGGAGTTATCGAATGGGCTAGATCTTGTTTCGAAGGAGGTGGATTGTTTCTTCAAGACTCTGTTGTCGGGGCGGGACACATTACTGGAGAACCTCAGGTCGATGGGCGTATCAACGGTACTCGCAACATCACCAAAAACGGTTGCTGATAGACAGCTATTGTGTGAATGGATGGTGTAAGTTCGGTAGTGAATGTGTTGTTAGGTGTGTGTGGTATTGTGGTCGTTTGTGTGAGATGCAATGAAACTAGTATTTGTATAAGTAAAGGTTTTTCAAAAGTTATTAAATCTTGCTAGTATATTAAAAATTCTCGAGATTTATCATCTTGTAAGCAGAGGACGCGAGAAACGGTCAAATTTCCGCTCTTGTAGCACTCTAAATCTAGCTGGGTCTGTCTCGGATTTATTCAATTCACAATCTTTGAGTTTAGTGGTGTAAAGAGAGAGAGAGAGAGAGAGAGAGAGAGAGAGAGAGAGAGAGGAAGAAATATCAACGGAGAGAGGCGTCAATGATCATCGTAGCAGAAGAATGGCTATCAACAATGGTCGTTATGTTCAGTATAACCTCTATGAGAACCCAATCGGCGACAAGAGCTCAGGCAAGAGTCGGTGAAAACAGTTCTTCTGGACCCGTCGGATATCCAGAGAAGGAGAGAAGAAGCTGCTTCAGGATGATGGTGGCTGGGCGGCGATCCATCTTGGCTCAGATCTGAAGCGGCGGCGACCCCTCGGGAGATGGGCCTAAACCGGAGAAGGTCATTTGCATGAAATCATCAGCTTGATAATGTACTAAAATTCTTGAGAATATTATTAGTTTTGATTTTCTTTCAATCGGTTTTATTTTGTCTTGTATGATTTGAAGCCGAATCAAGTACCTTCTCTTTTTGGTTCGGTTCTGTTTTCGAATTGGATTTTCCGGTTACAGTTGCACGTTGATTGGCCTAAGACCATTTATCATGTCGCAGAAAAGGCGAAGAAGCGTTTCATATTGACAAAATAATATTAACGTTTCATATTCACAAAATAATGTACATTTTTCTAATGATCATATCTGACGGAGATGTACACGAGTCATTGTCGTTATTATTCTGTTCTTGAAACCAAACCGGGTCAAATTTAAATCTTTCAAAAAAATATTTTTTTGCCTATCAATTGTTAGTTTCCTGGTTAAACCCGTCCGTACTTGTCGTAGTTCGTATCCAAATGCAGACGAGAACCAAAAAACAAATTGATTCGAGTTCAACGTTTCTGTTGGATAAACCGTAACAGTAGTCTAAACCGAACCCACTAATTATCCTTGCAAGAAAGATGAACAAAACATTCAGCTACACATGTGTGCGTATTACGTTTTATTAAGTTTATGATCCGACGACGTTTTAACTATATCTCTCCATTTTATTTTTTCTTGTACAAGGTAAACAAATGGGCTTAAAGCCCAAGACATCATCAGTGGCTAACTTCTAGAACTCTGTGGCCTTATCCGGCTCGCGGCCCATAGTTTTATTTTTGAGCTATGGAGGCGATAGAAGCGTGTAGTCGAACAGTAGTGAATTTACTTTTACAACCCGGGTTTTCTCAAATATTATCATCCAGCAAAAAGGTCAATTTACTTTTACGACGACGAACCGAAAAACCAAACGTATTTTTCAAAAAGGATATATTCCGATTTAAACTAAAATCATTTTTAAAAAGATGCATTTTTTAAACATAGATAACCTTAATTAAGTCACTTAAACATTGATAAACTTAACTAGTCTCTTAAACATTGATAAAAAAGTTAAAACATAGATAATTAACCTTCGTTCCTAACGAGCACGAAGACATCCACGATCTTCAATATTCCCAAAGCAGAGAGGAAGATGACGACGACGACTTCAAGTAAGTTCCATAGACCTTCGAAATCGGCAAAGTAGGCCGCTTCCACGACTGCAACGCCGCCGCATGCGAGACTGGCAAATTCAATGGCAAACTTCAGCTTTTGGTGTCGGAATCCTCTTGCTGCTGGGGTGAGGCCAGCGTAGACAAGAACGGTGGGGATGAAAACCTTCGGGAGTCCCACGCCCATCTTGTCGAGGAGGAACTTGACGGTGGAGGAGATTTGGCCGCTCAAAGAGTGACCCGGATCTGACGAAGTTTTATCCGGATCCTTCTTGAGGATCGGGACGAACAAAAAGATGTTCGTTATGACCCACTTAATGTAATCGTTGGCCTTTTCCATGAATTCTGACCACTCTTTATCGCCGATGTTTGGAGCAGGGAGTGCGGCGGCGGCTGGAGCAGCTGGATCAGGGAGTGCGGTTTGAACGTTGGGGTTGGCGGCTGGAGCAGCTGGATCAGGGAGTGCGGTTTGAACGTTGGGGTTGGCGGCTGGAGCAGCTGGATCAGGGAGTGCGGTTGGAACGTTGGGGTTGGCCGCTGGAGCGATGCTGTTTTCCGGTGGAGGGTTATGGAGTGGGAGGATTTGTGGATTGTCGCTTTCGGCCTGTCTGAGACGGAAAAAAGTCAGCATCCGCATAAGTAGTCCGCAGGTCGGAGCGTTGGCCGCTGGAGCGTTGCTGTTTTCCGGTTGAGCGTCACCGAGTGGGATGAGTAGTGGAGTGTCGACTTCGGCCGTAGCACCGGGAGTCCAGAAATGCAAGAACCAGAGACTCCAGAAATGCAAGAACCGGAGAACACGCGCGAAAAACAGCCTCACTGGTCCTGCGGTTGCAACGTTGGGGTTGGCCGCTGGAGCGTTGCTGTTTTCCGGTTGAGCGTCACCGAGTGGGGTGAGTAGTGGAGTGTCGACTTCGGTCGTAGCACCGGGAGTCCAGAAATGCAAGAAACGGAGAACACGCGCGAAAAACAGCCTCACTGGTCCTGCGGTTGGAACGTTGGGGTTGGCCGCTGGAGCGATGCTGTTTTCCGGTGGAAGGTTTTGGACTGGGAGGATTTGTGGATTGTCGCTTTCGGCCGTAGCACCGGGAGTCGAGTTGTTTTGGGGAGCGCAGAACGGGAGAATACGCAGGAAGCACCGGAGAAGACGGCTCAGAAGCCCAACGTTTGGTGCGACGGTGGCTGGATCGTCATGGTCTGTAGACTGGTGTTCGCCACCGCCGGCAAAGGGCAACGACGACGACGACATTAGTTCTCTCTCTAAAGTTTTTCTGTTTGTTTGGAGTGTGAGACCGAGAGACGTGCAGTGTCTACCATATATATGATAGTGACACTAGTGTACACTCGAGTTTTAACCGCGTGTAACCACGCGCGTGGCTAGGATTTAGGGTCTCCTATGAAGAAGAGACATGTCACCGTGTGATATTTGTTCTCTTGAATATTCGTTTAAACTATGGTCTAGCAGTTTTAAAAATTCTACAGGAAGTGACCATATTCTTTCATGGTCAATTTAGTTTATTGTCAACATTTGAAAATGGGGAAACAATATATGGTTTGATCAAATAAATAAAAAAAGGAATAGCTTAGTAATTCGGGAATTAGCTAGTAATCAAGTCATATGATTCGCAGCTTAAGTGTAAAGATGCCTAGGGTTACGGTTAGGGCTTGGATTTGACTAGTTAAAAGATGAATTTCAAATCAAGGGAAAAGATAATCACGGTGAAGTTTTCGAGATGAGACGTCATGACCTCAACAAATTATATATATTTAAAGAAAACCTTTCATCGTTTTTGTTTTATTAAAGACAGGGCCTGTCAAATCGCCTCACCATACCGGTCAAACCGAAAAGAAAATGATTTCACAGTTTGTTTTTGTTTTTTCCAGCTGATACCATCTAATATCTTAAACTTTTAATCCACAAGCAGAAGAACTACAGTATATTGATATGTTGATATATTAGTGTAATAATCTTAACTCTCGGTTTCTTTTAGTGGAAAACGTCAAGAAAATATGTATTAAGGCAAAATATCTACCGATCAATTTAGCAAACTATTTTTTTTCTTTCTACTGAGACATGCGGATATGATAGGATTCATTTACAGCTTCCTTTAAAATTGAAAGGATAAAACATAGCTGAACGTTAAAATAATAAGAACAATACTTTCCATATAAAAGTAGAGAGATAGTAGGACCACTCGCTTCTTCTTCATGTTTTCCTTTCAAAAAGACCCTAGCCTCTCGTTTTTTAGCGCATGCTTACATTTTAGTATATGTTAGTGGAGCCTGTTTCCAGCGCTAAAATACGCTGGTACTATTTTATCTTTCTAGTCTCTCTAGAAATTTGCAGTCAATACAATTTTTCCATTTTTGTACAAAGATTTCTGTGGGGTCCATTTTGTTTCTTTTCTCTCTCTCTTTTTTTTTTTTTTTTTTTTATGTTAACATTTTCGGTAGCCTACGTTTTAAATACACGACTCTAAGGTTGGTTGCGGGATTTTATCCTTCAAAGAAAATTGGAAATACTAGACGCAGTATAATGACCTCAACAAATTATACTATAAAAAAATTTGTTTTAACCATTCCATTAAGTTCGACCTTTGGTTTCATTAATGTTGACTTGTTTACCTTTTGGACCTTTGCTTTAATCAAATATACATAACATGGGGCGATGGGGTTTCCACTAATTAACTTGGTTCAAATCAAGTTTTTGCTTATGAGGTTTTGTACTAGTTGGTTTAATAAATCTGATGCGAAGGACCGTGCAGCACTACGTGCCAAAATATGTGGATAAGTATAGGAAAACTTATGAGAAATCCCTCTTTTTGACCGCATCATTTTGGTAATAATGAACATGAATATGAATATGCGTCCTCAATCTCCATTACTGCGAGCAAATGCATTGATTATAATCGCATTAACTTTTTATACCTTATTTAATACTTCAATAATTTGTGATAGATGAAAAAGTGTAGTGACATTTATTACTTGTGAATCGTTTGCAAAATGAGAAATCGTGTGCTATTCTGAGAAAACATGTTTTGTGTGTGTGTATCAATCCCTAAGAAACTTGACATACTATATGCTTCATATAATTGCAATGATTTACAGGACGTTTATTTTGATTTGGGGATTCTATCTATGTGTCTTTTAAATAATTTTTTTTTTTGAGATGTTAATGTTTCAATTCTTATTTGTTCTTTTGTCGGGCCCTACTTAGGATTTGTTTTTTCACGCCCCCCACTATTGTAAATCATCTTACGTTGCTTTTGGAGACTCTTCGTTATGTGGCCTCCCTTCTTGTCTTTCTCAACGCCTTTTCTTTTTTAGGCTTCTCGTTGTTTTTTAAGGGTACTAACATACTCACACGTGACACGTGCGTGTGTGCATACACACAAATTCACCGACATTATTAAGTCTATATATATCGAATTATACTATATATTAGTACTTAGTACTTAGGATTGCCATGTAATGCTAATTTCGCTCTAATTAATTAATTAGAAACTAGAATCTATTAGGGTTCTAGCACTTTGATCACTATCACGATTGACAACCACCAATTTTAGTGATCGGCAAACTGAGATTGGAATTCAAATTAATTTTCAAGATTTGGAATCGCTATCATTTATCATCACAGCCAATCAATTGTTTTATTTTTGGCGGTACACAATTGGGCATGAGCGTTTTATATATATTATAGATTAAAAAAAAAAAAATTGAATCCCGACGAAGTAATAATATTAGCAAAAGTATCTATATAACATAATATTATTCTGTTAACCACTTAATCATCACATCCATCTTTTCTTTTTAGGCTTCTCATTTTCGATTTTTTTTTTTTTTTCTTTTTTTCTTGAGATCTAAATTCGAATTAATTTTTAAGTATTATAGGAATCATCATTAGTTATCTAATGTGTTCGTAAAAGAAGAAAAATATATATATTCAATCGATTTCCGTTATCATTTTTTCCTCTTCACTATCACACAGCTAACTACTAATTAACTTTAATCTTTTAAACATAGTCGAGGAGATGTTGACGAAGATTTTTTTTTTTTTAAAATACGTTATCTACGATATGTATGAATATGGAATATAATGGCAAGTTAGCATTTGCCACCTGTGAAGCTGACTTGGTCTTTCCGGTAAAAGGCACCTTTCTAAACCCAACTTTCTCATTCTTTACACAAATGAAACAAAATAGTAAAATCAAAAGGTAATGAACCTGATTATGTTCCACTTTCTGAATCTGTACTTGTGTGATGAGCAAATAAAATTTGATATATCTATATTGTTTATGATCTTACAGACATTTGCCAAGTGTTCTGCGCTGAGGCCTCAAGCTGGGGTTTCCATCATGGCACCAAGCTCCAACATGAAGGGTTTCGGGACAAGACCAAACTAACTATTCAAGTCTCCATCAAAGTACTTGAAGTTGTTCATCAAGGAAAATCAACTGCCAATGATGTGATGTATTTCGGCAACTTCGAGATGATTGCTTCTCAAGTAAGTTGAACGAGTCTTTTAAATCACACAAGAGAGTCAGGGTTTGCATAATCACATCCTTTTTTTCTTTTCTTCCTAGAGCGCTGCAGTGTTCAAGATTTTCAAAGAGCACCCATATGCCATACCAAACCAAGCGAATTGACTGAGCTCACCGAAACAGGCTTCAAGCTCGACTGGTTGAAGTCAAAGCTTGAAGAAGTTTCCTTGGAGAGGAAGAAAGCACTTTCTGATGGATCTTTGGTCCAACAGCTCGAGGAACGGGTCAAGAATGTGGAATTGACTTTGTGTGATCTCAGAGTTGAACTTGACAAGGAGAAGATGAGATCCGGTAAAGTTTCTTCCTTTGAGCTGATGGACTTCTTTTTTATCAAGAGATTCTTTCTCTCTTGCTTCTCACTCTCAAAACACTGAGTGACAAAACACTGAGTGACAAGATATGTCGTATCAAAGATTGTTTTAATCAAAGATTTGATAATGTACTAAAATTCTTGAGAATATTATTAGTTTTGATTTTCTTTCAATCGGTTTTATTTTGTCTTGTATGATTTGAAGCCGAATCAAGTACCTTCTCTTTTTGGTTCGGTTCTGTTTTCGAATTGGATTTTCCGGTTACAGTTGCACGTTGATTGGCCTAAGACCATTTATCATGTCGCAGAAAAGGCGAAGAAGCGTTTCATATTGACAAAATAATATTAACGTTTCATATTCACAAAATAATGTACATTTTTCTAATGATCATATCTGACGGAGATGTACACGAGTCATTGTCGTTATTATTCTGTTCTTGAAACCAAACCGGGTCAAATTTAAATCTTTCAAAAAAATATTTTTTTGCCTATCAATTGTTAGTTTCCTGGTTAAACCCGTCCGTACTTGTCGTAGTTCGTATCCAAATGCAGACGAGAACCAAAAAACAAATTGATTCGAGTTCAACGTTTCTGTTGGATAAACCGTAACAGTAGTCTAAACCGAACCCACTAATTATCCTTGCAAGAAAGATGAACAAAACATTCAGCTACACATGTGTGCGTATTACGTTTTATTAAGTTTATGATCCGACGACGTTTTAACTATATCTCTCCATTTTATTTTTTCTTGTACAAGGTAAACAAATGGGCTTAAAGCCCAAGACATCATCAGTGGCTAACTTCTAGAACTCTGTGGCCTTATCCGGCTCGCGGCCCATAGTTTTATTTTTGAGCTATGGAGGCGATAGAAGCGTGTAGTCGAACAGTAGTGAATTTACTTTTACAACCCGGGTTTTCTCAAATATTATCATCCAGCAAAAAGGTCAATTTACTTTTACGACGACGAACCGAAAAACCAAACGTATTTTTCAAAAAGGATATATTCCGATTTAAACTAAAATCATTTTTAAAAAGATGCATTTTTTAAACATAGATAACCTTAATTAAGTCACTTAAACATTGATAAACTTAACTAGTCTCTTAAACATTGATAAAAAAGTTAAAACATAGATAATTAACCTTCGTTCCTAACGAGCACGAAGACATCCACGATCTTCAATATTCCCAAAGCAGAGAGGAAGATGACGACGACGACTTCAAGTAAGTTCCATAGACCTTCGAAATCGGCAAAGTAGGCCGCTTCCACGACTGCAACGCCGCCGCATGCGAGACTGGCAAATTCAATGGCAAACTTCAGCTTTTGGTGTCGGAATCCTCTTGCTGCTAGGGTGAGGCCAGCGTAGACAAGAACGGTGGGGATGAAAACCTTCGGGAGTCCCACGCCCATCTTGTCGAGGAGGAACTTGACGGTGGAGGAGATTTGGCCGCTCAAAGAGTGACCCGGATCTGACGAAGTTTTATCCGGATCGTTCTTGAGGATCGGGACGAACAAAAAGATGTTCGTTATGACCCACTTAATGTAATCGTTGGCCTTTTCCATGAACTCTGACCACTCTTTATCGCCGATGTTTGGAGCAGGGAGTGCGGCGGCGGCTGGAGCAGCTGGATCAGGGAGTGCGGTTTGAACGTTGGGGTTGGCGGCTGGAGCAGCTGGATCAGGGAGTGCGGTTGGAACGTTGGGGTTGGCCGCTGGAGCGATGCTGTTTTCCGGTGGAGGGTTATGGAGTGGGAGGATTTGTGGATTGTGGCTTTCGGCCTGCCTGAGACGGAAAAAAGTCAGCATCCGCATAAGTAGTCCGCAGGCCGGAGCGTTGGTCGCTGGAGCGTTGCTGTTTTCCGGTTGAGCGTCACCGAGTGGGATGAGTAGTGGAGTGTTGACTTCGGCCGTAGCACCGGGAGTCCAGAAATGCAAGAACCGGAGACTCCAGAAATGCAAGAACCGGAGAACACGCGCGAAAAACAGCCTCACTGGTCCTGCGGTTGCAACGTTGGGGTTGGCCGCTGGAGCGTTGCTGTTTTCCGGTTGAGCGTCACCGAGTGGGGTGAGTAGTGGAGTGTCGACTTCGGCCGTAGCACCGGGAGTCCAGAAATGCAAGAAACGGAGAACACGCGCGAAAAACAGCCTCACTGGTCCTGCGGTTGGAACGTTGGGGTTGGCCGCTGGAGCGATGCTGTTTTTCGGTGGAGGGTTTTGGACTGGGAGGATTTGTGGATTGTCGCTTTCGGCCGTAGCACCGGGAGTCGAGTTGTTTTGGGGAGCGCAGAACGGGAGAATACGCAGGAAGCACCGGAGAAGACGGCTCAGAAGCCCAACGTTTGGTGCGACGGTGGCTGGATCGTCATGGTCTGTAGACTGGTGTTCGCCACCGCCGGCAAAGGGCAACGACGACGACGATATTAGTTCTCTCTCTAAAGTTTGTCTGTTTGTTTGGAGTGTGAGACCGAGAGACGTGCAGTGTCTACCATATTTATGATAGTGACACTAGTGTACACTCGAGTTTTAACCGCGTGTAACCACGCGCGTGGTTAGGGTTTAGGGTCTCCTATGAAGAAGAGACATGTCACCGTGTGATATTTGTTCTCTTGAATATTCGTTTAAACTATGGTCTAGCAGTTTTAAAAATTCTACAGGAAGTGACCATATTCTTTCATAGTCAATTTAGTTTATTGTCAACATTTGAAAATGGGGAAACAATATATGGTTTGATCAAATAAATAAAAAAAGGAATAGCTTAGTAATTCGGGAATTAGCTAGTAATCAAGTCATATGATTCGCAGCTTAAGTGTAAAGATGCCTAGGGTTACGGTTAGGGCTTGGATTTGACTAGTTAAAAGATGAATTTCAAATCAAGGGAAAAGATAATCACGGTGAAGTTTTCGAGATGAGACGTCATGACCTCAACAAATTATATATATTTAAAGAAAACCTTTCATCGTTTTTGTTTTATTAAAGACAGGGCCTGTCAAATCGCCTCACCATACCGGTCAAACCGAAAAGAAAATGATTTCACAGTTTGTTTTTGTTTTTTCCAGCTGATACCATCTAATATCTTAAACTTTTAATCCACAAGCAGAAGAACTACAGTATATTGATATGTTGATATATTAGTGTAATAATCTTAACTCTCGGTTTCTTTTAGTGGAAAACGTCAAGAAAATATGTATTAAGGCAAAATATCTACCGATCAATTTAGCAAACTATTTTTTTTCTTTCTACTGAGACATGCGGATATGATAGGATTCATTTACAGCTTCCTTTAAAATTGAAAGGATAAAACATAGCTGAACGTTAAAATAATAAGAACAATACTTTCCATATAAAAGTAGAGAGATAGTAGGACCACTCGCTTCTTCTTCATGTTTTCCTTTCAAAAAGACCCTAGCCTCTCGTTTTTTAGCGCATGCTTACATTTTAGTATATGTTAGTGGAGCCTGTTTCCAGCGCTAAAATACGCTGGTACTATTTTATCTTTCTAGTCTCTCTAGAAATTTGCAGTCAATACAATTTTTCCATTTTTGTACAAAGATTTCTGTGGGGTCCATTTTGTTCTTTTCTCTCTCTCTTTTTTTTTTTTTTTTTTTTTTATGTTAACATTTTCGGTAGCCTACGTTTTAAATACACGACTCTAAGGTTGGTTGCGGGATTTTATCCTTCAAAGAAAATTGGAAATACTAGACGCAGTATAATGACCTCAACAAATTATACTATAAAAAAATTTGTTTTAACCATTCCATTAAGTTCGACCTTTGGTTTCATTAATGTTGACTTGTTTACCTTTTGGACCTTTGCTTTAATCAAATATACATAACATGGGGCGATGGGGTTTCCACTAATTAACTTGGTTCAAATCAAGTTTTTGCTTATGAGGTTTTGTACTAGTTGGTTTAATAAATCTGATGCGAAGGACCGTGCAGCACTACGTGCCAAAATATGTGGATAAGTATAGGAAAACTTATGAGAAATCCCTCTTTTTGACCGCATCATTTTGGTAATAATGAACATGAATATGAATATGCGTCCTCAATCTCCATTACTGCGAGCAAATGCATTGATTATAATCGCATTAACTTTTTATACCTTATTTAATACTTCAATAATTTGTGATAGATGAAAAAGTGTAGTGACATTTATTACTTGTGAATCGTTTGCAAAATGAGAAATCGTGTGCTATTCTGAGAAAACATGTTTTGTGTGTGTGTATCAATCCCTAAGAAACTTGACATACTATATGCTTCATATAATTGCAATGATTTACAGGACGTTTATTTTGATTTGGGGATTCTATCTATGTGTCTTTTAAATAATTTTTTTTTTTGAGATGTTAATGTTTCAATTCTTATTTGTTCTTTTGTCGGGCCCTACTTAGGATTTGTTTTTTCACGCCCCCCACTATTGTAAATCATCTTACGTTGCTTTTGGAGACTCTTCGTTATGTGGCCTCCCTTCTTGTCTTTCTCAACGCCTTTTCTTTTTTAGGCTTCTCGTTGTTTTTTAAGGGTACTAACATACTCACACGTGACACGTGCGTGTGTGCATACACACAAATTCACCGACATTATTAAGTCTATATATATCGAATTATACTATATATTAGTACTTAGTACTTAGGATTGCCATGTAATGCTAATTTCGCTCTAATTAATTAATTAGAAACTAGAATCTATTAGGGTTCTAGCACTTTGATCACTATCACGATTGACAACCACCAATTTTAGTGATCGGCAAACTGAGATTGGAATTCAAATTAATTTTCAAGATTTGGAATCGCTATCATTTATCATCACAGCCAATCAATTGTTTTATTTTTGGCGGTACACAATTGGGCATGAGCGTTTTATATATATTATAGATTAAAAAAAAAAAAATTGAATCCCGACGAAGTAATAATATTAGCAAAAGTATCTATATAACATAATATTATTCTGTTAACCACTTAATCATCACATCCATCTTTTCTTTTTAGGCTTCTCATTTTCGATTTTTTTTTTTTTTCTTTTTTTCTTGAGATCTAAATTCGAATTAATTTTTAAGTATTATAGGAATCATCATTAGTTATCTAATGTGTTCGTAAAAGAAGAAAAAAATATATATATTCAATCGATTTCCGTTATCATTTTTTCCTCTTCACTATCACACAGCTAACTACTAATTAACTTTAATCTTTTAAACATAGTCGAGGAGATGTTGACGAAGATTTTTTTTTTTTTAAAATACGTTATCTACGATATGTATGAATATGGAATATAATGGCAAGTTA